GTTACGTATTTAAGTAAAACAGAAAAGAAATACGCACACCGTTATCAAATAAATCCCTATATTTGCTCCATCGTTTCTTTGGCATTACGTATAAAGAACATTTCCCGATATACATGATGTTGAGACAATGTTGACCAAAATCAGATTCTTCAAGTCCGGGCTATAATTTTATGAGTTAAGCTACTGTAACATAGTTTAAGTGTAGGATAGAGAAGAGATGTTGGAAGTGATATTTTCAAAAAGCATGTCAATGGTTCCTCAATTCCAAATTAATAACTGAAAGGATTTGAGATATCTGTGTACATGGAAGTAATCGTAGGATTTAGATGAGGATATGTTCGATTTCATTTGAAACAAAAATGGTGTACATTTTTAAATGTACTATGATATACTTTGAGAGTCAATGATAGTATACTACTGTTGTTCTAAAATCAAGTCAAATCTTCGCACAAATAGATGATATGTCGAATTATATACATTCCCCTCTATAACTTTGGCAACCTTTTCCCCTTTGAAACTTTTGAAACCTTTTTGAAAATAAAAATTCAAACATAGAGAGGTTTTAACACGTTTGCCTATGGGGGAAAAGGTTGCCAAACTTATGGAGGGGTGTATTTTCTTTTATGTAGGGTCGATCTTATACATAGCATGGTGTACAGTAGGTAATGCCCCAGGTCTGAATCACGACAGTGGGTTATCAGCTTTTGAAGAAATTCATATCAACGCTAATCATGGCCTGCTTTATCTTAATCAAAATTAATCAATCTGGAAATATGTTTCATATTTTCATTTAAATCCAATTACCGCATGATGAATGAAGGTCCTCAAGAGAGGCCCGCGGGAGGTAACAAGGGGCAGAACACGAATGTACATAATTTTCAAAGCAAAGTAAAGTACAACTTACAATTAAAGTACTGTACACAATTCTAATTTCAAATTCTAATTTAGAAATTAGAGAAATTCTGTTCTAATGTAACTCAAAATTGTTGTTAAATTATTTCGAACTTTGCATTTGTTCGACTTCGCTTCTAAAAAGAGAGCTTTATATTCGACTATGCGCGTAGGGTATGTCGAACTATAGCAGCGCTGTACGTTTTTATACATATTATATCCATGCAATGTGCTAAGATCACACGTAGATTCATATACAAGTATATATAGTAAGACTAGATACGAGGAATATTATCCACAATCGTGTCTGTTGACATCGCCAAACTACTAGGACTTTAAATAAAAATGGAATTTAATATTTGAAATGAATTTTATACTATGGTGACTTAAATTCTTTCCGGGGGAGAGACGTTGTACGTATGTTCAATGTTCATCCATGGGATTTTGAAAGAAGGGTATGCTACTTTGTGTTACAAACATGGAAGCCTCAAAACGAACATTGCTATAACTTCCCTATTTTGATCATATTTTCAATGTTCCAGTTTTATCTTCAAGAAAAATCGTTATAGAATATAATTAATGCATAAAATATGTTTAAACTCAGGTTAAAGCAAACAAAATTACCAATAAGAAGAATAGATATCAAATTTTAAACTGTCATTACTGCCATGATTATGATAAATTAAATAATCAACATGTATGCAGATAATCATGTTTTTATTTTTGAGTTATTTATTTTAATTATATATCGTATAAAATTTCTCCAATTTTAAAAACCCAGGGCAATGCTATGGTTATTTTATATTTTATATTTTCAGATGATTCATTGCACGACTGATATACATAATGACTAGAAAATAATCGAGGTGAAGCGGAAAAGCCCTCTACCCGACGCTTAGATAACTTATAGAATTCCTCATCGTGTATTTGCTACCTAGTGTTAAATTAGCTCTTAACGTTGGAAAGCCAAGATCCATATAGGTGAGATAACAATAGATTATTGAAATCAAGTGTCTTAGATAAGCCTAGGTATACTTTAATAAACTGATTACCTTCCTCTGTATTCGTGTTCAGGGAATATCAGCCAATTTGCACGTTGGCAATGTTAGCCGCGCTAAATTAGAAGTGACGGACTAAACAGGTCAAAATTGCAATCTTTTGTTTCTTGGTAGGATCCAATATCCTGAGTCCTATAGAGCGCCCCGGGGCACTAATGCGATCTCTTACATGTTATGAATTCAATTTATTTCATTTATATCGTATTTAGGACGTTAAGGAAATACATATTTCTCATCTGACATACCTTGTAATGATGAGCACAGTTGGAGACTCTGAGAGTTTTCTAATTCAGTAATGACGAATGTAATTAAAACTGTAATGAATATCGTGATATTAAGTTATCATATTTCAGATGGAATGTTTATATGTCTCTCATTGTTTGTGATATTCAAATGTTGCCAGAGGTAATTATATAAACAGATTAATGGTCCCAACAAGTTGTATCATGGGACAAAGGACAGAATCCAGACCTCGAGTGGGTATTTTTGCTAACAATTCCCTGCCATCTCTTTTTTTTATAAAACATACGTATTGATCCTAAAACTCCAGAAAGCCGATTGTAAAACTACTTTCTAGTTTTTAAATTAAGGATACACAGTTAAGGCAAGATCCAGAATCTCAAAGATTTCTCACCCATTTTTCCCGATGACCAAAGTCTTGTATTCGCCGATCGGAAGCCATCTAGATACACCATAATACAACCGAGGGCAAAAGTTGCATAAGAATATGTTTTCAAATATTGAATTAGTCCAAACCGTTACTTTCATTTCCTCGTGTGAGAACTACAAAGAATCTTAAGAACCCGATATCGACCAAATTGCCCCCTCTATTATCTAAACCACTCAAGACATTGTCTAATTCTGTATTTGTTGAATAGGGAATCTCGTTTGTCCCCTAATCCAATACAATGCGACAAGTTATGATTTCTATTGTTTCCGCCTCAAATTGCCAAGTGGAAATGGGGAATCGAAGTAGTTGTATAAGGGAGCATGCCACTGTTGTGTTTATTGATTGTTCTAAGCGCAACCAGTGCAGCACATCCTCTTTCAGAATAACCTGAACTAAAATATTTACTGATTTAGTTTAGCGTTCTTTGATATTAAGTCTGTCGGGCTACATGACAAAATGAACTAAAATCAGCATTCTATATTCATTTACTACGCTGATCATTGTATCACGAGATTCTGCAGCATGTTGAATTATTTAGAAAAAATGTTCATATCTCTGTTGAAGGCTTTTATGCTTATCATTAAAATAGGCTATTACAAAAAACGTGTTAATGACGTATATATCGTTCCACCAAGCCATTGGCGTGTGGATAATACATACATGTAGGTAACAAAAAATGATGTAACTATCGGATGGCTGGAGAGTCCAATGACTGATATTGTATTATATGGAGCTATTGCATGGAGCTATAATCTAACATTCTCCACAAGCGGACAGTTTTTGCCTTGACTTTTTGTTTTGACATTTTTTGCCCGTTGTTATCGAAATACTACTGCTGCTGATAATGCTACTGTTTATGGTTAAGGGTAGAATATAAGCATTTAACCAAGGAATTCAAAACAATAGAGGAGTTTCTAGATAGCTTTGAATTCTCGGTAATTCTCGTTTTTCGAGAGTTGCACATTAATCCTCTAATGACTTACTTTTCCTTCTTCTTAATAGCATATTTGAATTCAGTGAAACGTTTTCTACTATACTGTAATAACTTTGATTTATACAGTAATGTCATTTAAATCATTTTCCATGAGTTTTTTTAAATGCGGCCAAATTAAGTGACTGTTGCAAGTTTATAACATGTATGTCAATGGCAGTCTGCCCCAACCAAAATAAAAAACAAACAAGGGTGACCACTATTATATCAGCTTATTCAGTCATATAGAAACGCCCTTGTTGTATGTTGCGTTTGTCATACTCATTTGCCATCTTTCCAAAGAAAAGCAATAAGAGGACATTATTAAAGATTGTATCAGACAGGCGATGTTTTCATTTTCTTGAAAAATCTGTTATTATCAAAGGTGACATCTATATTACGAGTAAGGGATTAAACTAGTATATACCCTGCGTGCAGAGTAATTATAAAGACGAAGCTATCTTTTAAGAAGTGAAGTCGAATGAATGTAAAGGGTACTAGGTATACTGATTGGACAGATAATTCGAATTAATCTCTTCATCTAAGAAGAGAAACGTGTCCCGATTACACTTTTTCGAAGCTTTGCACGCCATGCCATTAGACACCTAATAATATCTAGTATACAATACACATACCAGCTGCAACTGTACATGGAGACCCAAAATCATAACCGCCCAAAAGTTGCGCTCTGGCGGTGACGACAGTGCTATGAACTTTTTCAAGACCTCACAAATACATATTAAATATATAAAGATGCATATATGGATAACATCAAAATTCGCCGTTAAGTACATTACTCTTCTTGCCAAAGATAATTCGAAAATAGACGTACTTTATAAAGAAAAATTTAGCTATCGATGATGTTCCAACAAATGTTTACGCCAACAGATAATGTCAGTTTGGCTGAATTTCATCAGAAAAGAGGTGGAGATCATTTTTTAAAACAATATTAGCTGCCAATGTGTCATGTCACTTTGTGCCATTCTATTAAAGCTATCGTTTGATAATTTTTGACTTTATCTATTAGAGTCGCACACAGTGTTTCTGAGTGGCCTTATAAACTCTAAGCACAGAAACCATCAGATTAGGTTAGATGCGCACTTAGGTTTTACTATTTTTGTTAAGACGATTGGAGAGTGGAGACTGGGGGGCCTGCACCCCCCTCCCATTATTAAACCAATCCTCATTAAAATTGAGCTTGCATTTCAGTGTGTTTACCAGAGAAAGTATATCCCGTTTGTATCGCAGTATGGAGCTTAAAAAGGCTTAAAACTCCGAAATGTAAACCAACGGGTGGGGGTTTTACAATAGGTATTACAGCTATTACGCATGTTTGGGGGAAAATTTAGTCCAATAAACATAAAAATTGTCTTAGCGGATTATTTCTACTGTATAGCAGTGTTATGTTTCCAAGTATGAAGTGCTTAACGCTGAAGAATTTAAACCATACGACAAAGCAACAGAAAATGGAGTCTGTGTTATCAAAAGGAATTAGTTAATTTGCAGTGCTGTTTGAACAAGATCGAAATACAATTTATTTCTACACGGAAGATTGGATCGACTTCATACAAAAAGTAAAAAACTTAAGGCTGAAGGGGCGAGAATTAATAGTCTGGAAAAACAGAAATGCCGAGTCCGCAGCTTATGGATAACATTGAAAACCAACAAAATATTTAGGATAAATCCCAATCAACAAAACTAGGTACGTATACGTACATTCCTCGGGGTAGGTCTTAAGAAAACGTTGGCGTTACTTGAAAGAAATTGTATTTTGATACCATTCACTAAAAATAAAAAATACTGTCATAATAGACGTAGGGGTAGATTTTATGTTCACGTTGGCGTTATTAATTATTCGAAATAAGAATTGTCGAATACCTAATTACTCGAAACAAAAATAGTTTCATATAAATATTTTTTATAAACAGACAATTTCTATTTAGATTGTTTTTCAATTAATCCGGAATGGTTGGCGTATAGATAGTTTTGTATAAATGTATTGATTTTTACAAAAGTCTGCTCAATGGCTTAGATAAATAAAAATTAACACCATTTCCTTTTACGTGTTGAAGTGCTAAATTACTACATAGTGCAAACAATGCAAATATTCACTCAAAATGACATCTAACTTAATTTATACACTTCTATGTAGCCTAGCACGCTACTGTAGCCTAATGTTATAGCCTGGTATATTAACAAAATAAGCCCTTGAATTATTTGTAGAGAATCCATGTATGAAAGAGTACGATAAAAAGAAAGTATGTCTATTGTTTGCGGGGTCTATTGATACGAGCACTTTCCTAACTGGTAGATTGTCTGAAGTGTTCCTTGGGATCAAATAAGATCGAAGGCACATATTTCAGATTCTCCTGCAACTGGGGAATCAATGATGTTACCAAGGACAACACGCTGATTGTACCATTAGTATAGTTTGAATAAAACGTTTTGTATGTAATGCTTCTAGAAAATATTTGATTGGTAACTAAATAGTGAATGGAATAATATGGATATTGAACAATAAACGCGATTTACTCATGTAAGATAAAGGGAGAAAATTCAAGACATTTTAGTATCTAGTATAATATACATGTACATGTGTGAAACGCAAAATAAAAGTGACACCTGTTCAATGTTCATTTGAACCCCAAGCGTATAATATAATCACAGAAAAGTGGATATGTCTAACTCTTCGCCAATATCAAAATGAATTGTGGTATGTATTTAACATTCTAAAGGAACAACAAATTGACTTAAATAACTTTAAAAACAATAATTATCAAGGCATTACAATATTACAATAGTGTAACCATTTGTGACAGGCCGGCGTCGAACGCCAACACCAGTCACAAAAACGGTAGCTTGATAATAATAAGTCAACATTTTTTGACGGTGATTTAAAAAGCATCATGTTAAATTAGTTCAGATTATACTTGCTTACCTCCTTGACTGCAAAATAGTCTTCAAGTTCAAAAAATGTTATATCTGTCTTCAGGTCCAACGTGTAAGAGGCGGTCATCATGGGTGATATGAAAATAGGAAGCGACAAGCAGATCACTGCAGTCACCCAGAACCTAAAAGAGGATCAGGTGCTCGAGAAAACAATGCAGATGCTAGATCTAGAAGAGTCATATGCTATCAAATTATTAGAACTGGATCATAGAATCGTCAGGGTTAACTACAAAAGATTAAAGAACAAAGTTGGTAAAATCAAATCCCATCTTACTCCCGAACAAGTGGCTGAGATACGAGGTATTGAACATGAGGGTAAACTGAGCCAAGGATACACGAGTATAAACCTTAGTGGTGCTATAAAGATAGCAGCGGCTGCTAAGAGACTTAAACTAGGTGTAGGAATGCCTCCCCGTCCCAAGCCTCCAGGTTTGCCTACAGCGCCTCCTCCGACGTCTACAGCCCAATCCAAGAAGAAACCATCAAGAGCGTCGCAACGGGAGAAAAACACATCGAGCTCTCGTCAGATAGACACAGAGCCTGGACGAAGGCGGCGCAGTAATTCAGTGACGGGTGTCTTTGTGGACGCCCCTTCCGCTGAAACAGGACGTCAGCGCAGAAGCTCAATTTCAAATGTCTTAATTACAAATGGTAATCAAAATGAACATACGATCGATAAACCATTAACAGCTGCTGGTGGTAGAGTACACATCACCGATGGTGAACTTGATAATATATCAGAGGCAGCAAGTTCTATGACAAGTAGCAATGCTAACAAACTGAGGGCTACGACTGCACATCCTTACACCAGAGATGACCCTAGAAACAAAACTAAGCTCACCAGGCGACCTCAAACGTCACACTTGATTACAAGATTGAATAAATCCAACTTTTCCTCTCACGCCGAGGAGAGTAATGCTTCCACCTCCCCCACAAGGAGGCCGAGAACAACAGCAATTACAAGTAATTTCTATGAAATTGGAAATAATAATGATAATGACGATACATTCGGGGAGGATCCGTATGAACAACGTAGAAAAGAACTTCTCACGTTGGAAAATTCCAGGCATGATGGTTTCAGTGAAAGAAAGAAGTCATTCATGAAAAATATAGAAGAGTACATTTCAGCAAAACCATTTCCAGATCCTCTTAAAAATTGGGATATCATAAGATTCCTAAGAAATCAAGAACAGTTTCTACGCAGAACCAATAGCGAACAAAGATTAGCCACTGATCTTAATACATCTGGACGACGTAAACGTTTCAAGTTTCCTGGTTATGGGGGAAATGATACTGAAGAAACTACAAAGGATGTGTTGGACTCGTGGAAAGGGCAGATGAGAAAAGTGCGATATCTGAGAATCCCAGAGGAAATGATCGACACTAGCGGAGTGAATACGTTGGCCAGGGATCAGATAAAGCAACGAGCTGCGCTGAAATCAAACGCCAAGGGAGGGAGGGGGTTCAAACAACTTGCAACGGTGAATGATTAGAACTGATATAGGAGCTCGTAACTTTTCAATTGTTAATATTTGTTCCACAACGTCAATCGACGTCAATATTATGAAAAATGTATTTTGAACATAAGGAATTATAATGCTGTTTAGTAATGCAGTTGAAAAAAGACAAAGCAGAAAGCTATACGCTTTTATAATATGATCCAGCTTTAATAATGAATTCACTGATTTGCAATGTGGACTGATCATAAAGGGACGGCAAAACGTGAATAATACTTAGAAACATAACAAAGCGAGCCCCAGTTAGTATTTCATTCGTAGTTTTAAATTCATTTCTGTGGTAATTTGCCGTCCTCAAAAAGTTGGAGACTGTAACAATATGTCGCCATATGTGAAAAACCATCCTTTCCCTGTTGTGAACAAATGTTCACAACTTCGTTGGGATAATTCGTATCTTATTTCCAGGGAATTTCCATTCGAAGCAAACTTCAAATTTAAATCCTTCTCTGACATAATTATGTACATGTGTTGGCTATTCAAGTTTTTGCAAATGACAATAGATGAGTTAGCAGATGTTGTGTTGTCTAGAGGACATGGAGGACGAGTTGTCCTGCTACGGTACCATGGTTACAATAGAAACAAAAATCATGGCAACACTTCAAAATATTTCATCGATTTTCATGAACTAAAGTGATAACTATCACCTTGATAGTTTAGTTATCACCTCTTCTTTAGGTGAGAAAATAGAATATATATTTGAAGCTTTCCTTTGATCTTAGCTTGAGGTAAATTATTATTATGAAGGTTTAAAAGAACACTTGGATTATTGACCTACCTGTAGAGTACAAACATCTTCAAGGCATTGTATCAGATGGACCAACAGTTTGAGCTACCTTGAGGCATTACAGTATAGTAGTTAGGTAATAGTTCACTATCTGACTAAAGTGGTTGGCTGTAGACTCAATAGATGAAGGAAACACTAAATGTACCCTTGATTGATATTAACTGTATTTGTCTTCAATTTGGCGCTATTTAATTCGGCGATTTTGTTTTTGGGCCTATTAGCATCATGAAATACCATGGCTCTCTCTTCTTGCAACTAAACACACAAAGGTTTTTAGATGCAATGTGTAATTACTTAATTTGGCATTTTTTCAAGTGTCCAATCCAATTCAAGATATACTCATTGATAGTGTTGTTGAACGATTTTTTCAATATTTGTTGTTTATATAAATATCTTCAATATTTCTTGGTATCTTTCTTCTAGCCGTAAGTGCACAGAAGGAAAAACATGCGATATTTTCGGGGATTTTGGCGATTTTATTATTTGCTAATTTAAAACACTCGCCAAATTAAAGACAATACAGTAAGCATTGTCATCGGTTATCATGGACAAAATTCGATAGCCCTGTGACAAACCTTGCTTTCTACTTATAAGTAAAATCTGATTCCAAATATGCATTTACTAAGAGAAATGGCATTTCTAACACACCCTGCTTTGGACCAGTGCTTATGGATTCTAATATGGTAAACTTTAGCTGCAGAGTCTGATTTGAATATGAATGCCATCTATTATAAATAAAATTCTGTAATTACATTTGATTCAGCATCCAGTAACATGTTCATATTTTTGTCATTTTAGGGTGGTACACCCCACGCGTCTCAGTTATCATGTTCATAATAACACAACAACAATTATATTTTGTAACTATATTATTTTTTAACAACTGTTTTCATTTTACATTGGCCTATTTCCTGTGTGCTTACAAAATATAGTTTGGCAATTTGTTTACCTACTCAATAAAATCCCACACAAGTTGACATTATCCATTGTCTATTTACACATAGTCCATTGAATCAAATCAGGCAGACTGGCAGTGGAAACAATTGTCTATTATGTTTATAAATAACCTAGAATTAACTATAATCAAGCTTCGAATCCAGCAAGGAAATTTAGAACAATTTCTTTAAGTTTAGCTTCTGTTGCATCTGTGATTTTTCCTTCCTTGGCTATAGTGGAAAGGACTTCCTGCTGACTGCTCTGTAGATGTTTAAGGTATGCTTGTTCAAATTTAGTGATTTTGCTTGGGTCAACTTTATCGAGCATACCACGGACACCGGCGTATATGATTGCCACCTGCTCTTCTACAGCCATGGGGACTGAAATAACATAATAATCGAATATTTAGAATATGAAATAACGAAGAACTTAAATGTGAAATTTCAAATAATTACATGGGAAATGGGAATCTGTGAAATATGAAAGCTGAAACAATAGTGACAACAAAAAATGTTCCTTAACCTAACAAAACAATATAAAATTCATCATTGTAAATTACTAAAAGTCATTTATTTCCAAAAAGTCCTTTCTCAAGAGATATTCAAACGAAATGCAATTCTACATCTATCTCTTACTACAGGGTTCGTACACCTTTTTCAAAATGAATTTCCCTGACAATTCCCTGACATTTCCAGGCAAAAAAGGAAATTTCCAGATCTAATTTTCTTCGCGCGCCCTCTAAAAAGTCTCAAACAACTGTATTATTCAAGACAAAAAGACTTATTATGAAACATTTGGGGTTTCTCCTTCAGTACCATTTCTCATGACTTAACTACTTGTACAGGCAGTCTTATTCACCAATTTATTCCTGATACATTTTATTTTTAATATTACATATTTTACATTGCATAAGGCCAAAGGTAAACATACATGTACAGGGGCATAGCCAACAAGTATCAAGGAGGTGCATCTTGGGTTTGCATCACTGCGAGCGAAGGAAAACTAGAAGGGGGGTACGGGGGTTCACCCCCGGAAATTTTTCAATATTGACAATTGTATATGGTGCATTCTAAGCATTTCAAACTATAATTTGTTAATGTTTTGTAATGAATCCAAATGACAACTGAAACTTTAAAATTTTAATCTAAATCCTACTAGAAAAATAGCAACTCACTTGAGGGGCAATTCCCACCTAATGAAACATATTTCTATTGAATACTATCATTGTGAACATTATATGATAGCAATAACCTGGCATTACTATTGTCTTCTCCCTTTTGGGAAAATTACACCAAAACAATTGACACCATATTAGAAATTCCTTCTCAAGTAGCATCACCAGATCACGAAAAGGCTCAGGCCTATGATACCAAATCAAATAATCAGTATTTTGTGTTATCAGGAATCAAATTTCTTTAAATTATCAAAAATTTCATAAAAAATGGTGGCAATTTTGAATTCAGAGACCACCTTGAATATTTCTTCTTGAGCAGGTCCTTTGTCCCTAAGGCTACATCATACAAAATTTGAGCCAAAGTAAAATGCTGGGTTCATCTTTACAAGAAGAAAAATTTGGACCAAATTCAAAAACTGTTAATAGTACCCCACACACATTTTGGTTGCCTACTTCCATGTGCTAAGGTTTTTAAAATTGGCAAAGCCCCTGAAAGTTGAAAAGACTGACGTACGATCGGACTGTCGAACAGACAGCTTCTTAATATAAATACAATTTTACATTGTAAAGAGCTCCCAGATTTTTTTTTGTTTTTCACCTCCCGCCCCCCCCCCCCTCAGATTAACCCCTCATCAAACCATGAAATATATACCAGTAATTAACTTTGAATGGCCTAAGACTAAGCTTACTACATAAAAAAGCATAATTGTATTAAATCATCTATACATTATTTTTATTGTTCGGTTTCAGTGTAATGTTCACACTGTTCTTACAAAAAGACAATACCAGATCTAATGTCATTCAACCAACCCTAATGAAAAGATTTGCAATTTGTGGAAACAACTAGATGATTGGGGATTTCACTTATATCCTGTCATAGCCCTAAAATGTATTTTGCTGGAACATTATTCTTTCAACATTGATACAAAATTCCCTGACATTTCCCTGACACATCTACTGTTTCAAAATTCCCTGACATTTTTGGCCCTTTTTGACCCAATTTAAAAATTCCCTGACATTTCCAGCACCTGGAAAAATAAATCAATTTCCCTGACATTTCCAGGTGTGTACGAACCCTGTACTAATTAAAATATCTGACAGCAACTTTGGAGTACTCATGAAACTTACCATATTGTCCCTGCTTTAGTAATTCGGTTAATCGTACACCTCTGTTGAGAAGCTGTTGAGTTGAAGCATCAAGATCTGATCCAAACTGTGCGAAGGCAGCTACCTCACGGTACTGGGCCAGCTCAAGTTTCATGGAACCAGCCACCTAAAGTAGATAATAACAATCAAATTAGAGGCTATTTAAATAACATATTTATTGAACATTTAATGATTTCATGAGCAATAGGCAATTTTCTCTGATTGTTTTTACAAAAGTCATCAGTTTAGAAGAAGTTTGCAACTGTTCATATGTCCATTTCAGTGTCATTTCTTGAACACTATTCAAATAATTGACTATTTTGAATTATGTTCTAAAAAAGAAAGAATTCCCAAACAGGTCAAATATCTAAATTTTTCATCAAATATTCCAGAAACTAAGCTGGATGCAAACTTTTTCAAATGCTCAACTGGATGCAACAGCTGTTTGATTTGAATGCTTGGAAAATCAATTGACTTTGATATAATTCCTGAACCTACCTGCTTCATGGCTTTAATCTGAGCAGCAGATCCTACACGTGATACGGAGAGACCTACGTTGATGGCGGGACGGATGCCCTTGTAGTAGAGCTCAGTTTCCAAGAAGATCTGACCGTCAGTGATGGAGATGACATTAGTTGGGATGTAGGCAGATACGTCACCAGCCTGTGTCTCAATGACTGGGAGGGCAGTGAGAGAACCACCACCAAAGTCATCATTCATTTTAGCTGCTCTCTCAAGGAGACGGGAGTGAAGATAGAATACATCACCAGGGTAGGCCTCACGACCTGGGGGACGCCTCAGCAACAGGGACATCTGACGGTAGGCAACAGCCTGCAAATACAACAAGCTATGTTATTCAGTGCACATTGCTATTTCTGAAACAGGATACAACAACAAGCACTAGTCCAGAGGCCCTCAGTCAGATAGTTTCAATCAGAGTCACGTTATTTTGTCTGAAATATGCATAAACATTAATATTTGATAATGATGTCAGCCGTGAAATCTTTATATGCCCATTGTACAATTATGTTAAATAAAGAATAGATTTAACTGAATGAGCTACCCTATTCCCCAAAGGTTTAAATAAATAGCATCAACAGAGTTTTTTCCCAGATCTTGGACTTCTTTTTGGACTTCAGGAAACAAAACTATATGACAAAGGAGTACATATCATAAGCAGGTTATGTACAACATCCTATGTGCACAATGATGTTTGGATTGTATGAGGAAATATATGAGATATATGTGAAAATTAATACAATTAATGAAATATTGTGTAATCCTTAGTTTGTGAACCCTTTATGCAAGCAACTTCTCACCTGTTTGGACAAATCATCATAGATGATGAGGGCATGTTTGCCATTATCTCTGAAGTATTCTCCCATGGCACAACCAGAGTATGGAGCCAAGTATTGGAGAGGGGCAGCATCAGACGCAGTAGCAGATACAACAATGGTATACTTCATGGCATCTAAACAAACAAACAAGTTGTTAGACATGATTCAATGGGCTAAATGCAATGATGACAGGTCAGTCTGTTCTTCTTTATCACCACGACCTTTACTAGTTTAGAAGGATTATTTTTTACTTTATCGACTTTAGCAATAGTGGCAGACTTAGTATTTGTACTTAGTTTGCAATATGTGGTGATTATATCAATAATCTGGATTCAGCAGTTCGGCCAAGATTTCACTATTCTGCCATTTGAAACAAGGCTATTGGGTAATCCAGATAACATGCAATGATATATTTTTAAAGCAATCTACAGATCTAAAACTAGTTTAACATCTATCTTATAATTATAAATAATTAATTTCACAATTAAAATTTTGATTGCTGATACTATGGAAATGAACATAAATGCAAGCAAAAGGAAAGTAGATAATGAACAAACCTGCATCTGTGAGTCTCTTGACTAGCTGGGCAACTGTAGATCGTTTCTGTCCAATAGCTACATAAATACAGTACAGCTTGCTTTTCTCATCCTGGCCTTCGTTGAACCTTTTTTGGTTAATAATGGTATCTACAGCAATGGCAGTTTTTCTGAAATTATATAGGTTTGTATAAATGGAAAGACAGTTCAGCAAAATAAGCAGGTTTGTTGTATCTATAAGACATCTGAATCGATCAAATTGAAATTTTAACCCTTAAAGAGTAAGGGGAGAGGGAAAATTTGCCCCCTAAGACATTTTTTGAGAACTTTTTTTCCTGGTTGGTCAATCGACATGAAACTTTCGTTTCTTAAAATTAAAACAAAGCATGTTTTAGCAAAAAATTGTGACTCTGACCCCCCTATGAATATAGTTCAAAATCAATAATAAAAAGAGAAAATGTTGCCTGCCTTACCCTGTTTGTCTGTCTCCAATGATCAACTCTCTCTGACCACGACCAATAGGTACAAGACTGTCTACAGCTTTGATACCAGTCTGCATGGGTTCTTTTACAGATGTTCGGGGAATAATACCTGGGGCTTTAATACCCACTCGCTGCCTGCCTGAAGCATTCAATGGTCCCTGGAAAAAACAATCATTCATTCAATACTATGAATACAAAGTAGTCAAAATGTTTATGGATTAAACTGAAAAATCGCATACGAGATGTATGCAGACTCTTTTATTAATATGAACAAATGTTGTTGTTTTTTGATACCCGAGACCACATTTATTCAAAAGAAGATATATATTGGGTGTCCCACAAAATTATATATTGAGTGGTCTACTGAAAGGAAAGTTGATAGTACAGTATTCTGTACTCCAGATACACTTAATCTGACACTACTAAATTTGGCGAATTTGCCCAAATTCAAATATTGGAGAATATTTAATTTGGCGGAGTCAGGACTGAGCTCAAGTTTTACCATAGATCTGGAAATAAACATTTCATGTGTTCTGCTTTCAGTAAATCTTGGTCTATGGCACTGACATCCAAATAGGAATAAACACAAGTGATATAATTGCAAATTACAAATTCTCTGGGAATTTTCCAAAATATATCTGAAAATTGGCGGATTTTTACTTTGGCAGACTGAATCCACCAATCCGTCAACGGTAGCCAAATTAAGTGCATCTAGTAGTATTTTAAACGTAATATACTATAAAGGCAACATTACCTTTCCATCAATAGGATTTCCCAGGGCATCAACTACTCTGCCTAGAATCTCAGCGCCAGTAGGAACATCCACAATAGCACCAGTTCTTTTGACAACATCTCCTTCTTTGATAAGTTTATCATTACCAAATACTACCACACCAACATTGTCAGGCTCCAAATTCAAGGCCATACCCTTGATAAAAAGAAAAGTATTTAGAGTATCTATAATAAGACATGGAAACGATCCACTCAGATTAATATATTAAAATCACTTCAAAGTTCAATGCAGTATATAATAAAGTACATGACATAAGTGACATCACACTAGCAGGTGGTACAAGTAGTCACCCAAAAGTTCAAATTTTAAGCTATAGAATTTAGTTCTCTCAAGCATAGTTGCAATTTTAAAGATGGGGCATTAATATGCAAAATGTAACCTCCTACCATTTGTTACTAACACTGAGCTCTGGTGCCATCGTGATATCAACACTGTCATGAATGACTATATTCCATTAGAGAAATGCTTACCTTTAGACCGGAGGAGAACTCCACCATCTCCTCAGCCTGAATATTTTTAAGTCCATAAACACGAGCAATACCATCTCCAATACTTAATACACGACCTGTTTCTTCAAGTTCGGCTGTGGCGGTTTGGCCTAGAATACGGTCTTCAAGGATGGCAGAGACTTCAGGGGAACCTGGAATTTTAAGGAAAATCAACAAGTGAACAAAAAAAGAACTTATCTCTTGAGTAGCCTACAGATTTGCAGAAAATAAAGCTCTAAAGCAAAAACCATATATAACAAGGCATTAACATGACAAAATGACACCATCATTGTTGCTTACAATATCATGAGTTCAATCTTAGTCAGATTTGAACTTCTGAGAAGTTGTAGATGATTTGAAAAATAGTTGGCCAATTTGAAATAAGTTGAAAAAAGACCTTTTTGACCTTTTTACCTTGAGAAGGTCAGTGAAGGTCAAGTCTTAAATCTAAAAATCAGATTTGAATTTCTGAGATCTTGAAGATGATTTTTGAAAAAATGTCAAATTAAAGCAAGTTGAAAAAAACCTTTTTGACCTTGAGAAGGTTATTGAGGGTCAAATCAAAAGTCAGATTTGAAATTCGGAGAACTTGTAGATGATTTTGAAAGAAAAATTTGGATAATTTGAAGCAAGTTGAAAAAAAGACTTTTTGACCTTAAGAAGGTCATTGGAGGTCAAATACAAACTGACATCTTTATCTTGATGTGAAATAACAAAGCTATGATATTCGTTAACACGTCAGAATCACCATATCATTATTCATTTCATCATTTTACAAATTTTTGAATTTAGCATGACAAACACACAAAATGAATGGTACAGAAAATTGGACGAAACAGGTTTGCAAATATGAGCTAATGTTAAATTTGCATTGATCCGAAAACAAGTTTTGGCCTCTGAACTAATTTATGAGAATTCTAAATGCAGCAGATCGTATGAAGTTGTGCCATGTGTAATTTCCATTGAAACAAAAAATAATTATGGCGTCTCATGGGTGAAACTACCAAAATTGAAAATGAAAAATTTCCCCGATACACCCCATGCAGACAGATCGCCTAAAATTACATTCGTATGATGCAAGACTCGACATTCACCATAAAAGTAGAAACAATTTGTCACCTATGAAGCAAATTAATTTTTTACTGCTTTGTCACGGTGTCAAACCCAAACGCTCTTACATGCACGACGGAGAGTTTCATTACTGAAACTAAATAAAGAAACGCTCCGGGCGGGTACGATTTCAGATGTAGATTTACTACAAGATGAATGATTTATTCCCTCCCCCTGGTGTATGTAATTTCGTTTAATTTATTTAAAAAAATTGTCCAGTGTTTTTTTAAACCAGTCAAAAAAAATTTGTCCAGAGTGTTTAAAGTGACTGGACAAATTTGTCCAGACACCAAAATGCTTATTTCCCATACTCTGCTATTTCAATAACGCCGTCCAAGTATTGCAAAAACGTAATGAAAAATCCATGGACCCGGAAATAAAAAGTGATTGCGTTTTGTGGACGCAGTGCAAGCCATACTCATACAATCAACTTTGGATGAATGATTTGATAAAGATCTTACCTTCAGTCTCTTTATTTCGTCAGAATCCAATAAATAATTGAAGAAAATTCTATTTCTAAAAGAAATAAAATTTTCTTTCGAAATTTCCTTCCCGGAAGTTGATTTCTGATCGAAATAGTACGAGGCATGTGATAGGACAAAAATTTATACAATACTCGATTTCCGAGCAGTAATCAGTATGAGTCCTACGATTGGCCGGTAGCTTAAGACCTGATTCAAACCATTTTCAATTGGTCAAGTGTGATCACGTGATCATTATTTGAGACTGCATATGCGCAAGAAACTGAACTAAAAAGTTGAACCTCACGCAGATTGCCCCTAAACTAAACATGCTAAAGCAAAATCAATAGCAAATTGTTTCGAAATTCGCAAGGAAAAGGTGTTTTAAATGGGAGAATATAAGTTATGATGGTATCTGTATCATTCAATGACATACTAGACTTGCAAGAACGCTGATTCAGACCGATAAATAGCAAAAGCAGTGGTACAAAATTTCATCAATTTATTTCATCCAGTGTAAAAACGTGACTTTTGAATTCCCGGGAACATTTTTTCAAGGGACGCAGTTTTTTGAAGGGAGACGCATTTTTTGAAAATCATTACGTCCAAGGGACGCAATTTTGGACAAGCCTACTGAAAACACTGCATACTGTTTGCCGCCATTTTATTTTGCTCCACAGCGTTTCCGCAGCGTAAATGAAACGCTCTGACATGCATGTAAGAGCGTTTGGGTTGGACACAGTGTTTGTGATCAATGAAAAAAATTAATAAAATCATTTCTTCTAAGGATGGAACCAAGGATCTTACTAGCAAAGTTTGTCTTGGAAGTAGAAAGATTCTTCAACTGCACAAAGCCAGCTCCAAGTGCATTTTTTGTAACCTGAAAACAAAAAAGAGCAGAAGATGATCTAACACTCTTTTAGGCTAGCCTATATTGATAGTGTGAGTGCAATTCTCACCCAGACACCATAATGGTTCAAATAGAATCGCCCTATCACTCTATTGATTGCTAACAAATCTGCAATACTAATCTGTTTTAAAAGTAGCCTTGGATAACCTTTGATCAACATGTCTACTTGCATAGATTTTACATCAACATTTTTGATATGCATTTGAGTATGAAAGAGATTGAAATCAATAAATCTTTAAGCTATCAATCCCTGTAAGGTAAAGGCATTCCAATGAATATTGTCAATGTGGAAAATCATTTTGTTTGCTTTAACCATGGCATTCTAGATGACTTCTGGTTTGAATAGCATAAATTACCTATGGTTTTTACAATCCCCTAGGGCAAAGGGATGACGGATGTAATGTCGATGTGTGGGGTAATGTCAATATAAGAGATGGGGTAACTTCGACACTTATTTACTTATTAGAAGTAGAATTTCTGTTTTCCGCCATGTATGATTGCTGGAAAAATTAAAATCTCAGAAGATCTCGATCCATGTGCAAAAATAAACGTAGCTTCCTAGATCAGAAATTAGAGCAAATAAACAACAAGATGTCGATGTTACCCCGCATGTCAAAGTTACCCATGAAATTGTGTCAACGTTGCACCCCTTCCTACTTTGAAGCATGTGTCCTAGATTTACTCACTTCGAGAGCCATGTTAGATTTTGAAACTTATGGCTCTCAAACGGGAAAGTGAACAGCTGATTAATAGTGACCTTTGAAATTCAATTAAGTCGATCCGCGGCTTACTTTTGGTCTCTAACTGTGTCTTACATCAGTATCATCAATCCGTGTAAGTATTGGAGCGCTGAAGTATTTCCTTTTCGATCAAGACTTGTAATTGTTAGTCGAATGAATGTTTTTACTGCCAAATTCCAATATGGCGTTTTCTGCTCGGACATTTTCGTAAATCTCCGGAGGTTGTCCGAACCTAACTACAGTTGGGGACAACAATAAATGACAGGTCGATTTTCGATCACCATTTCCTAATTATGGTGGTCTGAAAGCCCATAATTTCCAATATTGTCTAGATCCATATCCCTTAAAATTTGTATATTTTACATTTTGTATAATCTCATCCACTGATTTATGGCCTCTTGTAAATCCTCTTATTTTTAACATGGGAAATCCTCACTTCAGCAAATCCACCTGTCATTTATTTATGTCCCCAACTGTAATTCTCAAAATTCATTTCGTTCGTTGCGTATCTCGCTCCTAGCAAACTGCCATATTGGAAATAGGTCTAAAAAATATTCACTTGATGAACAATTTACAAGTCTTGATCGAAAAAGAAGTATTTCAGCGCTCTAATACTTACACGGATTAAGGTCTCATGGAAGTTAACAGGAAATGACAAAACAAAAAATGACAAAGCCATGCTGGATTTTGAAAATTTTTTGAACCAAGATAACAGAGTTCTGTTTGGACCTCCAGTCAGTTTAACTAGTTTCACATATCATTTACATGACTGGGAACACAATTGAAATGGTCAGAATGACCATAAACATGATAAAATAACCTTTTCAGCCCTTTGAAAATGTGACTGAAAAATAGCTAAAAGTAGGTGCTCAGGAAAGGTCAATCAACAGAATCTTTTGATTTTTTCAGAAAATGTGTCCAATATATTGCTCTAAATGACACAATCTTTGAAATTTAAAAAAATTGTCTGAAACAATAATGGCTGTTGTAAAAAGGAAAATAGATCGATTTTCAATTCAGTTTTTTTTAATTTTTTCTTTTTCTAAGAATGATATCAAATTTGTTTAAATTGTATCATTTAGAGCAATATATTGAGCACATTTTCTGAAAAAGTCAAAAGATTCTGTTCAGTGACCTTTCCTGAGCACAGACTCTTAGCTATTTTTTAGTCACATTTTCAGAGGGCTGAAAAGGTTATTCTATCATGTTTATGGTCATTCTGACCATTTCAATTGTGTTCCCGGTCATGTAAATGATATGTGGAACTAGTTAAACTGACTGGAGGTCCAAACAGAACTCTGTTATCTTGGTTCAAAAATTTTTCAAAATCCAGCATGGCTTTGTCATTTTTTGTTTTGTCATTTCCTGTTAACTTCCATGAGACCTTAATGATACTGATGTAAGACACAGTTAGAGACCAAAAGTAAGCCGCGGATCGACTTAATTCGATTTCAAAGGTCACAATCATTGAGCTGTCCAAATGCTCCGTGGGAAAGCTATTATATCAAAAATCCAAATAGCTTTCGCAGGAAGTAGGGCTAATCCTAGATAATTTTGGCTTGTTTTTGATCCAAGTCAAACCCTAATAAGTTGATTGACTATGGAATTATTTCGACAGTGGCCGATAACTCAAATTTACAGGTTCGCCCATGTTGGAGAGAAACTTGCATTGGATCGCATGAGCTTGAAACGATTGAAAAATTCCAAAATTTGTCTTCAAGGTCAAAGAATGATAAAAATGTGACAATTCATTTGATACAGTTGGCATATTAAGTGAATTTAAATTGATTTTACTTCATAGCAATTAAGTACTTGACACTCAAGTTCCTTTCAAAGTCTAGCCGGTGAAAGTGAAGAATTTTCAGCGGGCACCGGTCTTACAAAGTTGGAACATTTTACTAAATATGTCAAAGTCAGTGACATAACGTGTTTTAAAAACGTGTGCTACCCGTAGATATATAAGCTATATTTACCTTGGTAGCAGCTCTTGGCAAATGCCTCAAAAGGGAGGCTGCTAGCCTTTGAGATAGCATGATTATCGCTCTTCTGACCTGAATCGAAACAAAATGGCCGTCGCAAGAGGCCGTGATTTGATAAGTGTAAGCCCCAAAGCAGGTGCTTCATAATCTCAGAACTATTATATTTAAATTCATGTTTTGATATTTATAAAAGAATGTAGAACAAAACAATGAAAGTGTTTCATTTATTATTTAATTACATTGTGAAAGTTTATATTTTACACCACCCTGTACCAAATTGTGAACGCCAGTATCAATTTATTTTATTTCTAAATCAAATTGGTCATGTGACTTTCATTTGAGTGTGAATCACGAATCAACAACAAATTTTGACTGAGAAGTGTCGACACAAAAATCGTGTTTTCGGTGTAAACCTTCCAAAAATCAACATCATGGCTTGCGGTAATATAACATCTAAGACTGCTCTACTGATAATAAGTTTTATTTTTTGGGTAAGTTTTAGCTGGACATGGTAAATCAACCGACAACTGCTCAAATTGAAATTCATTGATTTTATTTTTCATTTCTTCAGTTCTTGATGATTTCAGTTATTCTTGAGGATTTCCAAGTTTTCAAAATATTTTTTGGGCCTTTGGGCCTAGATCTACACAGGAAGGGATCAAACCACACTCTCCAATAAAATCCACTTTTATCAGTACATTTCAACACACGATCCGGTTAAAATGCACCCTCGGATAAAATTCTCATACAGGTAGCCTTATCCCGTGCCAGGACTATAGTCCTGAGAATGTCTCAATCTTTTTCCTGTACGATTACAACATGGGTTAAGATACCTACTTCAATAGATTCCTGGGTATTTTAGCATTCTTTTCGTGTTGTTGAAACCACAATTATCTGGGTTTATGGGCAGAACGGGAACATTTTTTTTTTCATCGAGAGAGATTCCATGCTTTTCAAGATGGCGGTTGGATTAAATAGGGGATTTTCCGTTTGACTGGCCCGGAAGTACCAATGAATGGAGGAATTTGACGGTTGAAATAAGTTGAATATTACATGCAAATATTGCGATCAAAACGAAAATTTCTTCGTTCTGCCGATAAACCCAGATAAATGTTGATTCAACTATACGAAATGAATGCTAAGATACCAAGGAATCTATTGAAGTAGGTATCTTAAGTGTAATAGTCGTAGAAAATTCTCCCATGTTGTAATCGTACAGGCAAAAGATTGAGATGTTCTCAGGACTATAGTCCTGGCATAAGTCCTGGCAAGAGTGTGGTGGAAACATTTTTAAAACAACTGCTCTGTCGTGATGAATCATATTTATGTTATATTTTATCTTTTTTACATGGCTGCTACTATTAAGTTTAGAATGGGAACAATCAATCTTTGCCAACAAGTTGTGGTGGGAGTAAATAGACTGGTGTGTGGTGCTGCGCCACAGTCTAAAAGCCTAGCGAGAGCCCTGACACCTGTCAAACTTTTCCCAAAGATTCATCTTCAGTATTACCACTGAACAAAAACACATCCTCAGACAATTTTGACCTCATTTAAATTTCGCTGTTTCAGATAGATTTATGCTCCCAGAGCGGGTTATTAATTGATCGATATCATATGCATTTCATTTTAAGATGTTCTGACTCAAAACTTAATTTGGACTTACTTGTATGTATTCGTTGTATGGCAGGCATGAACATTAAACAAATAGGCTACCAAACTTTAGTTGTGTTAATATATCATTTTCTTTTGCAGTGTGTCGCTGGAGGTCTTATATTTATTGGAAGTTGGGTATTTCAAACATACAATCATTATGAGCAAATTGCTTCCGCAACATTGACTCTCATTCCTGCAGTCATCATCATAGGAGTAGGCATCATGATGTTCCTCATTGGACTCATTGGATGTGTAGGAGGCTGTAAAGAGAACCGCTGTATATTGGCAACAGTGAGTATTTTAATGTACATGCACTTTGGTCATCCTCCTAAGCAGGTGTCCAGAATCCGTACTTCCTTCTTCCCCCCCCCCCGCTATAACCAATACGGAAGCGCCTGATTTGCGCAATGACTTATACATGATTTCTGTCGCAGTGTTGCATTGCGAGTTCTTAATCAGGGAAATGCTAACTGCTTATCGCAGGGGGTAAAAAGAAAGAATATATATTTTGAAGCCCTGTGATCGGAGGATGACTTTGGTGTACATGCAGTTCGCTTCCTTGTACTTAAATTCTGATTCTGTAAAATTGACAAACTCAAAATGTACTAGGATACTAGGATGAATAACATACCATTTTGTGTGATTCTCATGATTTTTAAAATTGTTCACGCATGACGAAAACAAACATTCACAAAACATGTGTATAGGTAAGTAAGTACATTGAATTTCATGGCTAAGTAATCAAACTACAATACAGATGTCATGCTAGTATGAAATCACTACAATTATCGATCAAAATAAACTTCAATTTATAAATATAAGTATACATGTTTTAGAATGAGTCAGTGGTTTAAATAAGCACCCATTTATTCATGTGGCATTCATGTTTCAATTAACACCCTTCCAACTGTGGAAAAAGGAATTATTTCTACAATGACTTGCCAAAATCTACATTGAGATTTGCCTTTGCCCTTTTTGAGACATCATTATTTTGACTGTAAATTGCAACATCCTGGTCTTGCAATGTTGTGATAAATAGTGCTATACACTATGACACGACACATAAGATAATCGGATGGCATAGATTAAGTTCTATTGCAGTAAGATCTGATTGTTTTGTTTAAAGGTGCAATAATTAGTGCAGAGGGGTCATTCAACGATCATGGACCAGTGTCAAAATATATTTAAGTTTGGATATTACATCAAGACTAACATCTATTTTTATTATCTACAAAGAAACCCCCTAGATAAACATTATATTAGCTGATATTCCTCTTGAAACATGGTGGATCTTAAAAATATAAAAGTGGAAGTCCCATTTTTGAAGCTTTGAACTGAATTTACACTTCTTAATGCTAAAATTGATAATTTATCCATACATTTTAAGAAAATAGGTATGTCAAAGAAGATGTTAAACCAAATGTTGCCTTGATAGCTCAGAAATTTTTTTAAAAAATTTTCCTATTTATCTACAGTCCTTATATTGCCCCTTTAATTAAACAATTGGGATGTCATACTAGTATTTTCCAGTCCTTTTGACAGTACAATATTGTTATTTCAGTTCTTCTCATTACTCCTCATCATCCTAACTGCAATGGTTATAGCAGGAGTATTGGCCTATGTCTACAGAGACCAGGTTTGTAGCTTTAACATTTCTATCTTATGTTATACAAGTATATGGCTGTTGGGAATGATATCAGTAAAAGCATGTTGGTTTTATGTATCAAGAACAAAAAAGAGTCCTGTGTGGGGTAGTGAGGTGGACAGGGTCATAGTTGATGTGACTTTCCCCTAGATTCATGTATTGTTTTACAAAATATCAACCAAAATAAACTGATGATATATGGACCAAATATTCTGAATTTCATCTTTTTATATTCATGGTTATGATACAAGACATGAATGCATTAAATCACATATAATTTATTGAGTCATATTGTGCTTATATTCTTTTCACACATTGCTAAAGATTTTTGTAAAGTACATGTGTTACTAAAATTATGAAATACAACCAGAAACTTCTTTGCAAGGTTTTACCTTTTAAAAGCACCTACCTTCCCATTCATGAGTTAAGATTGAAATTCTGTAGGTTAAAGGTGTTATCAAGGATGGAATGTCTGATGCTGTGAATAAGTATGGAAATCCAAACAGTACTGCCATAACAAACGAAGTTGACTACTTACAACAAGAGGTATGTTGAATGTTACATTATGAGTGGTATTTGTTTTATTATTTTTTTATACATATTGTTCCTCAGGATGCACTATCAAAAATATTTATAGTGTAATTTTTTATATACTAGATTACTGATTGAAAAAAAAATTGAAAAATGTGTTTAGAAAGATGTCATTGGCTGTGGCAAGCATATCTTTTTCAGAAAATCTATTTTGAGCCAAAAAATGCAATAATCAATTTTATTATTTCTAACATGAAAAAACAACAAATTACATGTTACTTTCTAGTTGACCTGTTGTGGTATCCATAACTACACTGACTGGGTAGGCTCCCCCTGGCAGAAATCTCATAGTAATCTGACATACCCAGCAAGTTGCTGTGAAAACAAACACTGCAACTACACTACAAATGGCAGTCTTTATCAAAAGGTATGGAATCTTTAACCTTTAAACGGTTAGGGTATAGAGAATTAGTGCCCCCTATGATCTCAGAAACGGACAATCATATGAGGGTTTATGTACTATCATTGGAAAGGTTCTCCAGCATTTTGAGCTTACTTATAACTGTATCGAGCCATTATTAATGAAGAAATTCATATTCTAAGAACATAGGGCAGAGGGGTTTTTCGTTTCAAGTCAAAAAGCTAACTTTTCTCCTAGGGAGGTTAGAGTCACAATTTTTTCGCTATAACCTGCCTAATTCAGTTTTAAGAAAAGCCTAATAAGGTTTCAGGTCAAAAGATAAACTACAAAAGAAGTTATCAAAAAATTCTTGGGGGGGGCAGATGTGGAATTTTTTTGATAACTTTTGAACTGTTTAGAGCTTAATGAGTCTGATTTTATTAGTATAGTAAAATGAATACATTTGAACAAGGAAGTGTTCAAAAGTCCTTTCATGTAGATGGGAGTCATCCTCGTCCAATGGTATTATTTCACTTCTTTCCATACTCTTGGTAGCTATTTTGGGTCTTGTTGTGTAAACTGTCCCATTAGCCCTTAAATCACCAGCCAATGAGAACCATTTACAAGCAATATTGGGAATCTCATTCAAAATTAATAAAGATTCTTTAAAGATAGTTAACAGTTGCTGTTTCTATTCCAATTTAATTTCCTCTTCAGCACAAGAGAGATAGTGCATTAAGTGGTAACATAAGTTTCATGCATGATTTCATTTTTATGTTATATTAATAATTATAGGGGTGCTTCGACACTCTTAAAGATGAGTTCAAGAACAACCTGGCAGTCATAGCAGGAACCGCTACAGGGTTCGCTGTCATTCAGGTAAGCCATTATGCCATCACATATTATATCACAGATCTCCTGGATCGCCAAATCATACTCATTATATCATGGCATCTCAGGGCTGAGAAGATTTGAGATGTCATGGTTTATCATGATGGCCTTATAATGAGATCTCGTATTCATGTATGCAAAAGGTACCTGTAGGAAGTTACTAGTGACTAACTTGGATCAGATTATATGTCAGACATAAAAAATTAACTGTTGACTTGAGTGATAGATAGATTCAGTAGCTCAGTTTTCATCCAATCTTTAAAATGTATTCAGCAATAAGAAATTTAATCAATTAAACAGGCACTATGTATACTGTATATTGGAAGAAAAGAGGATGAAATAATCTTTGAGACATGTTACTCAAACACTCAATCAAATATGATACAAACTTTATTAATTATTTGGGTTAATACTGAAGTGATAAAAAACAACTCACATAGAAAACAGCATGCCCATTTTTTTAACTCTTGATTTAAAAGGCTATGGTATTTCTTTCATTGACATTCCTAAGAATTTGACATAAAAATTGACAGATTGAAACTTTGTTTTGATAATTTATCATAAATTCTGATTTGATCTGTTTGAGATGTTTTTCATGTCCAATGAAAGATCAAGTACTCATCAATCAATTGGAAATACAATGAAGATGAAAGAGAAGAAACAAATCTTATTTTCCAAGAAAGTTAACAAAAAGAAGATTCAAATATATCACTTTGACTTAGTTTTGCATTTTAGTTTTTTCAATATCAAAGTACATACGCACCAGACTAATGCAGATCTTTCCTGAAATAGTAGTGATAATTCCGATGAAGCAAAATCATCAAATAATGAATTATTAAAATCATGATCATGATAGAGACTGGCATGACTCTGACCATGTGCTGTGTTTGCAGCGAGAAACACTAAAAATACTAAAGCCATTAGATATCAGTAGTTTAGTTAGTTTTTCTTTTCATCAATAGATGCTCACTCAGGTAACATATGTCACTGAGTGTATTATCTAAAGTAACATTCCCTGAATGGGAATAAATTTTCGAAAATGGATTCTGTGGTCCCATTTTGATCAAATCCTTTTGAGTATAGGAGGATATTTGTTTGACCACCATGCCTTCAAAATGTGTTCAGTATTTAAAATAAAATCATTAACTTCAGGAAATGAAATCACCATTCATAAAACATGTAAAAATTAAACATATTACTTTTAAAATTTAGTTTCAAAGTTCATTAACATTTAAAAACCATATGTTTAAATAGTTGGGCATGTAAATTTCATATGAAACTCCAGATTGTTTCTATTGGCATTTATTCTATTGTGAAAATGTTCTTTGGATATTGGATTGGTGCTGTTAATGTTACAGATTCTAGGTTTGATTTTCTCTGGCCACTTAATGTGTCGCGCACGACCCAATCCAGCATACATGGAAATTACATCAACTGGGAGTATTTAAGCACAGTGGGTAAGATTTGTCTTAGGAAGGAGCAGAGGGGCGCTCCCATTCGAAAATCTCATTCGTTGCATTTTTTAAATTCTCTATTGGTGGAACCAAGTTGTTAGGGAGATGGTGTTACCATGTGAAACTGATTTACTGTAAAACATACTGGTGCTCAAATCTTCACTGTTCACTTATCCCATGTCTAACTTATGATTTTTATATGTAATGAATCTCAACTACCATTGATATCAATATAAGAATCTGAAATCTGAATGTGTGAATTGAACATGTTTTACAGTATACATCAGTGAGGTGCATACATACAATATATATATATATATTTGTGGTACCATATTTATCCATCAAATCATGTGGAGTGCCCCGTTTTTGTACATGTATACGTATATACTAATCTACAGTTACGCTTTACACCATGACACCCTTTTAATGGCTTCCTTAGATGTCAAAGAATAGTAGTAAATCTGTAGTAGATGCACCCTTAATTTAGAATGACCTTTAGGTTAACATACATTTTAAGAATAAGTAATAAGTCAAATAATTATATTTTGTTTAAATACTAGAATAATGGAAAATGATGCACTGGTTGCGTATTTTAAAATCTTCAGAGTATAATTTCTCTCGAAAATTCCTAAAAAGCACAAACAAAAAGTAGAAGCTATGCAGAAGCTGGCTATGGGAACCAACAAGGGTGGGAGCCCAAATTTCCTAGGCCCTAAAACCAAAAAGTGGGCCGAAATTTTGAAATTTTTGAGGCCCATTTTCTCAAGAATTTGGCCTAAAATTAAAAAATAAGACCTTAAAAGGCCCAGTTATGATAAAAAAGGCCCACTTTTTGGGGCCTCGAGGCTTTTTTCTGGGCCCACTTAAGGGGGGGGGGAGATCCACCAGTGATATGGATGATAGTATAACATGCAAGTGGTTAAGTTTATTATGTAAAAATTGTTTTATAATAAACAATTTGTTTTCTTATATAATTTCTCAGATTTCTGAGGTATTTTTAACATTTCTTTGTAGTCATTTATACCCAGAACTTGATTGGTTTACATAACAAGATATTTGAAATCCAATTTGGTATTTGGTTTAGCTGAAATGAAAAGTTTATTGATCAGTTCTATCGACCATATTTCAATCCTATTGTATAACATAGCATAGTTTTCTAATACACATGTTTTGTAATTTGACATACTTTGTAACTTGACCTGTTTTTATAAAAAGAGTATAGGGAATCACATTGTCAGCCCATAATACCATTTTTAATATTATCATTAATCTAGCTGTAAATATTGTAGTTACAGGGTGGGCCAAAAAATTTTGCAACCTTTTTAGAAGGCAAAAAAGTATCATAACATTATGGTATTGACATGAAATTTTTTTTACAGAAACTTAAGGATAGGCATATTTTACCATTCAAATACTTAAGCTAATACTGACTACACATTTTTTTGTCAGATCTTTGAATATTAATGGTAAATTGTTCATGTGTCCGAGATTTACCGATTTTCCTAGTATTACTATAATTTAATGTGATCATCGATAGAACATTTATTATGTTCACTATATCTGCTGCAATCTTTGTTAAGTGGTGTATTGGGCAGCTATTCATCAGGACTAATGAATCAAGGGGTATTTTGCTCCAGATATTCCATAGTGACTTTTGGCCTATGGTCAGGAGCGCTATCCTGCTGGAATATGTAATCACTTGGGACTGAAAGAGTCCCCATTCTTGAAATATGTCCCTTTTGAAGAAGATTAGTCCTGAGTCGAATGGTCACCCAATACACCAGATGCCAACCCCTGGGACTATCACACATGGGGGCACCTGGAGCAATGTATTGTAGTTAATGGTTATACCCCACAAATTATTGATCAACTATAAAAAGTTCTGCAGGATAAGTAGAGGCGACTACCATTAGAACTGCTGGATCTCGCCATTTACCAGTTCAGTTCTCGTCTCCATGTGATTGTGAAGGTGAAAGGCGGATGCATAGAGCATTTGTTTAATAAATAATTAATACAGTGTAACAATATTACCATAGTGACTAGATACTGATATAAACCTGTACTAGACATTGGTTAAACAGTTATCAAAGATTGAAGCAGATTTAGTAAACATAATGAATGTGTTATTGTTGATCACATAAAATCATAGAAAGTCAGATTTTCTAGGAAAAATGGTAAATCTCGGACAAATGGACAATTTACCATTAATATTCAAACATCTGACAAAAAAAATTGAAGTCAGTATTAGCTTAAGTATTTGAATGGTAAAATATGCCTATCCTTAAGTTTCTGTAGAAAAAAGTTCATGTCAATACCATAATGTTATGATACTTTTTTTGCCTTCTAAAAAGGTTGCAAAATTTTTTGGCCCACCCTGTATATTGTTTTCATTCCAATCTAAGAGATGTGTCACTTATGAACTTATGAATCACTGGTGATCCGCTCGATTACGCTGGTTACCGAAACGGTTCGTTTTGGTAACAAAATGTCGTAACGTCGAAGGTACGATTTTTCTTTTTTCCTTATTTCACGCATTGTTGGCAGAATCCCCAAGACGTTTTTACTCACAAATGTATATCAGTATCATATGTTTCAGAAAATGTACATGTTTGCGAAAAAATAACTCAGAAGACAACAGAATCATCGATTTAATTCCTCAATTAAGTTACAGAAACGGTTTGGGTTAAAAGTGCAGATCTTAACTGTTTTTCGAAATACTGTTTCTGTAACTTAAGTGAGGAATTAAATTGACGATTCTGTTGTCTTCTGAACTATTTGTCTTCAAATGTGTACATTTTCTTAAACGTATGATACTGATACACGTTTGTTATGTCACCACCAAAAAGTGGTGACATATTGTTATGGTCTCCGTTTTTTATGTCACCACCAAAAAGTGGTGACATATTGTTATGGTCTCCGTTTTTTTGCGATGGCGGTTGGTGGTTGGCGTCCGGCGTCTGGCGTCCGGCGTCTGTAACAATTTCTTACAACTTCCTATAACTTAACAAATACTGTTTAGACTGACTTCAATTTTTTTCTAAATCATCTACATCTTCTCAGAAGTTCAAATCTGACTTTAGATTTGACATTTGACCTTCAATGACCTTCTCAAGGTCAAAAAGGTCTTTTTTCAACTTGCTTCACATTGACTAAATTTTTTTTCAAAATCATCTACATGTTCTCAGAAATTCAAATCTGACTTTAGATTTGACATTTGACCTTCAAATCTGACTTTAGATTTGACATTTGACCTTCAATGACCTTCTCAAGGTCAAAAAGGTCTTTTTTCAACTTGCTTCACATTGACTAAATTTTTTTTCAAAATCATCTACATGTTCTCAGAAATTCAAATCTGACTTTAGATTTGACATTTGACCTTCAAATCTGACTTTAGATTTGACATTTGACCTTCTCAAGGTCAAAAAAGGTCAAAAAGGTCTGTTTTCAACTTGCTTCAAATTGACTAAATTTTTTTTTCAAAATCATCTACGTGTTCTCAGAAATTCAAATCTGACTTAAGATTTGACATTTGACCTTCAATGACCTTCTCAAGGTCAAAAAGGTCTTTTTTCAACTTGCTTCACATTGACTAAAACATTTTTCAAAATCATCTACATGTTCTCAGAAATTCAAATCTGACTTTAGATTTGACATTTGACCTTCAAATCTGACTTTAGATTTGACATTTGACCTTCAATGACCTTCTCAAGGTCAAAAAAGGTCAAAAAGGTCTGTTTTTAACTTGCTTCAAATTGACTAAATTTTTTTTTCAAAATCATCTACGTGTTCTCAGAAATTCAAATCTGACTTAAGATTTGACATTTGACCTTCAATGACCTTCTCAAGGTCAAAAAAGGTCTGTTTTCAACTTGCTTCAAATTGACTAAAAAAAATTTTCAAAATCATCTACGTGTTCTCAGAAATTCAAATCTGACTTTAGATTTGACTAAAGATTTGACATTTGACCTTCAATGACCTTCTCAATGTCAAAAAAGGTCAAAAAGGTATTTTTTCATCTTGCTTCAAATTGACTAATTTTTTTTTTCAAAATCATCTACGTGTTCTCAGAAATTCAAATCTGACTTTAGATTTGACTTAAGATTTGACATTTGACCTTCAATGACCTTCTCAAAGTCAAAAAAGGTCAAAAAGGTCTTTTTTCAACTTGCTTCAAATTGACTAATTTTTTTTTTCAAAATCATCTACATGTTCTCAGAAATTCAAATCTGACTTTAGATTTGACATTTGACCTTCAATGACCTTCTCAATGTCAAAAAAGGTCAAAAAGGTATTTTTTCATCTTGCTTCAAATTGACTAAATTTTTTTTTCAAAATCATCTACATGTTCTCAGAAATTTAAATATGACTTTAGATTTGACTTTAGATTTGACATTTGACCTTCTCAAGGTAAAAAAAGGTCAAAAAGGTCTTTTTTCAACTTGCTTCAAATTGACATATTTTTTTTTAAAATCATCTTCATGTTCTCAGAAATTCAAATCTGACTTTAGATTTGACATTTGACCTTTAATGACCTTCTCAAGGTCAAAAAAGGTCAAAAAGGTCTGTTTTCAACTTGCTTCAAATTGACCAAATTTTTTTTTCAAAATCATCTACACTTTTCAGAAGTTCAAATTTGACTTTACAAGTTCTCAGAAGTTCAAATCTGACTTTAGATTTGACCTTTGACCTTCAATGACCTTCTCAAGGTCAAAAAGGTCTTCAAATTGACTAATTTTTTTTTCAAAATCATCTACATGTTCTCAGAAGTTCTTCTTAAGGTCAAAAGGTATTTTCCAACTTGCTTTAAATTGACCAAATTGTTTGAGGTGGTGACATTTTGTCATGTTAATGCCTTGTATTAAAAAAAGTCGTGAGAATTCTGCCTACAACGTGTGAAATAAGGAAAAAAGGAAAAACATAGCTTCAATGTTCCGACATTTTGTTACTGAAACCATGGGCTTTCAATTGAAAGCCCATGCCGAAACGAACCGTTTCAGTAACCAGCGTAATCGAGTGGATCACCAGAGTGAATGCAGTTGATGAATGACTTCACTTGATTTACCTGATTTTGTAGAAAATGTAAATTTTCATGTGCTTTCAGATTCTTGGGATGATCTGCTCTTGCATTTTGTTCTGTCGTTCGCGGGAGGATGTTCCTTACATTGGCCTGGAGAACAATGGGCTACGGGTGTAAAAACATAAAAAGGAGAACACTCCTGTGAATCAGTCAGCAATTAATGTGATGGAATTCTGTATGATAGTTGAATTGAGAAAGAAGTTGTAAAATAGGGTTGAATGCAAGAAACACTTTTACTTATGGATCCACTTTTGTTAATATACACTAAGACACAATACCACATGGAATCTGCTTATCCTACATGGGGAGTAATTCATTCAGAAGATTAAAACTTCATTAATACAGATGTATAATCATATTGACTTTTTAGGTTTTTCCTTATTGCAGGTTAAGAATAGCCAGATTTTATTGAAAAAAATCAAAACAATCTTGGTTGTGTGTCAAAGTGTATAATTTGTATCATCTCAAATAATCACTGTAAATCTCAAAAAGATACATGACTTGTCAATTTGGGGAGTTATTAAAAAGTTGGCAAGTTACTGAAATATCTTCATTTTTACATTAAAACCTATGTGTAAAAGTAACAAACTATAGATTTCAATTTTAATGAATAAATACTAGTAGACATTATTCGAGTTATAAATATTTTTGAATTGTAACACTTTTTTGAAAGTGTTGCTCTCTGCACCGATTCTCCTCGAAGTACTATTTTAACTATTAACAGGATGTGGATATTGTTATGTCCAATATGTACCATACTCTAGTTTTGTGCATTAGGCTAAAAATACTTTAGATGCAGAAGAACCAGTATTATTCATTTTGGATAACCTCTTCAGTGCATGGTGCTTCAAGGGTTAGACTGAGCTAATAATTTTTGAGAGAAGATTGTTTGAGATATAGTAATCCGAGTTCAGTTGATAATACCATGACACTATTGCAAGACAATTATATATTAATGTGTGAAGTTTGTTTATGTATATATATGTAAAATATACCAAGTATGATCCACTTATCCTGTGTGAGCTTGTAAATATCTTAATTGTTTACACACATCATATTATGACTCCGAAATAAACAGAGCATTAAAGTTTTTACATTAAAGCAATAGTTTGTATGTATCTTTATTCATTAGTTTGTTGAAGAAACTCAGTTATGATATGTGAGGAACATATGTACATGCTGTGACTGTGACGTAATTTTTGCGAGTTTTCATTTGAAAAGTAAGCAAATTTTGATATGAAATAGCCCAAAATTAGTGATCTATCAGATCATTTTAAAGTGCTATTTTTAAAAGGGAATGCAGCTCTGTTGAGTGTACCCCAGACCCGTAGCCAAGGGGGGTTCGCCCCCCTGCCCCCCCCCCCCCCCCCCCCCCTGCCCCCCCCCCCCCCCGCTGGCCAAAAATTCTTTCAAAATCATGCAGCTTTTCACCATTTTGAGCACTTCTCTAGTGATTTTAGCCATATTTTGGCCAAAATTGTCAAATCTGAACCCCCCCTGGGAAATTTTGAAAACTGAACCCCCCTTTGCAAATCCTGGCTACGGGCCTGTACCTTTTATTATTTCTGATAGGAAACTTTTGTTTAAATGCTTTGTCATGATCAAAACATAAATTAGAACTCATGTTGAAACTCTATTTCCTCACTCCTTGAGACATCTTGCTGTAGCTTAGTTATTTATAGAATGTGTATATTTTGTCATTCATTCTGTAGTATAGTTTATGTACAGTTTTTATTACTGTTTTATATTACATGCCAAAATGGTACTAATTAAGGCATAATATTGCATCATTCATCATGATTTTAAATATAGTTGTATTTACTGACTAATAAAATGTTTATATTCATCCAGTAAAACAGTCTCATTGTTTTGTCAAGAATAATTCACATATTTTTATTCAAACTAAATCCAACTAATATTCAGTATGATAACATTCCCTCATAATTTTAAAATAGGGAAAATTCGCTTCTCAAGCAGATTTCCCACACACATAAGCCCATAACTGAGTTATCGCCCGGACAAACGAACAGACGGAATAACGGACAGATGGCTTCTCTATATCCGTACGGATTTTGTTTGGTGGGATAATGATGTTCAGAGATAATTTTAAACGAAACAACATTTTATTGAAGGAAAAGTAGAGAAAGCTCATGAAATGGAAACAAAGGGAAAAGTCGGTCACCAAAACAAATTATCCCAGAAGATTTTCACCGAGGCATTAAGCAGCAATGCTACAATTATTTATTTATAGTAAAAAAAGATGTCACTGCGTCATTAAGTTTGCCAAGAACTCAACAGCACACATAAAGGGAAATGGTTTTTTTATCCACCCCGATGAAAAATCCAATTACTCCATTCTTGACACGCACAGAGTGGCGCAAAATGCATTCTTGTAACCTCAGAATTACTGGTGATACCTCTCCTGTTGATATTGTTCCGAAGAGGAATACTTAAAACAATAGTGCCACAGGGTGTCCCAAAAGTTGTACCGACAAACAAATAATGTGAGTGATGAAGGAAGTCATCTTCGCACGCTCGGTCTTCACTACGTTCATTGACCGACGGGAGCCGAGTGAACGAAGATGGGAATAGTTGAAATTTGTTAATTTGACACCTAGGTAATTGTATTAAAGTGTTCCGATTTATTTGAGTGCATTTTGGGACACAGTGTGTTGCATCAAAGACTGATATCTAAGGAAATCACTTCCCCGTTTTGGGCATTGCCTCTCAAATCCTTCAAAATTGCACGTTCATACATAGCCTATGGATTAAACGCCTGACTTTATGCTGAATCACTTGTGGATTGTTGAATCGCTTTTGAATTGTTAAATCACTTTTGGATTGTCGAATCGCTTTTGGAATCACTTTTGGATTGTCGAATCACTTTTGGAATCACTTTTGGATTGTCGAATCGCTTTTTTTAATTTGGATTGTCGAATCGCTTTTTTTAATTTGGATTGTCGAATCGCGTTTGGATTGTCGAATCACTTTTGGATTGTCGAATCACTTTTGGATTGTCGAATCACTTTTGGATTGTCGAATCACTTTTGGATTGTCGAATCGCTTTTGGATTGTTGAATCACTTTTGGATTGTCGAATCGCTTTTAGATTGTTGAATCACTTTTGGATTGTCGAATCGCTTTGGGATTATTTGTTAATATTTTATAAAGATTGGCAAGAGGGGTTGATCGAATATAATTTTTTGAGTAATAAAGAGTAATATATAGTCTGACTAAAAGAATCTGAAATACCTTTATTTTCAATAATCATTTCGGTAATGAAGAATAACAATGATGGAACAGCGGTTCTAACCAACATTTTAGAAAATGTTGAAACTTGAGATAGACGTCCTTGATATTACTAATATTTACCGCATGAATGAACTAAAATAGTTTTTATGTGTATTTAATGATACATTATATAAAATTAAAAACTATCATTTTACAATTATTAAGCTATAGCCTATAAATAACCCCAATGTACTAGATATAATATTAAAAAATTTAATGAAATGCACATGCAAATATCTTCATTTTGGTCAGCAGGACAATTGCCAATTTATGTCTTAGATCATGAAATAGTCATGTTAAGCCTATTTGCATTACTAAATTTTACATTAGGCTATAGTAGGAAAAGTGAAATACAGTAAGTATAGATTTGACTAAACATGTATATCTTGATGACAGTAGAACCCATCCAATTTGATAAAAATGATTGTTATTTGCGTATTTCCAGTTCTGCACACGCCCATCGTTTATCTGATTATACACGCTGAATGAATGGGATTCCTTAACGTCAAAAATAACGTTATGTCTCAAATATTTCACATTTTTGGCAGCTATATTTCCTGTTTTGACACCATGAGGACGGGATAGGAAACATTAAATATCTCATTACATAGATGTTACACAAATGAGCAGCGGGTTATTTGTTTGGCAAGCTTACTCCCAGTTGTACTCGTTTTGGTGCAAACTCTAACAAACCAACGCATGTTATCCCACTGGCATTGGAAAATGGACGAGACAGTCCTAGATCTCACCTGCTAGGCCTCCTAGGGATGGCAGGTGCTATTGTTACCATCTTAAGCTCTCGATAGTCTACAGCAAATTCACAAATAGTTACGACAACTTATATACCTTGAAATATTTCATTCCATTCAGGTGAATCATATATTGTGCATCTGAATGGCCGGAATGAAATATGTCAAGGTGTATATTTTATGAGATAAAATGAAAAATTTGAATTATCATATCACTCTAAGTGGGAAATATCAATTCCCGAGAGCTGTATGGGCGTAGGGGGAAGCTTTATTTGAAGTTACGTAATCAAATAAAAAACAAATCTTTCCTTTGGCTCGCTTTGTCGCACCCACCCCTGACTGAAAACCGAAATTATTCTTATCAGATGTGTTGACAGCTCTCCTGATAAAGGAAGTGACTGGTAATTTCTGGATTTGTTTTGGCCGATCGCACCACCCCCTCCCCCCCCCCCCCCGACTGAGAGCTGGCTAAGCCCATGAGCGGGAACACGTGCAGGGATAGAGCGCTATGCGCCGCTCCTGGGGATTTTCTTCAAAAAACCATGCTGAATCATTTGAATACGATTTTATACTTATATTACGTATACGAAGCGTTGTTTATATCTGAAATAAAATATTCGCATCTTCATTCTGAACTTCTGATTTTACTCAAAACCATGGACTCGAAATCTCCCTGTCCATATGGAAATATGATTCAGAAAAACGTCTTGGAATGATGGGTGTAGTCCTCCATGATCGGCCTTTCACTGCTTTAATGCTAATAGCAAGTAATGCAATGAACTACTCTTGGGCTATAGATGATGGGTATTGCATTTCTTCCCCTTGCGCTAAATAGACTCGGTTATACGGGGGTTATACGTAATCGCTGTTTGACAAGAGAGATCCGCAGCGACATATTATAAGCATATAAGTGAATTGAAATTTTGCGTTTCGCAGCAAAGATTACGTATGTATATATTATAATAATAGAAACATTTCCTAATTTACTTATAGTATGTTTACTATTCCCGTATGACGTATAAACAATTAGCATTTGATTACGTCCTCACTTATTGGGCAGATACATAAGAATCTCACACCTATGGACGCATATAGAGCTGCACAATAAATGACGACGTAATCAAACGCTTCATAAGTTATACGTGTTACACGGGAGTAATAAACTTGATATAAGTTAGTTGCGAAATCTCCCATTGTATTTATCAATAGCTACTTATGGACGGAGAGCTACGCGACAATGATAACACAAACATTCAAAGTTATATAAAATAATAAGCACGCAATATGAGTTACGAAATCTCTCTATTCACTTTCATTTTCATAACTTCATCCGTCAAAACATTAAATGTTATGTCATCACAGACTTTCCATCCCTTGGTAATTTTAATGATTAACACCTATGTGCAATTTTTAATTTATTCATTTTTATATTGTCCCCACTAAGCATTTCGTGTTAGTGTCTGTCATGCTACACTCCCCTCCATAAGTTTGGCAACCTTTTTCCCCCATTGAACTACGTGTTAAAGCCTCTTTACGTTTGAATTTTTATTTACTTAACCGGCGATGAAATAACTTATGATATTGATGGAAACGTAACTTGACTTTATTTCCAATACCTCCAAATTTTCTCAATTTTTTCCTCAATTACAATAGGTCGAAAATTGATGATAAATTTGATGAATTTTTGAAAATCGTCATTCCCACGTAATCCAATGGGAAATAGAGGGTTCGGGGCAAATCAGAAATCAGGATATCTTTTCAGTAAAAGATTCAGCAAAAAATATTTTTATATAGAAAATTGAATTGTTTAACTTTTTTGAACACTAAGTTGGAACAAAATAGCATAATATACAACATTTTCTTAGACCTTTCAATATTATAGTTATACAAAGGAAATTTTGGTTGATTTAACAAAAAGTATGCAAACTTAAAACAAAACCCCCCAAAATAGATAAAAATTAAGATAATTTTATCTCATTAACAAGATACTTTTTTAAAATCAACCAAACTTTCCTTTGTACAATTACAATATTGAGAGACCTAAACACGTTGTATTTATGTCGTTTTGTTCCAATGAGGTTCGGATAGATGTTTCATTAACTTCCGAACAAATGATACCAAGAACGAAAGAAGTGTCTGATGTGTTTTCTAAAACAATATACTAGAGAAAAGTACATATAATTCAAATTATAATGTTACCATCCAAAACGGATGACCATTAAATTGACGATGTGTAAAATTTTCAGAATTTTTTGATGAATGGTTTAAGAGAAACGTGTGTTCAAAAAGTTCACCATATCGATACCACTCCTTTTTCGGGATGACACTAACTCAAGTTACTTTCATCCCACTAAGATGAAACATGTAAAATGGAACGCCTCTTCAACGAGGTACGATGAGGATATTTGCTTCCTTGTTTCTTCACACCACATCCTTGTCTGGGCCTCTAGGCCTACAGAAGGAAACCGCTGTTATTTTCGGTAAGTATGTGCATACATGCCATGTACACGTACCTCTATCCGCCGATGAGCGATATCAATCCCGAAATCATCCAGCTCCTGCCAAATTTCCTTATGAGCCTGATGTACATATGTGGCATTGCCTGGAGATATAGTTTTGGACTTACAAACACGTAAAGTGATGTGATCATTTGTGCACGAATGTTTGCCGAAACGTTCGAAGAATCCATAAACTGACGTGCCTTATAGGAGCAAAAGTAAATCGATTTATTTCTTTTGGACATGAAGTACCCACTTGCATTTTTAGACTATTGAATGATCTTTGACAAAAAAGCTTTGCAAAATTGGTGAAACTGCCCTCGATAATATCATATAGTAGAGATTATCCTATATGAGAGGTTCAGGATATAACGTGGATTATATGCCCCTTGGGGTGTCTTCCACTATTGTGATTGTACTTGTATTATTTGGAATTTAGGAAATAAACAAACATAACATAACATATTGGGATTATCCCTGGGGGATTATCCAGAGGCGCCATAAAATATTCATGTCCAGTTTTGTTTTCTTGGCAGTGGCCGGATTTTCCTGTTCTTTCAGGTATTCATCCACATTTATTTTCTCCATTCTTTGATTATTTACAGGATGCTCCTTCCAAATAAACCAATGTACGAACGGCGATTACTTAGTATGACGTAGCGAGAAGATAAACTATATCTGCCCGCTCAGAGCGGGTACGTAAAGCTATATCTGCCCGCTGATGAAAATATAAATTTTTACAAACCTGCTTTATGTAGCCTACCTGCAACACGTCCGAGTCGAGCATAAATGATGAGCCCAATATTACATGAAGTCTAAAATCTGCAAAATATAAAGCTCTAACGTTACCCTATTTCTATAATAATTTATTTTGTAGCACTTTTCCGAAAATGAGACGCGACGGCACATCATCGATAAAAATTATGACACCCCGGCAGATCCAATGTTCCCCTTGGGTGGGCCCAGAAAAAAATTGTGCCTATATATTTTGTAGAGCTTCAAAATGGGCCTTTTTGGGCATAACTTGGCCTTTTATGGGCCAAAGGACTATTCTCGGTTTGGAGAATGAAGTTCATCAATCTAAATGAGCATTATCCCTGCTTCGGACAAATTTGATATTTTTACATAATATATATTTGAATGTCTTCTTTTGAATAGTCATAATTTAATTTGGGTAATATTTCTAGATTTTTCGCAAAAAAAATATTAGCGCAGTACACTGATGAACTTCTTTCCCCAAATCGAGACTTGTATTTTATTGAATCGGTCTAATTGAGCGTTATCCCTGCTTCAGACCAATTTGTTATTTTTACATCTTGTAGATTTAAATGTCCTCTTTTGAATATTCATAGTTTAATTTGGGTAATATTTCTGTATTTTTCATGAAAAAAATTATTAGCCCAGGAGACCGTTCTCCAAACCGAGAATCGTCCTTTTCAAAAACGTGTATTTTGGACAGACAAGATGCGGATCACCATGCCAGCAATATTAAGTGGCCCTCTAGCCAGCCTAATAAAAACCAACCATTGCCTAAAATACTCTTGAAAAGACAGTTCTACAACGTCGTAATTAACTGCATAATACTTGTAGCATTGTCACTCAAATGCAATCATGTCTTTTCTTTCAATTAGTCTAGAAGGATATTTACATAACAAATGGATTATTGGATTAATTATTGACTAAGATTTTGACATGTAGGGCAGAGACACTGGCATGCCTAATTATTGAAAAAGAAACATTGGATTTGTTTGAGATGGTTTGAAAACAAACATAATGCAGAAAATAAGCTTAAATTCCCAGTTGTTGTGATTGTGATTGGAAAAATGCAATCGAATATGTAGTCTAGCTACAAGCCCTTGTGACTCCCTCACCCTATACACTCATGGTAAAGAAGATAGGAGAGGTGGGGGGGGGGGTAGACGTGCTTGATCCTAGGGTATTTCAATTCTTTCCAAGCTCAGCGAGGCCCGATCTTGAACGAAGGTTTTCTCAGTCTACCCCGGAGTCTACCACAATGTTTGCGCTTTTCCAGGAAATAAGGCAGCCAGCTATATGGGTGTAATCAGTAGTGTTTGCAGTAAAGCTTCTAACATATGTGTTTACAGCCAAAATAAAGTGTTATTTTTATGACGTATTTTGATTCGATAAATCACGAGGTAAACCTTTTTATATTTATTCATCATTCTTTTGATCAATAGACTTATCAGTTTAAGATACTAAAATAGACTTCGACTCACTTCGAAATACACGTACTCAATGCACTTCTCTTGTTTGGTTATTTCGGTGTGTGGGTTCAAGTCTGTTTTGACAAGTTGCCAGACGGCATAGTTATTTCTACTTTCTAGGCTAAACATTGCATTCCATCGCGATTGTAACCAGGATATTTGACCCAACAATTTCCTGCCTGGGAAGACCCTGGATGTCGATTTATCAGTTAATGTTTAGTAAGTTGTCAGTTAAAGTTCACGTGGTTTTTCTAAGTTTGTCACGACAGCTGTGCCGTCCTATAGACTGACCCGTAACCTGTATGATGTTAATTAGCCTTTGTTAAACAGACTACACGGAAAGTGTTTATAATCTTTTAAAGCGATTTCATCAGATGGATACAGCTGCCGGGAAGTTTGAAGACAAAGCGACAAAGGGACATTCATCGCATGAACTTTAGACCGAGGTCACTATGAGGATATGCTACCAATCGTGGAAATACCAGGGCAGATCATTATCGTTTTAAAACTACGTTAAAAAACCCCCGATACAAAAACAATCCACGAGCGAGCTGACAAAGAAATCAATTCAAACGAGACCTATGACAAGGACGTGATTCCCACCATCGACGCACCTATAATATCTGAATATAGGGCGTAGACTAAAACAAAGAACGGTGAATTTTTCTATCGAGTCTAATACTAATACCATCCGGATGGACGTCAGAAGGCTGTTTATGCTGTGATATTTGTGATGAGATTGCAAGTCTACAACACTATTAAGTAGAAATACGATCTCAATAAGCGAATAGCAAAGCCTGTAGTGTAGACTTAAAATAGTGATTACTGAGCTATTACCGGTTTCCGGACATGTGAACTATTATTATTGTGTTCGTAGATAGTACGCATGTAGGGTGTCTCTGCTATCAGACGTAGACTCATTTCAATATCGACGGTCGATCCAAGCGAACAACAAAATTATCAACACTATCTGTATAAAGAAATCTGCAATATTAAAACATTTCTAGTCAGTGCAGAGAGGCAGTAAAGATACACACGGGACCTCATATAGGCAGCTATTTTTAGTCAAGGATATTTGCCAATATTGATCAGTTCAGAAGAAGGAATTGGCATTGATTTTAGACACGGGTATGAATCGGGAAAGTACTTAGCTTTGTTAACTGAAACATAAACATCTGGCGATTCATCGACTCTGCGAGGTTTTGAATGGAGTATTTATATTGACGACATACTATACAACACTGATGACACCCAAGAGACAGTTACCGTGTATTTGTGAGTACAAAACCATGTTCATTTATGTCATTATTATTTTTTTAGGTAGTGTTGTGTTCAAACCTGTCGTTAATAACTCATGCCGTTTACTATCGGGATTCTGTGTTTTAAAGTAGTAATAAAGGCTTTGTAATAGGGATTAAGCGTCCATTGCATTGTGTGGAAATGAGGGCAGGTTCTAGGAAAACAGACAAACAGATGCCGTGTTTGTTTAGAACTGGAAATACTTGAGTCGAACAGGATATCCCCGTTCGCCAGATAACATAGCCATCCGATGAATCATAGAAAATAAAATACACAAAACACTAGGATATTCGAGATTTGGCGGTAAACCAGTATACAGTTACAGTCAAACACATTTGTGTACGTAGAAATGAAACCGGATGAGGTTGAACAATTGGCCAAACTTTACTGTCACATTCACCAGTTCATGATAAGTTTAGGGTCAAATATTTGTGGAATTTATGATTTTGAATGTATAAGGTAATACGACTATTTGATAAGGTCATATTATAATGATTAACCAAGTTCAAGTTAATGTTTTGCAAAAGGTGTGTTTTAAGCTAATCAATTTACAAGAAGTTCTTTTACTTATATAGTGATAACAACCAACTAGAATGTGTATTAGCATCGCATAATTATTGTTTGGTTATTTTGTCTTAATTTTTACATGTTACGTTTGTTTGTTGGTCATCCCATTGTTATTACGTGTTATTACGGTCAGCTTATTCCATTTACTAATGAAGGACCTTAATATGGGTAATAGGGACTAATCAGGTCGTGCTATTTTCCCATTTTGTGTTAACTGACAATGACATTTAAATAAAAAATATTCATGCCTAATTTCTCATGTATAGTGCTTTTGGAACACGTGTTTCATCGCATACGTAAATTAATTCACTTTTTCTATTGCAGTACGTAACAGAGTTTTATTTACTGTTGTATGAATTCTATATGATGAATAAAATACGGTTTCACGTGGGCTGATGTTGAAATTGCATCAAGCATGCGTCAACATGCTAATAACTCTCCGCCATGATAAGGGCAGACCTGCATTAGATTCTTGTGCAGAGGCGTGTCATTGGCAATTAATGCAGTATTGTTTTTTTGTTCGTCCATTTTGGAGCTCGAAATTTGAAGTTGAAAATAGTCTAGGACGGTTGTTTGTTGCCAAAGATAGGGCTAAGTAATAATGGCGGAATAAAAATACTAAAGGTAATTACGCCATGATCAAAACATGCTGATGGGAGAGGATCGGTTACATTTGTATTTGATTGCATTTACGTCTTTAGTTAAATTTCAATAATTAAATTAACAGTTTTTTCTATTTGTATTTCAGGAGCTGTTTTAATACAGGCGTGCGCTACTTGACAACCAACCAGGGCGTGGGCTTGAACGAAAGAACATTCGTATCAATATTCAACAACAAGCACAAGACATAAGGATGAAAAAGTCACCACACGGAAGAATTCCACCTGCCATCACGATAACACCTACCTTGGAGAAGGAGGCCACAGAAATGCAAAGCATTCCAACATTAAAACACACTCCCGGACTTCTCACACCTGGGACGAAGCGCAAGCATGAAGATGATATTGATGACTTCGATTACGCTAAGTACAAATTCAAAAAGAAATGGGCAATGAAGGTACAGAGGGAGAAGCAACTTGCAGCACAAATGTGTCTGGGTTCAACAGAGGACACACCCCCACCGACTCCTACATCGCCTGGATATACCTGCTCCACTATTGGGGGCACTAATACACCCTCTAGTAGCCCATTACCTTCGACTGTGTTTAAGTTTGACTTCATGAAAAATGGATTCGATTCAACGCCAAGTACTCCCTTGAGTATTGATTCTAATAGGACTAGTTCACCATGTAATAGAATAAGTTCTCCTTCAATGCGGCTCCACTCGCCCGGATACAGGACTTTATCACCCGGCCCAAGATCAGCAACATTTCCACAGTCCAAGCGCACCGTCTCCCCAACTACCCGTCCAATGAGTGCACGGTTAAGCCCAGAGAAAACACTTGGTATGAGGTATAGAGCACCTCCTTCTGTGTTTACATTTGATAACGCGCCTACGTATATGTACAGGACGCTCCCCATCTCTAGTTTCTCATCAACTATTCCAACATTTCCCAGTGCCTCAACATCATCAACCTCGAATATTTTTCGCAGCGTCACCGAGCTCTCAAAATCTCATTGCCAAACACAGAACAATGATGCGAAACTGCACCAGGCAAACCAAAGAATCTCACAATCCAATGGCTGTATAGATCTCACAATGCCAAAGACAATAGATCAAAGTAAAGAACGCTTTGAAGCCCAAGAAGATGTTCCTATTGATTATAGGTAGGTCAAGCGTTATGTGTTCCACCGTTTCCTTGCAGTAAACCCTATTCAAAATTATGCCATGTTATTTAAATATGTATACATATATTTATGTTGTAACGTATTATTTCTAAGAAGTTTATTGTATCTGTACTTCAACATGTTCAAAGGGAGAAATATATAATTAATCTCAATTCTTCACAAACGTAGCCTATATCACCTGCCTGCCTTGATACGAGATGAAGGTCACGTTGGTCGATGACCGGTAGATCGCTTGCCATACGTTATTAACTTATTGAGGTTAGAACTGTTTTGAAATCGTGTACGTGAAACGTAAAATCATGTGGACTTTTCACCTCATAGGCCTTTATTTGCATGAAGCTGTCCGGAAAATAGTTGTAATACATGTAATAAGGTCCTCGTTTAAACCAATTGATCATTATCATATATTACCTGGACCAGTCGTGTGATCGATCGTTGACTTTTAAGAAACGCTCATGCTATACCGCTATTCTATACCCTTTGAATGACGGAATTATGTTGGGACAAAATAACTCCCAAAATTCCTTTGTCATTCAGTTATCTTTTGAAATTTCAGCTGAAAATGACATTTTCGTATTTAATCGTTCCTCATTGTTTTGAAAACAAGCTTATGTATTGCACATTTATTTATTGATTTACAAAACTATCAAAACATCGCTGACTGAAGAAGTAAATATTGTTATATCAATGTTAAAATGGAAACATATGCGCGCTTTTTAAAGGGTCTAGAAATTATACCCTTCTTGAATACATAATATTTACAGTCTAAATGCGGAAACGATGGAAATAAACTAATCTGCTAATGGGTCATGACAATGCATGATACGCATATATAATGTAAAATAATATTTGAAAATAACTAGACCTTAAACCATTTTCCTGAAAACAATAGTGTCCGTGATGTACTGACGTCACCATGACGCATTTCGACGTCTGAAGGAAATCGACATCGAGTTAATAACTATAAATACGCAGGAACTACGATAGTGGGAGTCCTTCATCCAGGGGCCTCTGTAATTGCAATATTCCCTGATCTACCAACGGGAGAATACACATTCAGCTTCCCATATAAAAGTATATGGAAGAGCATCCTTCCGTGAATGACACTAAAAACTGATCGATATATAAGTTCTGGGGAAAGCAAGCCTGGATAACAGCTTGCGTCACAGGCTACATTTGTGATAGGCTAAACTACTGAGTGAAGCGGATGCAATTCCAATTGATGATATCCGTGCCCTTTCACAATGCTTGCTTTACGTCAAGAACGCCTTAGATCGATAGAGGCACATCCTCCTTGTGTTAAATTAGATCCGTTTGCTTGTTAATGCTCTTTCTCTTGAGGGTGAGCAAGGTCAATGGGTTCTATCCTGAAAAACAAGCAAACGGAAATTAAAAAATATTTCCAATCAAAACAAAATAAGCCGTTACAATTAATTATAATATTAGTGTTTAGCAGCTATTATTGATCCGTTTCAATATGATATTTTTCAAATGCGTATCGTTAAATGATCCCTGGAATCCTCTGGTGAAATAAACAATAAACATGTAGGCATAAAGGCGAACGCGCATGTTAAGTTAACCTGACTTAGTATTAAAATGTCAGACTTGCTACGACCATGAATTTCAGGGTCTCGTAAAATACTAGTAATAAAAAAAAAACCATATAGGAAGAAGGAACTAGGCATGTGTCCCTTGGTTTGTTTTTGCAAGGTTAATACTCCTATTAAAACAGAAAACGAGAGGACGCAGTGCATGTAGCATATGGCAGGTCTAATAAAGTGTGTCCGTGCCCGCATCTCCTTTAAGTACTGCATAATCTATTGTGCTGTATGAAGTTATTTGTGCATACTCTTTTTCAGGGTCAGAGATGAAATTAAAATGAGCCATGAAATTACACCTGCTTGTCCGCAAACGTATTGTTCAACAGTCTTATCATTTGTGTTGTTATTTTTTCAGTATCAAGTCTAGTGGTGCTCCAGAACGCCAGGTGGATTGCAAGTTTGTTGCTCAAAGCCTTCCAGTTCATTCCAGTAGTAACAGTGGCAACGACGATCTCCGTCTCTTCATCACTGATTTACCAAAAGGTATATACAATTTTCTAATCAATTCGGTTGAAAACTCGGACACGTCATTTGTTTCTTCTTGATTTGTATAGTTTCTAAATAGCTGAATAACACAGACATAATAGATGTCACCCTTGTTTGTCTTGGGCTAGACCTTGGGCTAGACCTCCATTCACTTGCAATAGTCACTTCATTTCACGATTTAAAAAAGTGTTGGAAACTCGAATGGCATACTACATGTACTATTGGATGACCCTGTCAAGGTCAATGTACATATAAATTGTGATTAAAAATGAAAATGTTGGTTGTCATACAAATAAGCCAAGGTTTTAATGAATTTTAGCATTGCACCAATGGAGATTTGGCATGGCCCAAGTTTTTTTAATTTTAAAAATGTAATGGAAAATGATTTAAATCACAAAACTGTATAAATCAAAGCTATTATTGGAGAAAACTTGTCACTGAATTCAAATACATGTATGCTATCAAAAATAAAGAAAAGTAAGCCATTCGAGGTAAAAATGCAAATCTCTTAAAATCTCATGAAATTAGCGAGATTTCACAACTATTTAAAAACTCCTCTTTTAATCTCTGTTAATTTATAAAATATATGGTATATACAAGACTAATATGATAAATGATATAACTGATAGGTGACAGCGGACGCATTATATGTAGTTTAATAGATATTTTCAGTACATAATCAAACAAAGGAATAAATCAAACAGGGGTAGACTTGGTTAAACCGGTGTAAAAGAAATTATGGTCCACTGGGGATTATGGTCCCCTTTCCTTACGGCCCTTACTGGCCCTGGCTGTGTATAAATAATAAGGAAAATAATTGTAATTAGGCCACCATGTAAATCAATAGAGAGTAGGACCAAAATTTGATAGGACCACCTACCCTTTTACACCTGGACTAAAAACGATATAGATTACTCAATTCAGAGACATGTTGTATACATGTCTCTGCTCGATTTAATAACTGCATACAACTGTATGAAGAACTATTGATTATTCAATTATTACAAAACATCTTTAACCATCAAAGGATTTCATATGACTGACACGGTAGAAACTATATGCTTAGAAAAAACTACACTTCATTGCTGTCCTTTGGACCGTCAAAATTATTATACTGTAACTGAACAAATAATACTTCAGTCCGTGATATTTTTTGAATGCTTTATCAGAAATTATTGTCCCTGTTCTTAAATATATGGGGACAATGATCTCCACTTCCCCTAGTGTACTAATAATACTATTCACTATAAGGAAATCATTGTCTTCTGCTGGTCATAGTAATAGCCCTCATAAAACATGATTACACTAAGTTTTGAACTTATTACTATTAATGGAAGCATTGTCAAACGCTGGTCATAGTATACTATTAGCCCTCACATAACACGACTACACTAGATTTTGAAATAATTTCTTATTATTAAAATGGAAGCATTGTCAAATGCTGGTCATAGTATTAGCCCTCATAAACTATTCATAGTTCCTAAACTCCAGACATTAATCGCAGGTGAAAATTTCAATAATATACATCAACACTGTCTTATCCTTCATTCTGCGATTGTTTTTAATAATTTTGACGGAATTAATTTCGTTATGCCCACATGGTCCATCAAAACATTCCATTTAATTACTCTAATGCACTGGCAGAAGACTTTATGTCTAATAATGGTAATTTTGTAAACCTAATCTAAAGATGTGAACAAATCACAAAAATATTCCGAGTGAAAATAACGTCGGTCAAATGTGTCAAATCCAATGTGTCACGGTCACTGTGAGCTAATCGTGTAAACACACTTTGTCTACATTTCAATAATAAAACAATTAATCAATCCTCAATTGTAAATGTATAATGTAACATATTTTATCATTTCATATAATAATTGATGAAAAATTGGTGTTATTTATTGCTATGTTATTATTTGGTTATTTATTTTTAGAAATATTTTACACACACCAAATAAACTTGTCTAGACAAGTTCCAGTTTTTCCAGAACTACGGCAACGCCAAAGCGTAGCGAATCCCATCGAACAGAAATGGCTGGCATTTTTACAAACGAAATATATAGCAAATGTCAGACAACAACACACATAAGAAAGGCCACCATTTTCAAAACTGTCATAAGAAAAAAATTATTTTTTTAAATCGCACACATGTACTTGTAAATGGTGGCCATTTTTTTAAAATATTTAACTATAATTAACAATGCATTCATATTCTCTTTATTATTTTTTCAGATCCTCGAGACTGGAGCAGACAGGACGTTGGAAACTGGCTCAAGTATATGAAGTACTGTAGAGGTATTCAGGGTATAAAAGAAGAAAGATTCCCGATGAACGGCAAAGGAATTTGTCTCATGGACCTAAACATGTTCCAGTATAGAGTACCCCAAGGAGGGCAAATGCTATATAGGGACTTTGAAATGCGACTTTGTGCTGCCGTAAATGGCGTACACTGACCAGATACATCTCTCCCGGGATTGAGCAGACGTGCACTCATTGACTATTAAAGCTGAATTGCACCGAACGAAACATTTTGGGAGTTGATGTCTCAGATAAAAATATAATCCAATGTGACACGCATGATGTATATCTAACAATTGTACATTTTTGTAAATACGAATACTAAGATAATCGTTATGTACTGAACCCAGACCAAACAAAACGGCTAGTCCGTTACTTCATTACTTCAATCTAGCAACTCTCTGTACTTTAATGTGACCCATTAATACAAAAATCCATTCAGACCAGTGATATTAATTCATCATATTAATGTCTAGTTTTGAGTCCTGTTACAGTTACACACATGAACAAGTAATATTTCAATTAAGATTCGTTGACACTGCAACTGTTCAGTAGCTTCCTCCTATGTTATTTCACTAATTAATAAAATAATACTAGTAAGATCTCACACGTATATGTTACGTACGACAATCGTACTGTTTGTGCTATGAGATATTGACATCTTAACATACAGTTGATAAACACGTTAACAGTAAGGAAGATTTTTACTATACACTTTAATGCACAGAATTCACCTCGACCAATACCAAATCATTATTGGTAATGTACATTTAATTGCACGATGCAATATTTTTCGACGAAGTCCATGAACATGTTTTGAATATAGATAACGATGAATGTAAACGAAAATGCTTTTAACACGGACAATATTTGATAAAAACAAGCAAAAACTGAATTGTTTATTATTTATTTTCTTTTAACAGTGTATTGCTTAGGAAGAACTCTGGAACCACGTTTTAAGTATTTAGAATTATTAAGTATGGTTTTGTGGATTCTTTTCGAAACATGAAAGGATTCTAAAAATTAAACACAAAATGATTATTGTAATCAGAGTTGTGTCATTCATTTTTGTGATCGATCTTATTATAGTTTTCGAATAACAACTATATCCACGACTGTTAATTCGGAAATATGATGTAATATATCCACGACTGTTAATCCGGAAATATGATGTAATAGGCTCAAGAGCAAGTTTTTATTTATTTATTTTGGACAATAGGAGCTCATGTTCTGTTATTATCTCTTTAGGAGACGCTGGACTGTTTGAAAAGATGATTTGAAAAGTTGATGTTGACAGGTTAACTGGCTGATTGTTGAAGGCAGAAAACAAATAAAGTACTAGTGTTATTGACTGTTCCATTTATCTGCGTAAATGCAGACCTACACGAGTGCAATCGATCCCATCATGATCAAATATAAACAATGATTTTTATTCGATAAAATATTGATATATTGTATGACTTATTGGTATTGTATGTACATAAAGGGAGAAGAGACAAGGAGATAACAGATAGGCTACAGGGTGAAAATAAAAGAATAAAACAAATGAATAAAAATGAATCGCTATTTGTTGTCGTGTTAGATCTGTCATATTATATATGTCATATACACTCCCCTCTATAAGTTTGGCAACCTTTTCCCCCCATTGAACTACGTGTAAAAGCCTCTTTACGTTTGATTTTTATTTACTTAACCAGCGATGAAATAACTTATAATATTACTGGAAACGTAACTTGACTTTATTTCAAATACCTCCAAATTTTCTCAATTTTTTTCCTCAATTACAATAGGTCGAAAATTGATGATTAATTTGATGAATTTTTGAAAATCGTCAGTCCCATGTAATCCAATGGGAAATGGAGGGTTTGGGGCAAATCAAAAATCAGGAGATCTTTTCATTAAAAGATTCAGCAAAAAATATTTTTATATAGCAAATTGAATTGTCTAACTTTTTTGAACATTAAGTGTTTAGTTTATTTGATGAATATTAAAGTTACAGCGCTTCAAAGTCATTTTTGAAAACAATTTTTCGCCTCCTGTGTTATTTCAATGGGAGAGGTTTTTTGAAAAACAATTTTGACTTTAAAGCCCTATAACTTTGTTGAACCTGAAGAAACATATCAATTTTTTTAAAAATAAAGTTAGCAAATTCAATTGCCTACCTAACTCGTATTTTTTGCAAGGACTCGGATAGATGGATATTCTGTCATATGACTTGCGGCAAACCTACCATTTCCCTTTGGTTAACATGGGAATGTCGATTTTCAAAAATTCATCAAATTTATCATCAATTTTCGACGTATTGTAATTGAGGAAAAGAATTGTGAAAATTTGGAGGTATTGGAATTAAAGTCAAATTACGATTCCATCAATAGTATAAGTATTTTCATCGCAGGTGAAGTAAATGAAAATTCAAAGGTAATGAGGCTTTTACACGTAGTTCAATGGGGGAAAAAAGGTTGCCAAACTTATGGAGGGGAGTGTATATCATTAATTGATACAAAAACGAATAATATATATGAATATACTTTATCCATTCATTGATTCAAAAGCGAAAATTGAAAATGAAAAAACACTATCAGTTCATTGACACAATCAGACAATGCGAGTATTAATATGGATATGTCGACTCTAATCAACAGATCATGCCACCACGCAAATTTACCAACGCCCATTAGGCTTTATTCCATAATGGTATATTTATTTCATCACTATAACTATTTCCTATTGTGATGGTGCCACAGGGATACCTATTATTAGATCGTATTCACAGACATGAACAGTTGATAGGCAAACGACTTCTACGAGAGACCTGAATCCTACTAAACAAAATGTTTCCCCAAATCATTCTTCATTTTGAAAATAATATTAACAGTAAGAAGAGACCTCTTTTGGCAAAAATTGCGCAAATGATATAGAGAATATGCTCAATGATTTCTCATTTCAATGATTCTTTACCAGCAGTGATATAACCAACATTTAGACAAAATATGCAAGATGTCTCATGCAGTACTTATTTCATGAAGGTGGTTCACTGATACCCCAGAGTCGTGAGGTACATGAATTCTGAAACTGGTCTCGATTTTTGATACGGCAAAAACGCCGCGAAATCAAACACCGACTGCGGTGAACACCTATTTACAATGACGTTTTTTCTCGGCAAAAAATGTGCATTTCACAGATTTTACTGAATCATATGTTTGGTCAAGCATGATTCTATGACCAATAGAACATGTAGCATAAAATGGAGAACGTCTTGGGGAGACAATAGGCAGGTTAAGCCACACGGTTCAAAGAAAACAGTACCTGAACGTGTACAATTGTAAGTGTAGTTCTCTAGATTTTACTCTCCCCTTCGAAGTATTTACTTGGCTGATTGGAAATAAAGCTTGAGAAAATAATTGTAATGAGGTCCTTCTAAAATTGAGATGAGAACAGTTATCTATTACAATCAGTTAACCTTACTATTGATTCTTGTGCACAAGTACAAGTGGGTAATTCTATAGGTTCATTACGTATGATCCAGAATTACCCTTCAAAACCCCAAAACCAACCCCACCACAATATGCAATTTGTAACTTTGCAAAAGCTAATAAAATACAGCAACTAATAATTCAAGTATATGCTGACGTCAGTACTTAATTGTATAACCTAAATATTTATACTGAATCGTTCTGAATGCTATCATTTTTATCGAGGAGTTAACTGAAATACGAATGAACGAACCGATGGAGTTTTCATATTTGTTATCAACAAAATGGTATCTCGAGATAATCTAACATGGGCATCATAATAAACCATGACATCTCATTTCTTCTCAGCCCCGAGATGCTCATAATATCAGAGCATGATTCACCCGGACGCATGATTTTCACCCGGACGCACGGATTAAAAGACGAACAGACAGACAGACGGACGGAAGGCATCTCTATATCTCCAAAACTTAGTTCGTTGGGATAATTAAAACTACCAATGCTACAGTTGCAACTTGCCTAATGTCGGCTTTATCTCGACAAATTTGAAATATATAAGACCCTAGGGAGTTCGGAAACTAACTTAGTACTATTTATAGATTTCAAGACGATATAACTCTTTGATAGGCATTGAATTGATTTAGGCTTTATCTCTCACTATAACTTCTTTGGTACTTCCAATTCAAATAATTACATATTCCTGCACCAAGGTAAGATGTTAATGTCGTACACTTCACATCTAGTGAATATCGATGGAATGGTACTTGTTTGAAATATACATTCCCAGCGACAAAGAAAATTGCATAATTTTGCTCTGCGTGAGGCCAGAAAAATAGCGTTTTGGGTTCAGTCAAATGATAATTTTGGCCAGAAATTAATAAGTGCTCAAAATGATGAAAGATTTCGAAAGAACTTTTGGCCAGGAGCTGAGGTGCCAACGACATTAATTCCGAACCACATAATTATTCATACGGCTAAGTAGGCCTACTTCTAATCTAAATTATGGAATCAAAAAATATGTTTTACAGATCAATAAAATGACAAATCGAATCCATTAATGAAAGTCCATGCCTATAATGCCTTTAATCGTGCAAAATCACGTGCTTTTAGAGTCAATATCACTGGTCCTGGTCACTGATTCTTGTATCGTCAATGGTTTGATGAGTAATACTGTTGATGCTTATTTTCGACTTTAATTATGTAATTAATTCCCAGGTGCTTCTTATCTAAGACGCAAGTTGGTTTAAATGAGGGGAGAGATGACGGAGGATCGCCTAGACTATTTCGATAGTAACCGGACAACTCGGACCCTGGACAACTCGGACCAAGGCATCTCGGACCCATAACAACTCGGACCACTTTTTAAAATTATGATTTTAATCATTATACGTGGTTTTATTTTTTCATTTATGAGAATCAATACATTATATTACTTATATTGTGACGTCACATTTTTATTAATTTTATGAAAATGTTTTAATTTGACTTATTTGATAAAAATTAAGTAGAAAATATTGAAGCTAAAAACCCTAGACAACTCAGACCATTTTCTGAAATTATAATTTTGGTTGTCGTAATAGGGGATTATTTGTTTCATGTTTAGCAAGACATATTCTGAGTTTATATATTGTATTTATTTGATGAAGATCTTTTTAATTGGTAACCTTTCAATTATCTTATTTGATGAAAGTTAAGAAGTAAGAACAGTAAGAGAATATTGAAGCTGAAGACCCAAGACAACTTGGACCACTTTTTGAAATTATAGTTAATTTAATTTAAAACAGTCTCATTGAGTTAACACAATATATGAATTCACAATATATAATTTATGTCATAAACATAAAAAATTAGAACCCCATACAATGATAAAAACCATCATTTCAAAAAGTGGTCCAAGTAGTCTTGGGTCTTTAGCGTCAATAATTTCTTACTTCTTAATTCCCGTCAAAACATTAATTTAAAACAATTTCATCAAAATAACATAATATATGAATTCAAAATATATAATATATTTCAAAATAAACATAAAAAATACTTAAAACCAAATAGAATGATAAAAATCATCATTTCTGTCAATTCATTTTTTTCGTTTTTGGTGATACAAAACCGGATTACAGCACATACAGATATTGATATTTTATATATAAAACTACATATTTGACATCAGCTCTTAAAAGGGCGATTTTAGAAGTGTGTCACACATGCAATGAAATACTATTTCTATGCATATGCCATCTATCTAATATGTTGTATCCTCCAACACACTTGTTACATTGAAATTGCTGATGCATCATCAGATTTCGCTAAAAAGTGACCTTAAGGGTTACCTCTTAAATGACAGATTATGAAAACATCAGACAAAATATTGTTATTTTTGTGGTGGATTTAGGTTTTGCTGTCCAATATTTAATATCCTCATAACATTGAGATTTCATCAATTCACATAAATGATTTCAAACAATTATTTTCAGAAATGAGACAAATCCATGGAGCATTCAAATGATTGTTATATAAATTCTAAATCATATCGAATTTGTTAGTAAATTGAATATGTTGAGTATGTGTTGGAGGATACAAATCATATGGACATAATAAACGTGTTATCTTTGAATAAGTACGACATATCAAAAAACGCTTTTTGAGAGATGGTCGGAAACATACTTTTTATTAACCAGTTAGAAATTATCGACGAACTTGATGCATACTTTGCTATGTATCAATTATTGAAAACATACTGTAATGAAACACGATCCTTTATGTAATGTTGACTGATTGACAACAATTTAATGCGAAATTATTTATATATATTTTATATAACTGTTTTTGTAAACATTTTTTGTTTTTTAGTGTATTTGTTTTTCGTTTCTTTCTACCCATTCTTCAGAATGAAATAAAATGTCTATCCGAACCTTGTTGGAACAAAAAAGCATATACAATATTTTCTTAGACCTCTCAATATCATAGTTATAAAAAGGAATTTTTAGTTGATTTAACCATGGGCTTTCAACTAGCCCCCCCCCCGTCCGCTGGTATTTCAGTTACGATATGTGTCGTCAGTGGTTTGATGAGTAATATTATTGACGCTTGTTTTCGACTTAAATTAAATTATTCCCAGGTACTTCTTATCTTAGAGGCAAGTTGGTCAAAATGTGAGAAGGGATGACGGAGGGGCACCTAGACTATTTTGATGATACACGCATTGGCGTCACTTACTACTTATATAAATAAATAAAGAGGGATTCTCTAGTTGAACAACTAGGGACCGAAGGGAGCCATGGACCCGGGTACATATTTCTCCGGAAAATGTTACTAGAATGTTGATGGTTTTTGTTGCAATCTTAGTGAAGTTTTGGTCAGCTGAAGAGTTTATAACTTAGTTAACCAGAAAACAGCAACTCCACGGAATAGCAAATTCCACCGAAATTTCTTCTTATGCAGAGCTCCTTTGTTCCTAGGTATACGCATATAACCAAATTCGTCAACTGACAGTTTGGTCATCAGAGATTACATTTTCAGGACAAATGGTGGCCATTTTAATAAATAGTGGCCATCTTGAATTTGAGCGGAGCTATCTCTAAGCATCAGCATATAAAATTTAAACTAAATCCGTCCACTGGTATTTACGTTTTTACGAAAAATGGGGACCATTTTAAAAATCAAAGGCCTTCTTGAAAATGTCTTCTCAAACAGAGCTCCTTTGTTTTCTGGACATAAGCAAAAAATTTGAACCAAATCCGTCAACAGGTATTTGAGAAAATTTCTCCTCGAGCAGAGCTTAACAACCAGGCAGTAACATGGTCTCCCATTGGCAATATGTACACACATAGAGTGACAGAATCCAAACTGAGCAAGTGATATGCAAGTTATTGCCTCAACAGTTGACTGTTTCACAATTACCCCTGGTCCACTGCAAGACTCAAGTTAGTGTCATCAAAGATGGAAAACAAAAGTCGTGAGATATCAAATCCATAAACCTCGATTCCGGCTAAATCAAATAAAATGTGGACTCCAAATATTTCGTCATGCAAACAAATAAAGTTCCGATTATAGATACTGTAACTACAAAAACACTCAAACCCCGACTCAAACATCTCTGAATTGGGAAAATTTAAGTATCCATAGTAAAAAGCTTCGTTTTGGATGATACTTACTCAATTATTCCTCCTAGCAATTTTGGGGGGATTTTATCTACATTATATCGAAGTGACACAGTGTCTTGAGGTTTTCAAAAAAATCGTGCCGAGGCGGGGCCGAGGCCTACTTGGTTGGATAAGCCTATCGTCTTCCCTTCATTTAGGTGTAAAGCAGATACTTGTACTTCAATTTCTTCTGATTTTATATCTATAGTTACTGTTTGTACATTTTTAGATCGCCAATGGCATAATGAATAGGCCTAATAACAAACTTTATGTAACGACTTAAATGTAATATTATCATCCATACATGTTATAGTTGTTTCTATCACTAAAAAATTACTTAAAGTGAGATTTTAAATAAATTACTTTACTATTTCGGGTGGTTGTTTTTGGAGTTACCATGTAGATTACTAGTGTTTGATATGATGGGCATATACTTTCTATACACTCAACCTGCCTAGCTGAAAGTTATTTCATTAAAAAAATAACAACAAATTTTGCACACTTCAATAGACGCACTCACTAAAACTGCTGTTTGAATAGCGTTCCAAATTATTCTTAATGGTAATGATGTTACATCATTATCAAAGATGGAATCTATACATATCAATGATAACTTCAAGATGAACAAATGTATACCGTATTCTCTCTAATGAGCATACAATGCGGTTTACAAATTGAAATTTAAAGGGGTAAGATGTTGAGATATTCCAACATTAGTAAGCACACACACAGAAAATTTACAAAAGAATATCGCTTATAATCCTTCTACTTGTTATCGTTAGTTAAAATACTCTATATCTCTTTGTATATCGTTCGCTGAATTAAATACAGGGTGATACAAGAAATTCCATCCACCCACCCACATATTGCATTTTTGTCTGCATATATTCAGACGTGTTCTTTGGCACTACACATTAAAAGTAGACTATGAAGCACTCCAAAAGAAGTTTCAGATGGTTAGGCTTTCAATCCATGAAAGTGCAAGCAAAGATCTTTACTGTTTACAAAGTTGTGTTACAAAAGGTGGGTGACATATTTTTGTATAGAATCCAGATGTGCCTGCAAAGGAATTGATAACATTTAGAGCACATCTTGTTAAGTTCATACAAATATATCTAGTTGATCTGAAACTGCTTCTTGTGGAGTTGCTCCATGGAGCCTTCTTTTAACCCTTAAATGGCGAGGCTTTAGAGAATTACATCAACGGTTAGGGGAGGGGGTAGATCTGCCCTCACCCATATGATCACACAAATGACCAATCATAGGAGGGTTATTAGGTATCATTGGAAAGGGTATTCAATTCCCTGTATTTTGAGCTTATTTATTACTATATTGAGCCATTATTGATTAAGACATTCATAATCTAACAGTTTGGATATTTCAGTAACTTTGACCAGCTCTAACTTCCTCCTAGGGGTTAGAGGCATATTCTACAAATAAATATTATCAAAAAATCCTCGGGGGGGGGGGCAGATTTCCCCCTCCCCTTACCATTTAATGGTTAATGTGCTAAAAGAGAATTCAGATATCAGACAAAAAAGTATGCAACATTATGTGACTGGCATATTTTGTATCACCCTGTATAATCATCAATCAATATCTTGTTGTGTGAATACTAATAGCCAAAACTAGCGCTGTAAACTTCTCGCTTTCTTGAGACCATATTCAACATATAAACATACTTCAAATTGTGTGCTCATTAGAAAAATACAGTATTTTTTATAAATGAAGGACCCATGGTCCTGTGCTCACACAGTTTGGAACCTTCAGAGGAATTTATATCCTGACTTTCAAACAAAAAAATTGACTTGGATTTGAAGTCTCGAACTTTGAGAAAATTAGATAGCATAGTTGTGTGACCTAGTTTGATGACTTTGACCTTTGACCTTGAAAATTCTACTTATTCAGAACTCAGTAAGGTCTTTTGTGATTAAGCTGACCAAAATTTACATCCAAAAATCAATTTGAAAAATCAACTTTTTTGACCTTTCGAAGGTCACTGAAGGTCAAGTAAAGGTCAAATCCTAAAACTAATGTCAGATTTGAACTCCTGGCAACTTGTAGATGATTTTCAAAAAAAAATTTGGTCAAATTGAAGCAAGTTGAAAAATAACTTATTTTTACTGTTTTTTGACGTCAAATATCTCAAAAACGGTAAAAATTTGATGCTGACATATATTGAGAAATATGTAGGGAATGCTTAAATCTATTAATGATGTAATTTATTGCAGGAAATGATCAAGTAAAAGGCAAACTTTAAGAATCTTGTCAATCACAAAACCTGCCATTGACTTTATACATGAGAAAGTTTCCTGAAAATGACTTTTTTAAGTCCTACTTTTTTTCAAATTTTATAGAGTAAACACCAAAAACCGTAATTCCAAGAGCTTTGAAATCTTCAGAGAACATAAGTTGCATATACACCAACTACTAAAAGTTATTTGAAAGTTCTACTTCAACAAAGTGTCTAGTATTTACAGAAAATTTGACTTTTTGACGTCAAAATCCGCAATTTCTCGGAAACCGGGCGAACTTGGGAAATGGCGATGATAGGTCAAATAGGCATTATGGATATGCATAAAATGAATGTGGATATGACTCAATCCGAATAGCAGTTTTAATTTGTGCGGCCAATGTTGACGGACGGATGGACCAACAGACGGACCGACGGACGGACGGACCAACGGACGGACGGACCAACGGACGAACGGACGCCTGGTCAATCCCATAGGCTCACTGTGTGAGCCAAAAAACTAATTTCAATGGTTTGTATGGCTGGTGAATTTCGTGTACTGTAGATATTCATGGCTGGCTTTGCTTTGGAGTTTTGTAATAAATACTATGTAATGAACTTGGTAACCAAAACATCACCAGTGACTTGCCTCATGTATGAATCATAAACTAAACATACTTAATCACATTGCAATATATGTAATGTATATTATTTATATTATATTACAAAACAAAATAGCCTCAACATTGACGCTTAAAGGCCCCATGCAAAGTATACTTTTCATGACTTGAAAAACTATTTAAGACGATTAAAATTGTAATCCACTTTAATGTCCATAATCAGTAATAACAACTACTACAGCTTCTTCCAATCATCTGAAACAACAAAAAACTCATATTACGCACATTGTAATTCATATTACGTACATGTGTACCTAATAACTAACATTACGTACCTTAATTATGAAATCATAAAAATTAATTTTTCTATATGCTTATCATGAGTCATGACTTATTCTAAAACAGTTCTGGTAACTAGGTATTCCATAGTATCACAAACCACAGAGAAGTATATGTTTTCCACTTTTTAAGATTTGACAAATCAAATCCAAATATTTTCAACAATCATGAGTATTGATTCTATTTGCTGGAACAATGAAATCTAGTCCATGTACAGCTGAAAATATTTGAAAATACTGTAATACAATATAAAAAGTGTTCCTAAGAATTGTGACGCAAGTAGAGAAACTGATAATTTGATAAATGCTCTATATCCTAGAAGCATTAGCTTTTTTAAAGTTGTCAATTTGAATGCATTCAGAAAAAATTATGAAAAACAAAAGCATGAAATTTCGAAGATTTTTTCTTTCAGTTAAGTGTGTTAAGCGGTATCCCAGAGTGAGCTCACTTTCAAAGAAGCAATATCTACATGGAAATGGTACAATGGGGATACTCTGATCATTATTGGACAGCCAAGTTAAAATCTGTATGCAAACCTCAGAAAATAACCATTTTCAAAAATCGATGGCGCATCATATCAAGAATAAATATTACTTCATTGTTTTATCATATCATTCAGTAGAATAAGGAAGTTATGATATTGGTATTTAGTGATTTCTGTCTCATCACATCAAAATCTTTGTGGTTCAGCACCTCCAATTAATTCAGATCATCAAGATCTACCTGTACCTCCAATACTTCAATATAAGGTTATGTCCCTTTTCTTGCTCTTATCATTTAGAATTTTAAATTAAATTAGTAATTATCCAATTTAAAGTTGGATAGCAGAAAATCCAGGACCCGAGAGCTAGTTAGATTGGATTTTTACCAAATGATTTTTTCAACATGACTGGATGGATGAATTGGTCAATAAGGAAATTATTTATTAATTAAATAATCTTTATGACATGCGCCAATGGTTGATAACTTTTATTTAATGATTGAGATTTGATCTAAAAAACCTAAAAAAATATGTTTACATTTATTAATTATGCCACCATGTATCAAGTACATGTATTTCTAAAAAGGCAGATACATTATTGCAAGCTTTTTAGACAGCTCTTACTAAGTTCTGATAATTATTTGACCACAAAAACAAATGCGTTTGTTTGGCCATTATGTTATCTTCGATAAGGGCCAATAGAATGAAAGTAAAGTCGATCTGATTATTTCTTAAGCTGTCATTAATCCACCAATCAATACCAATTTTCCCCAATTATGAGCCAATTTTCACCAAAAATGCAGCTTTTTATTTTAATTTTTACGACTAAATTGAAATGTACTATAAGTCATGATTCACCTCTGAAAAAGAAAACTGAGTCTCCTTGGGATTAGGATAATCTGAAAAACAATGAAAATTTGAGTTCAAATATCTGGCCCAAAAGTAACATTTTTTGATATGGTTAATGTACAGAAAGATTGGGGGATATTACATAATTGATCTCCAAAAAGAAAAGAATAACAAAATAAGGGATTTTCTCATAATTCATAATGTTATTTTGTTATTTTTTTATTGAGGAAAATTGGTGACGATGGGTGGATTAATGATAGCGAGATAATCAGATTGACTTTACTTTCATTCTATTGCCCCTTATTGAAAATATCATATTGGCCAAGCAAACGCATTTGTTTTTGTGGTCAAATAGTTATTAGAACTTAAAGAGATCGGGTCTCCTAAAAACACAATTAGAGTAACCCCCTGATTTTTTCATGTTATTTAATGTAAAACAAGTTTGTTTATCAACTTATCAATTCTGAGGCTTGAATTAATTCGTTAACAGTATCAATTCGATGATTGTTCCTACTCCTAGCCATGAATTTCCACTTACATCAATAGAAATTAAAATTAAAATTTAAAATGCCCGCTCAAATTGGTTCTAGTCTGATTGGCTTTTTCTTTCAGATTATTTTGGCTTAGAGAAGCCATATTTATTACTTCTAAGGGGTTACAATATAGATAAATCCCCCAAAAACATTGTATTCTGTTTTCGACTTATTGCGTTCAATTCTGAGAGTTGGTTGTTCTTTCAGTTGTCCTCAATATATTGGTGATATTGTGCTTATGATTTTGTCTCAAGATATATCTATAGTACAGGGTGTCAAAAAACAACAGCACCCCCCTCTACAGCAAAATGTACTTAATGCTATATAGTGTGTCATATCTCATTTTAAAGACAATTTAATTCTGGAGTTACCTGAGGAATTTCAGCTTTGTATGATATAATTTTACAGATTTACAGCTGATTATAAGTAGGTGGTATGGCCACCACTTGCCCTCGAAAAGCAGCTAATCTGGATGGATATGATTTCAGTGAAGATTCAAAGAAAGGTTCAGCATTGCGTAATCCTTAAAGCACTTTCCTCATATTCTTCAGAAATACATCCTTACTGTTTCTATTTTCAAGAGAGCCCCTCTCTATCAATTCCCCCACCTTGTCTTTCACAATTGAACCTATATGTTCAGCATAGTTGAGATTTAGGCTATTTCCTACATATTAATCATTTCCAAAATTTGATCTTAAACCAGTAAAAAAGAAGCAAACAAAGTACTGATGTAGCAAACTTCAAAACAATGCAACTTTTTCAATTTAAAGTTTTATTCAATGAAATTTGATGAGTAACTCCAAAATTAAATTATCTTTCAAATGATATATGACATGCTATGTAACATCAAAGAGTTTTTGCTGTAGAGGGGGGTGCCGTTGTTTTTTGACACCCTGTATATATGATGTTTTATGAGCAATTATATTGGGACATTACTGATTGTCCCGAATAGAAATCTGGACAACTCGATCTCTTTAAGTAAGAGCTGTCTAAAAAAGCTTGCAATAACATACCTGCCCTTTTCAATATAGACGATAAAAATACATATGTTCAAACACGTCAAAATTAAAAATTGTATGTATGCAAAAGCTTTAAAAGCTAACAACAAGAATGATGTGTATTTGTGCATAGACAAAGCAAAACAACATTACTAGTATGCTCTATGTTGTAACATGTAATTTATCCTTAAAAAAAGAAAACATTTATATTATATTTTTGAAATAAGTTGAAGTATGTTATTAACTACAGGGTGTTCTTGGTGACTCCATTAGCAAACCCTATGTTTGTAACCCCACTGTCTTCTTTCTGGGGAACCATGTACTTTCTCAAATTATTGCAATAAATTTTTTTTAAAAACTATGCTCTGATCAGAAAAAAAATCAGTTCTGCTTCTGATAAAAAAATACCCGAATGACATGTTTGAACACAATATAAATACAAGTGCATGAGCATGAATGATCTTTGAATGATGAACATATTTAATAATCATCATACTTCTTTGTTACCCAGGCCTCCAGGGCTAACAGCTAGACATGACTATAATTAGACAACAGCAACGCCAAAGCGTAGCAAATCCCATCGAACAGCAATGGCTGGCATTTTTACAAACAAAGTAAATAGCAAAAATGGCAGCCATTTTCAAAATGGCCACCTTCTACCAAAAGAGTCACTAGACAGTGTACCATGCTTATAGTATTCACATACCAAAAATGAACAAAATCGCTCCACTACTTTTCGAGTTATAGAAAAATACGTTAAAATGGCAGCCATTTTTCAAAATGGCTGCCTTCTACCAAAAGTGTCATTAGACAGTGTGCCATGCTTATAGTATTCACATACCAATATCTACATTTCTAGCTTTATTAATGTCCTATATAATTTTGTTACATTTAAAACATATTGCTAAAATGGCCGCCATTTTTAGATGAGTGGCCAATTTGAAAATCGGCTTTCGAGCAGAACTTCTAGCCCCATAGGGTATATGAGGGGCCTTTGAAAAGTTCGTTTCTTTTTGCTCTAATTTTTTTATTTTTACATAATTATTTATGAAACTTTCAGCATATGTGCCATCTACATATATCTTGAGTTTACATCAATATAAATATAATTCCTCATAAGGAAGTGAACTTTTGGTTGCCATGGCAACAGTGAAAATTCAATGAATGAAACATGCATTCAATGAAAAAAACTTAATACGTTTTCTGAAAATAACAGTTATTTGTTTAAAATGTGTTGCCATAGCAAAAAGCTAGTGGTATAATAGTGTTCTACAGGTGAATGGACTCACTGTGCTGTCAGTGTGATGTCATAATCCTCCGTCAAAACAGACTCACTCTATTCACTAAAATTTGGGTGGAGCAGGTGTTTCCAAACAGTGGAGCGAAATGGTGAATGAACTTATCAAAGAGCAGAGACTTTGCATTAAAATCTGTGTAAAACAAGGAAAAGACTTAGAGGACACTGTAAGAACACGAAGAGCAACATATGAAGACACCTGTTGTTCCTATCCCATGATAAGAAGCTGGTTCAACAAGTTCAAGAAAGGCATCTCAACCAGCGAGGATGGGCCAAGAAGCGGGTGAAAAAGGACAGCGATATTAAAAGAAAACATTGACTTAGTGAAGACAATAATTGAACAGGAAAATGCTTACCTGTATATGGATTGGATACGGAGGTTTAGAAAGTGCACTCTATTTGGGGGAGAATACTTCGAAGGAGATTAGGCTCACTGGCTTAATGTTGTGGCAATGATAAGATAGGTCCATGGATTGCACATTATGGTTGGATACATTGATTGTGACGTAAAAGTATCCACATTCAAACTTCTCCGCGGTATCGAGACAAGTATATTTCAAACGGATGTAAAACTGTGGCTATAATATATTACACGCTATAATTTTCACAGCTTAATAATAAATATTCAAACTATAAATCCTAGAAGTTTTGTCTTGTTCTGATCATTCCCCGTATTTTAAGAGCAAAAAGAAATGAACTTTTCAAATGCCCCTCGTATGTGTACAAAATATGAACAAAATTGGGCCAACGGTATTCGAGTTATTGCCCGGATGTCATTTGTTGTTGCTGCATTAGTTTCTTCATTCATTGTCTTCTTTCTTCCGACAAAGGTGTTCCCTATATCCCTCCGAACTTCGTTCGATGGGATAATAAGGCATTAACATGCAAAATGTCACCACCTGTCATTTGTTACAGATGCTGAATGCCGAATCACAACCACCAACTGCCAGAAACCATCCACAAAAAAGTTGGAGACTACTACTAGACTTATGTCACCACTTCTAGCGGTGACATAATAAAATTGAAATAAAAAAGGAAAATAAGTTTGTATTAAGAGTGGCAATTAGGAACAACCTGTTTCCATTTATATTAAATTGAAGAGCTCTGCAATTCAATATAATATAAAAATTATATGAAAACTCAATCAGAAAATTCAATCTGCAACATTCACATTAAGGGTTACTCTGCCATATGCAAATGATACATCAAAGATTTAGCAATGATGCTAAACTGATTCTCTCTTTAAAGAGAGACCTAAAGAAATGAATATATTTAAAAATAAAGTAGAGTCTGACGAGTCAGAAGACCAATGTTTTCCATTGTTTCCAACATTGTGTTGTAAAAGCTCATCTTCATGTAGCAAAAACATTGATATTCTGAGTAGCCACTAAGAAAGAAAGAAAGATTGAGCCTTACTATATAGAGGACATGCATAGTGCATAATACAACATCAAGGAGGAACTAAAACAGACAGTTTTACAACAGGTTTCAAGCTGTGACTGTGACCTTTTTCTTTCCGTGATCTTGAGTCCTTGGACTTTTGCGATTTCGGTCGACTGCTTTTCTTAGTAGAACTCTTTTCTGTAGGCTTTTTAACATTTAGCAGTGGGTGAATTTCTGAAATATAGATATATTCATGTTATTCCTAAGATATAATACAATGTAATTATAGAATGTGAATAAAATGGTTTCCGTACATGATCTTCTTCAATGCTAGAGATCTGACTTAATTTGATGGTGGCATAAACTGTATGTTCGTCATCAACAGCTGAATCAGTCTGTTAATATTTCATCTTGTTTGTCACTTACATAAAAGACAATAACAAAACACTAGGTTTCATAATAACAGTATGACATTGCCTACATGCACATAGTAATTTGCTTCAAAACTTATTCAATGACAAATCATTGCCATGGCAACACATAATAACTAGACTTTGGAAATTGAACAAGTTCAATTTCAGACTCCAGATTAAGACCTTTTTTAGCCGAGTCATCCAGAATAAGCCGAGTCATCCAGAATAAGCTGAGTCATCCAAAAAAAGATGGATGAATAAAATAGGAAGGTAGGATAGGATAGAATAGGAAGGAACGATAGGATAGAATAAGAAAGAAGGATAGGATAGAATAAGAAGAAAGGATATGATAGGATAGGAAGGAAAAGATACGAAGGAAGGATAGATAGGAAGGATAGGATCAGATAGGAAGGATGGATGAATTTTTCAATATTTTCTTCTCTACTCTTGACTTTCTATCAGGATACCATCAGATCGATTTCAAAACGCCATAACTTCCAAACCGGCAGTCAGATCCAAATTTGATTTGCAGATTCAGATTCCTGACAAAATTCTACCCCTAATTCATAACTCATACGTTAAATTTTGAAACTTTTTATTTTGACCTACTTTTCGGACACCATATCTCAAAAGTGGGTCAAAATACTTTCTGACGGCAAAAGGCTAACACTATTAACACACTCTTGGCTACATGTATACACAATTTCGAAGAATATAATTGAAGTGTAGTGTCAGAAATGCAAAAATAAGGAAAACCTTTGAATTTGACCTAGATTTTGACCTAGGCATTTTGGTGTCCAAATTTTGAAACTAACTGGCTTTTGAGGTCCCCTTTTTTTGAAGGCTTTCATTAAATTAAGCTGAACTCAGTTTATATTTCGTATTTCTCACTTCAAAAAAATCTTTTTTTTCCCATTGACTTAACATGGGCACCAAATTTAGCGATTTTTGAGCTTTTAAAACGCCATAACTTCCGAACCGGAAGTTGGATCGAAATTTGGTTTGCAGATTTGGATTTCTGAAAAAATTCTACCCCTAATTGATAACTCATACCTTGAATTTGGAGAACTTTTTATTTTGACATACTTTCTGGACGCCATATTTCAAAATCGGTAAAAGTAATCAAAAAACGGATGGCACACATATGAAAGGGCTGTTTCTAAGCTACATGATGAAAAAAAGATGAAGACGTTTCGATAAATAATGACGAAGATAATAGACAAAATGTAAGATTTGACCCAGTTCTAGGATAGGATAGGATATAGAATAGGAAGGAAGGATAGGATAGGAAGGAAAGGATAGGAAGGAAGGATAGATAGGAAGGATATGATCAGACAGGATAGGAAGGAAGGATGATTTTTTCTATATTTTCTTCGCTACTCTTGACTTTCTAGGATATCATCAGATCGACTTTTCTCGAAATTTCAAAACGCCATAACTTTCGAACCGGAAGTCGGATCGAAATTTGGTTTGCAGATTCTGATTCCTGATTAAATTCTAACCTTAATTCATAACTCAGATGTTAAATTTGGAGAAATCGTTATTTTGACCTACTTTCTGGACGCCATATTTCAAAATCGGTAAGCGAAATAAAAAATCTAATGTCATATCTTTGCTTTGGCTTTTTCTAAGCTACATGATGAAATAAAGATTTAGGAGTTACGATAAACAACAACGAAGATAAATGATAGAATGTTGAAAATGTAAGATTTGACCTAGTTCTTGACCTTTGACCTAGATAAAAATTTGACCCAATTTCTGAGGAACTAGATACTGGACATAAATTGACTGAATAATGATCTTTATTGGAAACCTTATGGTTATCGAGAAAACTGGGAAAGAAAAATAAGAATAAAGAATAATAAGAATACTGGCAAAAACAATAGACTCCAGATTGACATCTGGAGTCTAATAATAAGTGGGAAGAGTTCCAAAAGATATACATGTAACTGTTAATTGATGAATTAACATGTCTGGTTACATATCAAAATCAGTATGATTCGTATGATTTTTGCTGATTATATATTCTATGAAGGTATCTATGAAAGAAATGAAATGCCTAGAAAAAAACACACAACACATTTTGCAGACAAGATTTTTGGCTAGGATGAAAAATGCAAAATGGCTGCTCAATCTATCCTGTATAAACGAAAAAGTAGTTCCCTCTAGAATATCATTCCAAGATGTGTCCCTGAAAAATTCAAACCAACCAACCAAGTAGGTTGCCAGGGAAATATGTAGACAAGAAAATCCAAAATGGATACCATAAAAATCACTGTACATTTCTAGTTCTAACTTTCCATATCCCTAAGAATCTATAATCAATCCATCAAGGAGTTTACTTTGATATTAATCAGGCAAGAAAAGTGAGACACCAGCCGCCAGACACCAGGCGCTAATAACAATATAACATACCAAAACAATTTGAAATAACATGCACTGTTACAACATAATATCAATAATTATCAGGCAAGGAAATGTGAACTCACCATCTATTGGTGCATTGGGTAATTCTATATCATATGGTAAAACTGTTTTTTTCTTCTTTGTAGAAGGTGATGTGTCTGTTGAATGTCTTTTCGATGAGCTACGTTTTTTACTATCTTGTTCAGCTGGCTGGGATGGAGCAGCAGCCTGAAATAGAATATGCAATCAACTGCTCTGACAAATAATACAGAACAGATCAGAGTATATTTTGTGTGATAAATAAGCTTGTTATTTTGATTTAGAGAGGAAGGTCATGAAGAGGGCAGCAACCGTTAGTTTTGCTTTTAGACTAAAGAGGGACATACTGAGTTATTGCACAATAGCAACTTGCTAAGAATTTGAATCTGTGATGCTATCTTAAAGTGAGTTTAAATTGATGTAATTCACCAATCATGCACAAAACCTAATCAGATATTTATATTAGTCTGCTTCAAACATCTCTTCAAACCTGAAATGATTAAAGCGTTCTCCTGTAATTTTGATGAAGATTTATCGAAAAATTCATAATGGCTACCATATATTGGCACTCTTGCACCTGTAAACATTTCAAATTGAATAGAAAAGCAGTTTTCCGAAAAATAATATGACAAGACATTTCTAAAAATTCAAAATGGCCACCATGTAATTTTACCAGCATGCCCAAAAGCTAGTTGGCAACTTGGCACTAGTTTGATCTTACATCTGTGAAAATTTCAATTTGAACGGATGTGAACAATATAGTACTACATAATAAGATGACAACAATATAGTATTACATGTAAAAGCACTTTAAGAATAAGTGTATAACTAGACAACAGCTTATTTGAATGGATAAGCCACAAGATGTGAACAATATAGTACTACATAATAAGATGACAACAATATAGTATTACATGGAAAAGCACTTTAATTTGAATAAATGTATACAAGTTAATAACAACCCTGGATAACAAACCTTAGATACAATTTCACACATAGACAGTTTTCCTTGAACTAATCAATAATTATTCTATTTTGATTCTGTGTATAACAACTGTATGATCTTATATCAATTGTTAATAAATTACTAAAGTGCAAGTGACAGAGCTAATGTCAATGTTATTTTTCCAGAAAATGTCAGCTCGAGGTTGTTTTGTTTTAATCATTTTGTTGAGCTTTATATTTTCAGTCACATATGGGCTGTAATATCTTTTAATGTCAACGCATCTTGTTGATGGTAATGCATTCTTGCATCTACTGGATTTCAGACAGAAGTGATCCATTTGATGGAGGTAGATCTCTTCACTTTACACAGGGTGCAATATGCCCAAATGAGGCCTACCTCATTTGATCTTATGAGATTTAATTTTTTGTTGGGAAATGTACAGGTAGACTTTGTATATGAGGCCTACTTTTTCATTGGGGAAGGTACAATATGTGCTTATGAGGCTTCTGTTTCATTGGGGAAGGTACAGGTACAATATGTGCTTATGAAGGATTCTCTTTCATCGGTGATGGTACAAGTACAGTATGTGCTTATGAGGCATTCTTTCATTGGGGATGGTACAGGTACAATATGTGCTTATGAAGCATTCTCTTTCATTGGGGATGGTACAGGTACAATATGAGCTTATGAGGCATTCTCTTTCATTGAGGAAGGTACATGTACAATATGTGCTTATGAGGCATTCTTTCATAGGGGATGGTACAAGTACAGTATGTGCTTATAAGGCATTCTTTCATTGAGGAAGGTACAGGTACAATATGTGCTTATGAAGCATTCTCTTTCATTGGGGATGGTACAGTTACAATATGTGCTTATGAGGCATTCTCTTTCATTGGGGATGGTACAGGTACAATATGTGCTTATGGGGCATTCTCTTTCATTGGGGAAGGTACAGGAACAATATGTGCTTATGAGGCATTCTTTCATTGAGGAAGGTACAGGTACAATATGTACTTATGAAGGATTCTCTTTCATTGGGGATGGTACAAGTACAATATGTGCTTATGAGGCATTCTTTCATTGAGGAAGGTACAGGTACAATATGTGCTTATGAGGCATTCTCTTTCATTGAGGAAGGTACATGTACAATATGTGCTTATGAGGCATTCTTTCATTGAGGAAGGTACAGGTACAATATGTGCTTATGAGGCATTCTCTTTCATTGGGGTAGGAACATGTACAATATGTTCTTATGAGACCTACCTGGTCTGTTGGGGGTGGAACAGGTCCCCAGCCTTCTTCTGGTTCCTCCACTTCAGGGGCTACAGGTAGATACAAGAGAGTAGAATCATCCTCCCCTTCCTCATCACTACAACATTATAACATATGAATTAGTATAGTATGGCAAACCCGACTATGCCTCAACACTTCAAAAGATAGTCCAGAGTGAATGAACTCTGCTATGCTCCTGATGTAATAACTTTTCAGCACTTGACTTGTCCACAGTAAAGATTCTTTCCCTGGTTTTGAACAATGGCGGTGACAGAGGCCTCACAAAAGGTAACTGATAAGGAACATGTTCATCTCACATGGGTGTATTTATGAAAAACAGCAGGAGAATTTTGGTTGTAAGGTAAAAAAATTGTCAACACACAAATCTTTCATCTGATACATTGCAGGCTGCAGGGTAGAGACACATGAACACTAAATCCAATATACATGAGATTTAAAGGATTTATAGGGGTTTGCCTTGCTTTTTTTTCCAGATGTTACCCTTTGTGCTTTTTCATATCATATAATTAGATAAAATTATAATTGGGCAATACTTTCAGTATGTATAATGTAAATGCATTAGGGTATAGTTCCAAAATTTATGATTTCATACATGTACATATATCCATGCTTGGTTTATGCATTGCATTATTTTGTTCTCATGTAAATACTTGTACATATGCGACTCATGTACCCTATATACCCTTGTAAAACAGTTATATGGATTATTAAGACTTTATGGTACTTTTTGATACTTAATTTTATACCTTTTTTTCTAAATGAATAAAAATAAAAAAATTGTGAAAGAAAGAATTTCATCACAGAGTTTTATTTTATTACAAATTACATGTTAATGTAATATATCATGTATTCGAATCAACAATAATTATTAACCAGAGATGTATATTCATAGAATCTATAACTTCAATAGCATAATGATGCCAATAGACGATACATGAATATGGCTAAGAAAAACTAATAATTCACAAGTGATAATTGATCAGAGTAACAAAACACCCATTTAAAAAAAAACACATCCTCATCTAATAGCATAATGTCGCTACCCTTAGCTTTACATTATATTATTACATGTTTACGACAGTAGATAGCAGATATACGAGCATATCGTATAGCATCTATATTATTAAGAGCATGAGAACACATGCTTTCAAAAACTTCTTGTCATCTATGGCACACAATTTTTAGTGAATAACCTTGAGTCTTAGAATTTTTGGACTTGAGATGTGGAAAATAACATTTTGGTAACTGGCTATTTATGATATGATATGTAGATTCAAGATCCGTATGATGAACCCTACATGAGATAGATGGTCATAAAAGACTTCACTCCTGGATCTCCATCATTTAGAGGGCAGAATAGCAAGATTTCAACTCTGCTTCATTACACCAACACACTCAAAAGCTTGTGATGCAAAAAGTACATGTATGCTGATTAGCATTGCACACAAACATTAATTCAGTTTGAAACTATGTCAGGGGTTTCACTAGAATTTCTCACAACAGGCTAAATAAATGAAAATAACAGGCAAAATTAATGGAAATCATAAATCTAACATGAAAAAGTTAAAAAGTCCCTAAAAACAACAGGCGAAAATCTCCTGTTGCCTGCTGCTAACCATTATTAAATGTAGAAAATCTAAATGTAAAAAATGTTGTGGGGTACCTGCTCACAAAGGCAGCAATAGGTTCACATGAGGTGACATCTACTTCATCATTCTCATCTTTATCAATTCCTTTGGTCTCCTCCACTATCTTATCCTCATCTTCGATATCAAACTCTGATTCACGTTCCTCATATTCCACATTCTCATCCAGCTCTTTGAAATCAGGGGCAAATGCACTCCAGTTCTCCTGTAAACAGGTAAATAGAATGGAGTTAGACAGGGTACTGTTGAATTATATGTGATTGAAATGAATTATATGAGGTTGGGGAGAAGCAGATGAGGTTGGGAAGAATAAGATGTGGTTGGAAAGAATTAGATGAGGTTGAGAATTATATTAGGTTGAGAAGAATTAGATGAGGTTGAGAATAAAATGAGGTTGAGCAAAATTAGATGAGGGAGAGAAGAGTTAGTTGAGGTTGATAAGAATTATATGAGGCTGAAAAGAATTAGATGAGGTTGAGAAGAATTAGATGAGGTTGAGAAGAATTAGATGAGGTTGTGCAAAATTTTATGAGGCTGTAAAAGTTTAGAAGGTTTGAACAGATTAAGATGAGGTTCATCAAATGTGGATGAGAGTAAGTTGAGGTTGAGATGAAGCAGATGAGGTTGATCAGAATTAAGGTTGTACTTACCACCTGAGTTTGTGACCATATAGAAACTACACCACTGGATATTGATGCAATGATTGGTCTAACAGGATGCCACTAGAAAATACAATATAATCTGGATATAATATTTATATAGTTGAGATTAATTGTACAATTTAATGGATGAAAATGACATATAATTTAGGCTAAAAGAAGAAGAAACCATTTAATACTTGCAACCTAACTTCTACATTGACAGTGAATGTGTATGTAAAAATAGATTGCTATTCTAGAATATCATGTACTTCTGTTACATGATAGCATATTATTTTAATAACAATAATGTGATCATATCATATACCAGCTCAATCAATAAGTTCTGAGAAAAAGCCTCATCAATAGAGATCTTTATGATTTTCTATTTGAAATGTTCACGGAATATTTAAAGTAGCAGTAGTATTTAGTTAAATTTAGTTCAATTTATTTAATTAAAGGTCCACGATGCATATTTTCAAAATTCGTTGGCAAAATAAAGATTTAATTTTTGACCTTTTCTTGGCCACCAAAAACAGCTCAAACAGGCCACATCCAAGCTTACAATAAATTATCAAAAAATATTTTCCATCCATCAAGTTTTATAGATCAGGTTTTTGCCAATGTCAATGAAAGATGGCAAAGTTGTTTGTATCACAGGATCCATTCATTTCTATAAAAGTGTTGCAGTCTTTAACTCAAGGGTTATCTAAAACTTGCACTTTTTTAAACATGGGCGTACTTATGATATCTGAACTTCAAATGCTTTTTTCTAAGTGCATTATTTTTTTCTAGACTAAATATTATTGCAAATCAATCTTTGTATCATATTTGATTGAGTGTGTGAGTAACATGTTTCAATGATTATTTTATCCTTTTCTAGTTTTAGAAATACATTTACATGAGATTTGTATGTGAAAATTTTAAAATGATGTCTATTTGTACACCTGAAAAGCTATATCCTGTAATTTGTTACAGATGCTGAACTCTGAATAATGTCAAAAAGAAGTTGGAGACCAATACTTGGTTTGGTAACATAAAAACTGTATTGAATATGAATTTTGTTATTATTGAATACATACTGCAACATCTAAGAGCAGCTCCCCCTTGGTACCATGTAGAATTTTCACTAAATTTCCGACACTTTTCTCCCAAATGTACAACGCATGTTGCCTTGCTGAGCCTGCACATATGTATTCACCATCCCCAGAGAAACAGCATTTTTTCCATAAAGTTCTAAAAATAAGAGATTACATGGCATGTTACTTTAAATACAAGCTGGATGCATGCTTTAACTTTAGTTCAGACTGATCAGGCATATAAAATCGAAACGCCAACCTATACGTATGACCAATCGCTCATATAAATGCATCGCTCAAATATTTTCCGTTCATGATTAGGTTGTGAAAAACATTGCAAGCTTAAACTCCCTATTAACTATTTCAACAACTTTTGTACGCTGAAAACAGCAAAAACAAAAACACTGAATATTTCATCTAATACAGTACTTGTTCACGAGATCCTGTAGTTTTTGTATTGGTTCTGGCTCTCCATTGTGAGCACATGCAAGCACTTCCCCAGCTTCGTAAACACGGATTATTCTGTCAGCTGAATTAACCAGGAAACAACTGCAATGAAAAAGTGCATTTTATTTATACTAATGAGACATGAGACTTGGTATGTACACTCTCAATTACACTTCAATGATGAACTTTTTTTTTAAATGGAGGATTGATTGTCATTACTAATAATCACATCGAGTCTTCTCAACTGGATTTTGTCTTAGTGTGGGCAAAAAACTCTCATTTATAATAGACAATTCTGACCAAAGGTGATGAAAATAAGCCCATATCTAAAGGTTTTCTCATTTTCAATTAAGTGCAAATAAAAACAAACAAAAGATATTAAATTTGTAAGACTGGTATGTTTATTTTGAATGATTGATGTTATTGTAATTGCATTGTATTGTTATTGTAAATAAATGTTATTTAAAAAAAAATAAAAATTATGTGCAAATTATTTTTCAGGTGAGTGCAAATACTTACAATTGAGTTCAGAACAACATGCTTCAATACTGGTAGATCAATGTTAAACATATGCTGTTATGAAAACATCAGAGTACATTTAGTCGATATAATCATTATTGAATTGCTCGAGAAATAAGACAGGGTAAAATGACATTATATGTGTAGATAATAGAAGTGTCATGGGTCAGATATTCGTCGGGTCGGGCCAGAAATAAAGTGCACCAGTTGAGTAATTTTGGGTCAGGTCAGAAGAAAACAGAAAAATAAACTAATTAGTACTAGCAACTGAAACGACTGGGTGAATACTGAATACATGGGACATTATAAGACTGTTTAAGCCCGCATTACTGCATATTCGAACATGACTGTATTCACGCCTTCTATAAACAGTTAACAAAGTCAATGCTTCAGCTGGGTTATATTCGAGATCAATAACCCAGTTAATATGTGTAATGTGTGACGTCATAACGATGGGTCGTAGTAATGGCGGAACATGATGAATATTCGAAACAATTTGGTGAGTTTTCATGTTCGAATCGTAATATAGACCTCAGAGCAGGGTTACTAGTTTCGAATAACAACCCGCTGGTCTTGGCACAAATGCTTTCGAACCCCTCACTCCCTTCGGTCGTTCGGGGTACAGAAAACGTTTGTGCCAAGACCAGCGGGGTGTTATTCGAAACTAGAAACCCTGCTCTTTGGTCTATATTTCTTAATTATGCTTTGAAAAATAAAAATGATAGAAACTCATCATTTAAATCCTTAGAGAACAACTGTAAATTATTTTCTGTTCTGTTATTTTCTATTGGTTTCTAATCCGACAATTGATTAAATGCCAGTCTTAGCAGCCAAGCAACAATGATTTCAACCTTAGTGTAGAGCCCTGGTGAAGCAATAGCATGGAGAAGATAACAAGGGTGGGTCAAGATTCTTTGCACCAAAGGTCAGTATGACGATGATAGATGAACTAAATACTATGCATAGACATTACATAAATGTAGATACATGTATGACCTTTAAGGACTGACTGATGAACAAACACACAAGGATGCCTAGTCAACCCCATAGACTAGACAGTGGGCAAAAAAAACATAAGTAGTAATAAACAATTATATGAGTAGGCTATTATTAATTGTCTGAGTTATATTTATGTTATCAATTAACACATGCCATTCTAGATATAGCTCATTGCTTGCATCACACTTAAACCAAAAACATACATTTGAGTTCATATTATATGTCAGTCTCACTCCCAGAGGTTAAAATGCTATATAAATGCGTGTATAGTCAGTTGTAATACAAGCAAGAAAAGATCATAATGTGATCCTTATAACAGGACATAGCCAACATTTGCCTCACTTATTCAAAAATAGGTGAGGCAAACTAGAGGCAATATTCATTTTTATACTTTCAATTAAAAAATGCCTGGATTAAGATTTCAATGTACAGCCAACAGCCCTGCCTGCCTCAAGCCAGTGAAGACATCCATCATCTACCCATGAAACCTAATACGGGAGCTGACAAAGTGCAATGAATAAAATGTTATAATCAGTATGTGAGCTTAACTTACTTTCCTCTCCTGGCAAATTCTATTGATTTTATTGCAGTTGTATTTGATGTTCCTGTCGTCACACGAAATGATGCTTTCAGATCAAGATTCTTTGAGTTGTATGTCAGGATCTGAATAAAATGCAAATACAAACATAACTTAGCTATAAATATTTGATGTTTCATGTCAAGGCTTCAAGTCACCCCCCCCCCCTATGTATACAGTAAAACCTGTCTTAGTGAAAACACGTCTCTAGGGGACACCCTTCCTCTGCACATACTCTACTGATTTCTGCATGAATTACCCTCTCTGTAATAAACACCTACGAACAATGAACATTTTTCTTGGCAAAAATTTGTTCAATATACACATGTTTTACTGTATTTACTCAACCAGTGTTATTGATGAGGACATAAATTAGCTTGGGAATTGATACAGTACCAGCCATATATCACTTCTATGAGTATGAGTTTCTATGCAATTTGATAAGTCAATCGTGATTATGTATATTTCATATGAATTGTTATGCAACTTAGTTTCATGATATATACTAGGATAATGGATGGTATCACAGTATGAGTCAATTTAAATAATGATGTGGACATACCCTTCCTTTAGCATTGTCAGTGTGCACATAAGATAATTCATAAGTATTGTCAGTGTAAATAAAAGATGGACATTCCCTCCTTTGTGAGTGCAAATACATTATTAGATAGACGTACCCTTCCTTAAACATTGCCAATGTAATTGTAAGCATAAGATTGATGTGCCCTTCCTTTAACATCACAAATGTAAGTATAAGAGAAACTTACCCTCCCTTTAGCATTGCCAGTGTAAATATAATCTCCTCTTCTGTCAAAAGAGGCCACAATGTTGAGGTCTGAGTCATCATCTAGAGGTACAATTGAGTGTTTCCCAGATGTGTTCATTAACACAGCAGCATGTTTCATGGGACAAACAAGGAACTGTCCACTGAAATGAACAAATAATATGCAGTTTATAAAGAAAATCAGAAATTAGTGTAACTTAATAAAAACTTTTCACAATTTAGAATTTTTGGTCTCATTTCAATCTTCATTGTGTATACTGTCTAAAATCTAGCGTCCTGAGGAAATCTGTGGGTTCTTACAACTATGGTCATTCAATCCTAAGTTAATTCCGAAAGTAAGAATGATGGTAACAAACCCTAAATTGGGCCAAACCCTAAATTGAGCCATTATTACATGTGAACCTCTCTAGTCTCTATTGTTAAGTTATACAAGGTTAAGACTTTCACATGTGACACATGAAAAATTTATCTCACCTGTCTCTGGGATGACACTGTATTTTGAGTATGGGAGATGGGAATCTGAATGTATGATCACATTCACCAGATAATACACTCCAAACTGACACAACATTGTCAGTAGCTGCACTAAATAATTTATGGCCATTTCTGCCCCAACTAAAAGCAAATGTCAATGGTAAAATATACTTTATACATGAATGTTATACATAAAAAGTTAAAGCTGCATATAATATCAATATGTTAAGCATGAAAAGGGGTGACATCTTTATAAGCAGAAAAAAATAATTTATATATGTACCATTAATATTCATATTTAGCAAGTGCATTCAAATGCATTTATAAATATCAGCACATCAATTTCTAGCTATAAGCCTGGGTACAGTTTATTTGACTAAACAACTCCAAAAATTACTAAACAGTTCCTTATTACTGTCATAGTAGTCTAATTTCAAACCTGAGAGAGCATACAGGATGGACATGAGCACTGATAACTTTGGCGATTCCCCTTGTTAAAAAATCCCAGATGACTATTCTTCCGTCATTGCAACCAACAGCCAATAACGTGCCTCGCTTATTAAATGCACATGTTACTGCAATGCTAATACTGTCCAAGACACCATCAAAGTCCTGAAAATGAAGTATCATTCATATGCTCGTTTCTCGCCCAGACAATCAATGATGTCCAATTGTTATTGCTCATATAATATCTCACATACCATGGATATATCTTGAAAATAACTTATGGGTATATTATTGCCGAAATATTGAATTAATCAACAGAACAACCAACCTCAAGAATTAAACACAATCGATTCCACACGCACATTGAACCAGGCAGCCAATCAGGTTCATGATAAACAAATTCAATGACCAATCAGATAACAGGGGGATTTTCCCGGTGTATTCAAACTTCAGATTGAATTAATTTCCGCGAAAATAATTAGATCGGTCAGCACAATCGCAAAATTAACACTGAAAGCGGGGATTTGGGACTTCCACCATATTGAATAGAGGTGCGAAATGTCCTTGTTCTGCGGATAGACTCATATAATTTGGGTTTGAACTACATGAAAGAATCCCTTACACTCAAAAATTTATTGAGGTATTCTATTTCGTCAGTCATATGTTGCACAAACTAACAAACTGGAATTAATATGGACAACCATGGGCTTCTAATAAAAATTTATTGAAAGCCCATCGGACAACGGATCATAGTGAACAGAAGCCCCCTCCCCCTATGTAATCTATAGGTTACACCAAGTGTGAAAAGAAGTTTGAAAAAAAAAAAATAAGGTAGATAAAATTTGTTTGCCTTGTTATGTTTACACAATCCTCCTGATACCCCTAAAACATTAAGTTCACTTCAGGGAAAAATATAATTTTTTCACCTCAAACTGGCTTATTATCGCTCAGATAATGAACAAAATCGGAGAATTAAGAATTGTTCCTCGCTCCATCTATCGTGAGTGAATAGGCCGATCTAAAGGATGTCGTAATTACAAATTCAAATGCCGCCATTTTGAATATTTTCCCCGATTCAGATTCAAAACACATAAGAGGTGATCGCGATATTAGTATTAAACTTTTGAGTGCTGATTATGAATGTAAGAAAAAAGACAGGCTCACTTTGCCAACATCCAAATCAAACAGCTCAATCTCTCCATATGTCCAATGATCATCTCTAAAATGTTCAGATTATGCTTGTTGCATTTGAATCGGCAGAATAGCTGTCAATCTCTAGGGTTTGTGTCCAACTGGCTTTTAGTGAGCAACCCACGGTCACGAAAAATCGACGTCTAATCGCAATCAAATTTACTTGATAGATCTCTCTGCAGTCGACCAATCAAATCACAGCAATTTCAATTAATATTTAAATTACACATTTAATTTAACATTCTTACACTTATTTATTGTTTTACAAATTTTTTAATTACAACGGAAACCTACAAAATTTTGATTTATTAAACGCCGAATTACTCGAATGATCATTTCTTGGACGTGAATTTGGGCATAAAATCAAGACGTTTTTTTTTAAAAATCAAAAAAGCTATTAGTAGATGATATACAATGTGAAATATACTGAGACTACTACAATAAGTTCATAGCATCACCACAGTAATGCGTTCATTTTTTTGGCGTTCGGTTTAGTGCTGTATCGGCGATCATTTTTTGGATGTTTTTCTACAGGAATATTTTTGCTGGACAATAATCAGGTAAAATGCATATTTGAGTGACATATTCTGTCACGCAAAATAACTGGCGTGACTTCAAGTTTCCCAGCAAATTCATGACAAATACACAAATTGCGCGACAGTTCACAGTCTATATGCAGTTATGATTTGGGGCAATCCCAAGGACGGCCTGCAATTCTAACTGAAATTCATTCTAATAGATAAGCCTATAAAAGACCGAAATTTATGTTTGGAATTATCACATTTGAGATCGAAAGATGCAAATTTAATTTGTGGTTAGTTTTCCATTGACTTTTGTTAGTGGCCTGTGAAGAAACAAATCAATTTAAATTAAAAGTGGGCGATAATGAGGTGAAAAACTTACCTCAGGAAAATTTTGCCCGAACGATTCTGGAAAATAAATAGGTAAATGTTAGCATTTTGCATCATAAACGGACAAAGGATACACACTTTTATTTTCACATTTAATATTAATGATCAGACTTACCTAACAGTTCTAAATTCATCGTTTATAAAATTAAATTTAAATGTTTTGTTGTTCTAGAAAAGATGGCGGGTGTTTTGGAGAAATTGTTATTACATTTTCAAATGTCAAATGTAAACATCATTTTCTTGTATACTAAGATAGTTCTGATTCGAATAGTTATATGATCATGTGTAAGTGTATTGTGTTACGTGATATCATAATTAAAACATATTAAAAGATATGTATAATACAGATCGTTTCAGCTGTGATGAAAATGAAAACGAATGGCGTAACCCAGCAGAACACGGAAGTAAAAAGTTGAAAAGTTTAGGAAAGTTTTGATTTCCTCATAGTTTTAACCAATCCTCCTTGTTTAATCAACATAACTGCAAATTACTACAATACAGTAGTCCTGTACTTATTACATCGCTCAGTGCAAGTAAGTGTACATTTCTCAATATTCAAGTCAGTTCCTCAGTCACAAGTCCCTCAGTTTCATGTAATGGGGGGGGGGGTATCCTCTAGTCTGATTAGGCTGAATCTTTTTGGAAATTTGAAATGAAAATATTCAGACTGAATTCTTAAGATATTCAGTCTATTGGATATAGACTAGGGATCAGAGTTACTCTACCGAGCTGACAGAAGTCAAGCTGGCTTTTGAGCCAGCTGTGTTCAGAAGGTCAGACTGGTGAGCACCATCAATCTTCATTTTTCAGTTATTATTCTATTGTATTAGATATTAAAAAGATGGTGTTGACTGTGCTAGGGGTACCCCCTGAGGCCCAGGAATACGTTAAAAATGTTTAAAATGTTCGCTAGTGTACTGAGTTGTTAATGCGTGGTGTATACATGTATATAAATAGACATGTATAAGAATAAGACTGATTTTTATAAGCTTAATGGATAAGAATAAGACTGATTTTTTTATTAATGACAGTATACCCGGGCCTCAGGGTACCCCCATAAAATCAACACAACACTTATGGGGGTAGATTCCGGGGGCACAATCAGCACCATCTATCAAATATAATAGAATGAAGTCTGCTTAGCAATCATAGGACCATGTTGCAACAGTACATGTATATGAACACAGACACTCACTATGTATTAGGTAGAAAAAAGATTTTACATGAGCTATACAGTGACTGGTGGGGGGGATTTAAATCTTCCTGGGCCTGTGTATATGAAAAAAATAGGAACATATTATGTACAAGACCTAACTTTTGTGTATTTCAGATAGTTATTATGTCACCACCAAAAAATGCTGACATATTGTAATGGTCCCCATTTTTGTTGCTGGTTGGCGGTTGGTGATCAGCGGTTGACATCTGTAACAATTCTTAAAACTTCCAATAACTTTAACTGTTTAGTTTTTTTTCAAAATCATCTACATGTTTTCAGAAGTTCAAATCTGACTTTATAGATAAGATTTGACCTTCCATGTCCTTTTCAAGGTAAAAAAAAGGTAAAAAATGTCTTTTTTCAACTTGGTTCAAATTGACCAAATTTTTTTTCAAATCATCTAGAAGTTCAAATCTCACTTTAGATTTGAGATTTGACTTTCATTGACCTTCTCAAGGTCAAAAAAGGTCAAAAAAGTCTTTTTTCAACTTGCTTCTAATTGACCATTTTTTTCAAAATCATCTTCAAGTTCTCAAAAGTTCAAATCTGACAAAAGATTTGATCTTCAATGACATTCAAGGTCAAAAAAAACATTTGACCTTCTCAAGGTCAAAAAGGTAATTTTTCAACTTGCTTCAAATTGACCAATTTTTTTTCTTTTTCAAAATCATCTTCAAGTTCTCAGAAGTTTAAATCTGACTTTAGATTTGAGCTTTCACCTTCAATGACCTTCTCAAGGTCAAAAAAGGTAAAAAAAAGTCTTTTTTCAACTTGCTTCTAATTGACCATTTTTTCAAAATCATCTTCAAGTTCTCAAAAGTTCAAATCTGACAAAAGATTTGATCTTCAATGACATTCAATGTCAAAAGAATATTTTAAAATAGTTTAAATCTGACTTTAGATTTGAGCTTTCACCTTCAATGACCTTCTCAGGGTCAAAAAAGGTATTTTTCAACTGTTTTCAAATTGACCAATTTTTATTTTCAAAATCATCTATAAGTTCTCAGAAATTCAAATCTAAGTGTCGTTGTCTATAATTTCAGCCATGGTAATATTTTGAAAAATAACATGGCAGTCACTGGCTAATCCAGTAGCTATACAAGGGGGCCATATATCAAGTCTGGAAAACAAATTTTGGCCCATAAAATCTTAAATTGGGCCATGGGCATTCAATCTTTAATGAAATTAGAGAATTAGCTTAGAGTTAGAGAAATTTAAGGCCCATTTTGATAAGTTGGCCTATAAAAGGCCCAAAACGGCCAAGTTACAGTATGCCAAAAAAGGCCGATTGGCCAAAATTGTTCTGTGGCACGGGGTAGGGTGGTCCTATATCTATCCCTTTGTAATTTAAATGGCATGTAATGCCAATTTATTATCTAAATTGCCCAGTTATTCAAGAAAGCATAAAAGGTAGGTCCACATTTCTTAGGAGATGTCAAACCTAACAAATATATTTGTCAAAAAAGGGCAGAGTGCAACATTATATGGAATAAATAATTCAATATTTAGATAAAAAAATTTTGGACTAAAACTTTTGAACAGATGTATGGCAGATCTACACTCAAACTTCTTCACAATTGTGAAGTAACTTCACCATTTAGAATATGTTTGAATTGTGAGGGTAGTTAAAGATTACCCATGCATCTTTTTATCTGAGTACCCATACCAGAAAATAAGTCATACCCTTATCTAATTTACTTAAATAGCTTAATCATTTGAGTATTCTTTATGCTGACTTTTAAACATCTTTGACATGTAGAATAAGCGAATAAACTTTGTAAGATGATGAAAATGTGAAACATAAAACCTGAATTTTTGTAAGGGTTATCCAGCCTCTGAAAGGACTCTGTTTGAAATTAAATATCACAATTTGTTTGTGTAGGGCCCAGCTTCCTGAAGATACAACTAAAAGACAAATAAATCTATAGAATCTCAAGGTTACAGTTATTAGAGTTTCTTGAACTCAATAGATCTAGTTAATACATATATATTTATACTGCATGTACCTGGGGTTAATATAAAGTTATGCTCACCTTCAATCTCAAGGCTTGCATTTAATTGGAATATAAAGGTAATATTATGATACGTAATGATCTCACAATTAAAGGAGCAAACTATACAATTCTGCAAATATTTCAATTCTGCCTAAATGCTGTAAGATTGCTCAACAGCGTTTGAAAGAAAAATTAGATATGAATGATGAAGTTATTTCAAAAGTCATTTAAAGCATTAAACATGTTGTAAATGAAACAAGGTAAAGTTTAATACCAAATTGATTTTTTGGACTTTTTAGGTGAAATTCTTCCAGAAATAGAGCAGCTGAGAGCTGAAACCAGCAATTTACACTTACAGAAGTAAGGCTGATTATTCATCATACTTTTAGAAAATATGTCAATATTCCATGGGATATTCTGTGGAAAATCAAGACTTTGCACACCCTTTGGTCAAGACAAATTCTATCTATGCTCTGCAGAAATGAGAAACTGTGAGGGGTGTTTTTCTTGTTTGTTCATCATTTTAGATTCAAAGTTTATACTTTTCATTATGTGTCAAAAACTTGTCTCAAGTAATTTCTGAGATTGTGTTTTTTGTGATTGAATATTAGTGTCTGTATCTTTATTTTAACCTCCTCATGATTGTTACTGCTACTGCTAATCTAGTGTCAACGGACTTAACAAAGATCTGAATTATTTCAGAGTTGTATACGATCAGTTCAAAAGCCTCCAGCTGCATTATGGACAATGTTGTGAATTGTCGGACTCCACGTCCTCATGCATCTATGCGACTGTTCTGTTTTGCATGGGCTGGTGGCTCCTCTGATGAATTCTCAGAGTGGTCTAAAATCCTACCGGATGATATTGAAGGTACCTGTATATTACAGTATATATAATTGCAAACTGTTACATGTATAAAAATTAACATATGATATTAAAATGGTAAAGTATTGAGATATGATGTACATAGTTCAATATTATAGTCACAAGCCTAAATAAACATTTACTAAAATGCTTACGTTTTAAATCAAGCTTTTTATTTTACTTTTTGTGACATTAAAAAAGTTATGAAGTTATTTTGTTGCAGTAATTGCTTTGAGACGAAGAGGAAAAAACAACAACTATTTCCTGAATAGATTCAACTCAGTTGAAGAAATGGTTACAGAGACTGTTGCAGCTATAGCAGATAGATCAGACAAACCATTTGCAATATTTGGACACAGGTATGTTGAGCCCATAGTAGACACATATACAGAGGGATTCAAACTTTAAAATTGAAACAGTGGAATTGAAGTCCAGTGCTCAAGTGATAGTAATTATACCTACTGCAATCCAAATGCCTTGATTAATAAAAATTTCCTGTCCATTCCTTGTTTGCTTCCCTCTTAACCTGCAGGGCTTATAAATTGGGTTAGAAGATAGAAAGAGGGAATGCATTTCTACCATTGATATTGATATATGTACGATATTCATTGATGTAAGCAAGTATTAAGGCCTAGGTGAACATTAGGAACTTCTGTTGAAGTCCATTGTAACATTATGGGACTTATTTACAACATTTGGGACGTGCTCAAAGTCCATGGTGTTATCAGAGACTTACTCTTAGTCCATGGTAACATTAGTACTTCTTTTTAATTCTGTGGTAACATAAGGGACTTTGACTCTATGAACTTGGTAACATTAGGGTGTTCTGACCAAGTTCTTCTTTTGTTTGGGGCTCACTACAATGGTAACATAAGATATTGGTTAGATAGATCGCCAACAGAATTTCGGTTTTCAGTCAGGGGGGTGCGATTGTGGCATAAACAAGCCAAAAAATAAGATTTATTATGCAATCGCACCCCCCTGGCTATGCCCATGGGTTACCAGTATTTATAATATTTTCTGTTTATGTTGTTTTCAGTTTAGGGGGCCTCCTATCTTTCCTTGTGGCAGAAAGGTTGAGATCGCAGCATAATATAGAGCCAGTCCACATGTTTATATCCGGTTGTGCTGCTATACATGTAAGTTCTTCAACCTCTTGACTACCTGGAGTGACGAGATATATCGTCACCTCAGAAATGACCTTGACCGTCACAAAATTTTTCTCAAAAAATTGCTCTTATTTGAACAATTTTCATCCAATTTACACCAAAAGTGTTTCAAAATGAGTAGAAATGATCTCTGCCGTCTAATTTTACTAAGTTGAGCATCTAAAGTTGTATAGGTATGTGGTAAAATGTCAAAAGGTGGCAAAAATGATGAATTCTCTGGTTTCAACTGATTGTAGAGCCTGAGATTCAAGAGGTTAATTGCACACCTAAACACCCATTGTGTCATGAGTATCTCATATATATTCCAGGTTCTATAAAACAACCTTGTTCAACAGATCTAATACATGTATGTTATCACACTGACACTGACATTTGGTACTGACTTTGTTTAATATCATGGGGAGTCATGGTTTAAGTCTTAAGGATAAAATAACTTTGTCCATACCCCAAGCCCAAAACATACAAAGATATCCAATAGGATCTCTGCTATGGTATGCCTCAGCTCTTTTAGCATTTCATTTGGGCATTCATTGTTCTTGCATTAACATGGTAGACATGTATCTCATTAAGTTCTTTTTCAGTCAGATGAATTCAAACAAAGACAAAAAGAAATTGCTGTCAAATCAGAAGAGGAATTTATCCAGATGTTGAAAAAGCTAGGTACATGAAAAAAACTGTTATACACCGTTTTCATAATCACACCATTGATAAAGATTAATTAAAAGATCTGGTTTCCAAAATTGTTAAAAGAAATTTGAACACTTTTTCCCAGTCCCAATTTGTATTCTTCCATTGACCAAGAAACCTTGAAATGTGAACACCTGCTATTCTGAACACTTATGACTTCCTAGTGTTGCTAAGATTATACACGTTTCACTGTATTTCATAATTGTGGTCAGATTTAGTTTAATGAACAGATTCAATTTACATAAGATGTACTTGTGTGCGTGTGCATTTATTTCTCATAATTTCTTTACATTTTCAGGTGGTACGCCAGATGAGATATTCGAAAACCAACAATTAATGCAGATGATTTTTCCATACCTTAAGAGTGAATATAATTTATTAAGTGAACTAAGGTATGTAAATCTGTCATGTTACTGGTTTCCTGTAATGGAAAAAATGTGAATTGAAAGCTCAAAATGGACCAAAATATTTTGCGATGGTGTAAGAAATTCTGGAATACTTATCATTTTTTTGACTTACAAAGTGGTACCATTGTCCATTTTCAAATGTATTTCATTTTTGAGGCAAACAGTTTGGAACCGATTCATGAATGTTTGCTTGTTTAAATGAAGTGCATGTATTACCTGAATCTTTATGTGTAGTTACAGCATAGATGCAGACAACAGACCACTAAGCTGTCCTCTCACCATCTGCATAGGAAAAGAAGATGTCTTTAAAGACAGTTCTGTGAAACGTAAGTCAACCCACCGTTTGTCAATCATAAAGCTAAACAGGCCTTATAATGAAAAAGTGATACATTTGCTTGAAAAGAACAAACATCAATTTTTACATTCACTGGGGCAACACTTTGGGAGAGGAAACGTCATCCCTTATGATGATACCAGTTCACTCTGGGAGTGAGGGGGCCAGCTATTAGACTGAACTAACTTCATTATGTTCCTCTATTTACAGAATGGTCTGAAGTGACAACTGGGCCATTCCAACAAGTGAAATTTAATGGAGGACATTTTTACCTTCAGGATAAGGACACTAAAAAGAAATTATGCGACCTCGTATCCAATACATTGTATGAACTGGACTACATGCCAGCTTGATCTAGAACATGAGGGAAAAGTGCCATATCTACTGTAATATTTCCGACACGATAAAACTGCTGAACAATCACACATTTTACTGTAATGCTCAATTCTTAATGAAAAATGTTCTGAATTGATGTAAAATCTTATGTCTCCCCATATATACATGAATATTGACATTGAAATATCTCCTAGATATATTAATATTTTCAATGCCAAGAAAAATATTTTGATGACATCAGCAATTGTATCCAAGCACATGGAAAGAAATTTTTAATTCAAATAATTAGAAGGGATAGACAGTGTAAACGTTGATTTCCATTCGCCAAATATTTTTACATACACATTTTACATACACATGCTATATATTAGCAGCAGTTTGTCTTTTAATCTGAAACTTTTATTGAATTCGGCATGTTTCAGCGATAAGATTATGACTTTAACACTACTAGGAGTTTTTTCAATATGTATATATTTTTGATAACGTTTAACATAATAAAGGTTGAGTAACATTATTGTCAAACTGGATGTTGCACATAGGTACCTTGTGAAAATTGCAGGGAAAATTGTTCCAACTATGCCACAGGAGTGAAATACAGTATTGAGATATTTTAACCAAAAGAGGTGAAACATTCTGGCGAGATCAATGATGGTAATCAATGGATGAGATGGACAAACTAAAGATGATCAGTAGTACAATGTCTCTTTGCAAGATAATGGACAAGATTGTTTTACGAAATACTCTATGCCTTTAGAAAGCACATTAAGACATGCTATGTACATTGAGAAAACAATAAACAAGTGCCTTAAGCGCAACATGTTTTGTAATGAATCAGAAAGATTCCGCTAATATCATTGAACATTTCACATTCTACTAGATTCAAATCCTCATCAAATGTAGCATTTATTTTCAGGTTTTATAACATAGGATTTGTATACAGGGAAAAGAAAAATGTTATTTAGAGTTTCAAGTCTGTTCATTGATTATCAAGCAATTTGTATAGCTATTGGTGTGTTTGAAAGGTGGCAAAAAGGACTCCATAACTACCAACATGGCGCGTTCACAACTATGGATGATTCTTCTATTTCTCTCATGTATAGAACGTGAGTATACCGCATTAATGTACTTTGTTTGAATTAATTTCTCATGTTTTGAAATTGAGACATTTTCCTCTGAAACACATGGTTTCAAGATACCATTCCGAAAGTTTGTGAATACATTCTGCAGTCTTTTGTTTTGAGGATGGAAATCGTCAATGATTCATATGCGTTTTAATACTGATATATGGGCATTCAAAAACCTTTGTTTCTTTGATTGGAAAATTATTCTTCTACTTGTATAATTAGCGATGTTATTAAATTCTAATATGTATGATCTTTTAGTCGTTTAGATTTTACTGATGGTTTTTTGGATTTAGTTCAAAACATTGAAATGTGAACACATTCTCAGTAAAATTCTTATATTGACCACATAGCTTTATGGCATTTCAAAAATTTGAATTTCTGATTCGAATGAATTTATTAGTCATGTTAGAAAGACCTAGGATTAAAAAATAAATTACGATTGACACCATTCAAAGTTTTTGTCGTACGTAAGAGGTACAATACGATATTGTCAGCTTCACGGGCGGGCGCCGGCCGAGCGGGCGGCGTCTCACTTTCTTGTCATCACGATTCGAGGAAAACCACTTTACGGATTTACTTCATGATAAAAAGTTCTAGAGGATCCAGAGCTGATTGATTTTTCGGCGGCCATCTTGCATTCTGGCGGCCATCTTTGAAGTGTTTAGATAAATCTTGACATCACGTTTCCAGGAAAACCATTTGACGGATTTACTTCAAATTTTCACACATGCCCACGTGGTAAGAAGTTCAAGAGCTGATTAACTTTTCGGCGGCCATCTTGCATTCTGGCACCCATCTCGGACGTTTATAGATAAATATTGTCATCACGTCAGTCCAGGAAAACCACTTGACGGATTAACTTTAAATTTTCTCACATGTTACATGGTAAGAGGTTCTAACGCTTATTAACTTTTCATGTTACATGGTAAGAAGTTCTAGAGCTGATTAACTTTTCGGCAACCATCGTGCATTCTGGCAGCCATTTTGGAAGTTCTTAGATAAATCTTGTCATGGCGATTCCAGGCAAACCACTGAACGGATTTACTTCAAATTATTACACATGTTACATGGTAAGAAGTTCTAGAACTGATTACCTTTTCGGTGGTCATCTTTCTTTCTGGGTCATCAAGCCCACACTGCTATTTTTATGTACGATATTGTTCTCCCCGTTTCTTGTTTCCCGAAAGGTGGGATATCATAATCAAACATTGAGTGATAAGAAATATTACCAATTTCGTATGAAACATGAGATATATTATGAAATGTATTCATATTAGACAGGTTAATATTTCAAATATGACTGTTCATTGTTCAAATTGGGAGGTGTCCACATTTCAGGATTTCTGGGCAGTGAAGGTAGAGATAAAAAGGTGGATTGGATCGAGTGGATTGGATTCATGTAAAAGGTGGATTGGATCGGGAATCTTCAAAATATGGATTTTTTAGTTGATCTCCCTTTAGGCAATTTCCTCCAGCCTAAAGTATTTTGTGATTACATGGGCCCCTTTAAGGAATCGACAAAGCAATGACAAATACATCTTCAATTAGTTGATAGATACTCTAAAGTATTCAACTGCTCTCCCTTGTAAATCAACATTAGAAAGACATAATAAACAAAGATCTGTAGATAAGAGCTCTCATTCAAATTGACGTGTGAGTGTTCCCAAGACATTCTGCCATGTTCTGTTTGAATTGACTTCAAAAGTCTGCCTTATGATTTGTGAAATGTCTAAAATTACCCTTGGAATGAATAAGATTGTGTATCAGATCACCTTTCCAGCCTACCCAAGCAAAATAATATTCTATTATTTGACATTGTGGAAGTGAGGAGAGCATTAATCGTCTGATGGGAGATCAATTTAAATTATTTTAAGGAAAATCCATATTTTGAAGAATCCCGATCCAATCCACCTTTTACATGAATCCAATCCACTCGATCCAATCCACCTTTTAATCTTTACCGGAGTGAATGGGAGGAAAAATAGGACCAAATAAGTGTTCAGATTGGTATGTGTTCAGATTAGCCTGGTGTGTACCGGTTTTTCTGTAAATGGAAATATTTGAGATGTTATTAAATGTGCTTAGTTGCCACGGGACTGTGACTTAGAAACATGAACCTTGATGGTTTCTAATTGTAGGCTTTGCTATGCCGTAGTCATTCATTCTTCGTTTCGTCGTTTTTCATGTTTATAATAATATATTATAAACCATATACATAGAATATACCTTACTTCAATAATATCTATGTTTTACATTAACCACATTCTGTGTAGGCCTATAAATAAATAAATCAGTGCTCGAGGCATGTCAGATATTCCTGTGTTATGTTCCAACAATGATTATTTATTATAAAGATTTGTTGCTTTTGGATTTTTTAATACTAGAGCAGGGTATACTGATCCGGGTCGCGTGGAAAACACATTTGAACCGTTTGTTAAACAAAACCATTGTATTCGATCCAATGCCTAAGGTTTAATAAAGTAAGGAAGGGCGATTGAAAAAGATCAATGCATATGTTTGATCAACTTCCAAGACTGATTTAAATAAGAGTATGACATTTACCAATCGTCCATCATCATGATTTAAAAGCTCTAAACTTGCAGCCTTTGACTCCATTTGAAATATAGAGCCCTGTAGATATAATAGATTAAACAGTGTTGCATCTACTGTACGTAATATGCCTTGTCATTGTCAGTGGGATAGAACAAGACGACATCTTGAGCAAAAAACTATGATCTCAATACCGGGTCTCAATATGCAGCCAAGTTGGACTCCTTTTAGGGTTAAATAGCACACTTATCTGCTGCTATTTTCTTTAGAGTAGTTTTATCAGGTTTACCATTTGGAAGCCTCGGAAACTCTTCCATTATGATGACAAATTTTGGTGTGAGTGCGAGCCCATCGAGGGTTTGTTCAGTGAGGTTCTCATTACAGAAATCAACAATAGCTTTTTCCGTAGTAGTGTCGCCATGGTTGAGTATGACACATGCGCATAGCTCCTCGTAAAGTCTAGGATCAGGAACCCCCACTACAATGACGTTGTTAACGCTTGGGTGATTCAGAATGACGTTTTCTACGCTCGCTGGTGCTACAAGAACAGTTCCACGTTTTATCATGTCACAAGTTTTGCTTATGAAGACAAGATATCCCTTTTCTGTGAGGTACCCAAAGTCCTCTACATCGAACCAACCATCTTTCATTTTCTCTTTTGTTTTCTTGTCATCGTTATAGTAGCCAGTGAACATTTGGTAACTTCTTAGTTTAATATTACCAGGCGTTCCTATGGGCACCACCTTGTCGTCTCCATCCGTGATCTTAATTTCAAACCCAGGGAATGGATAGCCTATCGTACCAGTTTGGTCAACTTGTGAAGCTACATTATACAACTGGCTAGATACCCATAGCATTTCCGTTGATCCGTACCCAATAATCATGCTGGCTTTGGGCAATGTTTTATTGACCCCCTCAAGTAAGGCATTTGGTATACGTTGTCCACTCGTCCAGAATTTTGTGAAAGCATCCAGCTGATATTTTCTCACGGATGGTAGTTCCAGCATGTCATACAACATATAGGGCATCATCAGGCCCCTTGTGCATTTCTCCTTAGAAATTATTTGTAAGATCGAGTGGATATCTCGTCCAGCAACCGACATTGTTGTATCAACAGTTATGACAGTCAACCCGACAATACAAGCAACGGCCAGACCGAACAGTCCAGCACCCCATGTCATTGGACGGTCACAAAAATAACGATCGCTTGATGACATATTAAGACGAATTGCTACACAATTGAAACTATTGACCATGCCGAAATGGCGATGTACTACGAGTTTAGGATGACCCGATGACCCGGATGTTTGTAAAATCGCACAAGGGCTGTCCATTGTAATAGTAGCGACACGTTCATGCAAGGGTTGAAGTTCTAGTTCAGTTGTTGTCCTAACCATATTGATGTACGGTAATGCTCCATCAAGACAGGTCCCTATAGCGACTACGAACTTCAGATTCGGGACATCTGGGTCTTGTTTAAAATCCAGAAGCCTACCAAAAACATCTTTGATGATTCTATAAAATCCCTCAGATCTACCTGTGTGAAGAATTACGCCAACAGCCTTTAGTTCATTTAAAACATTTTTCAAATCATCGCCCTTTCTCATATTGAACGAAACAAAGGCGGGGTATGCATGACACTTCAGCAAGGACAACCAGCTCACGATAAACTCCTTACAATTGGGCATCAATATAGCAATCACATCGTTTATTTCAACGCCTTCTTTTATTAAATTTGCAGCAAGGTTATCAGATAGATCGTCACAGTCCTTGAAGCTTATAGCTTCACGTTTCACAGTATCAACATCAGCAATGACAAGTGCCTCTTTATCAGGAGATGCTTCAACATAGCGTTTGAATCTGTCTAGTATTGTGTCATCTGTAGGTTCAGTGCTGAACCCAGTCTTGAGATAGCTTGTTGTTAAAGCTGTCGATATTGGTGTAATATCCGTTCCCATGGTATAATTTTTGGTATGATCCATTCTTCGCACTTCTTAATGAATGTTGCAAATAGAAATGTACGTACATGCTTACGTCAACATAACCTACAGGGATGGACCATTCGATCAGGAGCAATGTGACCTTTTTACTAAGAACATTTCTCTGCGTGTGTTCCACGTAAACTCTGGTTCAAAGAATTCTGAAAAAAGGTTAACCAAAATATGATGCTCGCCCCCTTATACAATTTATATTGGTGAAACGGTTTGTTAGTTCCGTTGTATAAAGAAGTGATCTAAAAGGACCGAATTACAAACAAACAACGTATGTGTTCAGAAAACATGGCATTCTGACCCGAAAATGTAAGCTTATGTCCTTGAAACGCACGTTAGATTGAAGAAATATAAACATCAAAGATCGATATGGAGTACATCAGTTTTTTCAGTAAACGTTTGTTTTATTTCCTAGTAATTGTTTTGTTTTGTTGTAAATTAACCCACATATTCCAGATTCCGATTTACGAGGCTATGCTAAAAATTAAAGCACGACGAAAGATTTTCTAAGGATCTTTCTTCGTCCTAGTAATATGAATAGGATATGCCAAATGCTGCTCAATTGATACTCAAACTTTTATGCAGGTGCGTACAGCAGATGCCCACCGATAACGGATCTCCCACCCAACGCCGAGGGCATCCTGTATGAACCCCCCGACAGGTTCGATCCCCTCTACATACCCACAAGGCAACAACTACGACAAGGGTTCGAGGAAGGTTTCTTTGCAACTATCGTATGCCAGGAGAATTATGAGGTTATCCCTGCCCATCCAAGAAAGTGCCTTGGTGACGCTTGGAGCAACATCATAACCTTGGTGTGCCCCCAGCGTGGTCGCGGAGAATGTAACTTACAGACCATTGATCCGATATGCCAGCGTGAGTATTCATGAATGTAGCAATAATGACAAATATATTTTTTCATTTTGGGCATATTAATGGGCAGTATTTTGACCGTTTGAATAAACGCGCGTACGGGCCTCAAAAAGTTTTCAATATTTGAAAAGAATCCAAATAGTTCACTCGGTGAGTCTAAATAAGAAATTTTGTTTCCTGACCTCAACAATTGTTCCCAATCGGTTTATATCAATTTGTCTAGTTGTAATTATATTTGTCGAAAATCCTTTTTCATTTCAGCGTTACGATGTTACCATCCAGCACCTTGTGACTATGGTACCATTACACCCTCGCAGCAGGCCTACGATGCCGGAGATATTATTACATACGACTGTGAGCGCGGCTTAAGTGCCTTCCCGTCAAATGAGAGGTCTTGTTTGTCAAGTGGCGAATGGTCTGGACCTGATCCAAAATGTGTTACTCCTGACGAATTCATCAGACTTTCCAGTAAGTAGGCTACAATTAGTTTCTTTTACATTAACAGGAGACACTGACACGTGTCATTAGCTGATCGTGATAATATCGCCATTATAACTAAATGTATCGCTACATTTCTCGTTTTTCATAGGGTTATCAAAATTCTATGGTGTAAAAATGATCCAAATCCTAAACTTCAACATCAGGGAACCTTATTTTAGCATTAGCAAAAATATCGCTATTATTAATTGCGAATTATCTTTTATCGCTTTTATTGCTAATTTGAAGAAAACTGACATTCTGCTCCTAATGAGGACCCTGAGTGCAGAGTTTAGATCTAAACTGTAAAATGCAAATGGTACTAAATGGGTGTTTTCGAAGCCTCCACGTAAGTGTACACAGTTTATAGGTTCTTATTCCTGGATTTTCATTTTCACATTTCGGTATCTCCAGATAAACAATGCCCCATCTTAGAAGCACCGCTATTCGGCTTCATCGTTGGACCAGAGGGTTTACAAGGTATTGATGATGTTACCGAGTTCGAATGCTTCCCGACTCTCACCCTTCTTGGTAGCCACAGACGGAAGTGTTTGAATGATACGCTGGAATGGTCTGGTGAACAGCCCACGTGTGTGGCTGGACTTGGTCAGTATACTTTCCAATGGTCAATGGTCATCATCATGTTTTAAAAAACGTGGCTAATTCATACGATGTAGATAGTATGCGTATGTTTTTGCCGGGAAAGGGGAACAATTAAATAAAATAAAGTAATTAAATGAAGGAATTGATGGTAGACATTTTAATCTGGACACTTTCATGACATTCTGAATTTATGTTTTGGCTGATGTCAAATATAGGCGGCACTACATTTCCCTTTTTGTACAATATGCTTTGTATATTTTTAGAGATTTGCTATTGCTCAGTGTTTGTTTTCGATTTATTTCAGAGATTGATATCCCCATTGGAGAGAACCTGACCGATTATGAAAGATTAATTCCCGACACGAAGAATTGTCGGTACTTCTACCATTACTCCTTAGAGGGTGACTTGTTCCACAAGATCTGCCCCTCTAATCTATTCTTCCATCCCATCATCAAGTGGTGTGATTACCAAGAAGCATCCGGATGCATACAAGAAGCACCCGCACCATAGTGTGACTAAACATGCATGTATTTCGATGTGACTTTAATAGTTGATCTCTGTATTGATTTAGGAATAAAATAAAACACGATAAAGAATGTCATCTCCTAATTTCAATGTGTTTGTAATACATCATCAAGTTGTAGTCTAGCTATACGACTATGTGACCGACCTCCCCCCCCCCCTTTACTTGACTACTCGAATTTATTTTGCATAACCTGCGAAGAAAAAACAAATAATGCAAAAAAAGTCGTCTAACTTGATTCTATTTCCTATATATCCCAATTACAACGGGTCGAAAATTTATGACAAATTTTATGCATTTTTGAAAATTGACATTCTCGTGTAACCCAATAGGAAATGGTAAGTTTGCCGTAAGTTAGTGATAAAATAACCATCCATCCGAGTTCTATAATTGAACTTGATTTGATCACTTAAATATCTAATACAAAATTGATGACTGGTTTTTCACGTTGAAAAGTTAAAGGTCTCCAAAGTCGGAATAATTTTCAAGAAACCTCTCCCATTGAAACAAAACAGGAGGTAAAAATTGACTTTTCCAAAATTGACTTTTAATGTTCACACCCGTGTTCACAAAGCCGTAAAGCTTACTTGAGTCAGTCTAGCAAAGGTAAACTTAGCTCTGGTTATGACCTGAAATGCTTTTCTTAAAGCAGATGAGCTTGTGTCAGAAGCTAACAGACCAAATATTAGAAATGCCCATAAACAGCATGACTAAACCATTTTTAGCTCTTTTTCTCAGCAACGTGAAGACCTGGGAATACTATTGGCTCGAATAGGGGAGGTGCAGACGCACCAACGCGCATGAAATATGTAAAATAAAGTGTATAAAGGAATTAATTAAGCATTGAAGTCAATAACTCACCCAAACAATCGTGGAATAAGTCCACAGCCCAGGAGGTAGCTGTAGTATTTAAAGTACGAACAAACTTTTATTCGGAATATTTGATTGTTCACATAACAGCAGTATCATAAAATAAACCAATGAAAATCGCCAATACAAGATTTTCTAAATATTAGCCAATCAGCAGTATCATTGTATTAGTCGTCGGAAATATAGCCGAAAATCTAAAATGTTGAAAATTGCTCGAAATAATCACGAATTGCTGGTAAAGTATACGTTGTATTCCCACATTCTATCGTTTTTCAATTGTAAACGTATATTTACGCATTTGTAATGCAAGTATTGTATATGTAGTGCTGAAACTTTTCTGAATAAGTCTTGTAAAAGTAAGCATACTTTATTATCGCCCATTCAAGATGCAAGTGTGATGTAATTTTATATATTATGTCAAAATTATTGAAGTATTTGCAGTACATATTTTAGTCTACCATTTCTATTTATTTATCACAGTTTCTAACTTCAAATATACTTATTTTTGACCGACCATGAACAATCAAAATAATAATGTAACTTTCACAATGTCATCGACCAGGGCATCAACATGGGGGTTTATTAATAGTATATAGTCTGATAATATGCTTCAAAGGCAAGCAGTTGAACCTGAAAAATAAGAAATCTAAAGACTATTGTGCCATGATATAAAAAAAATCTATTCATAGTGCACACGAATGACATTTGTATATTTCAGATTATTTAGTGTTTGGTGCAATAAGCCCGTGCCCTCTTGTGATTTGAGGTCTATCTGCCATGTTAATTTTTCAGAATAGGTTACCTTATCATATACTACGACCCCACTTACATTGTGGTGGCACACTCCAACAGTTGTTCAGGCAGTGTTTCTACAACATTGGAGAAAGAGCTACGCATTGCTCAATTAAAAGACCTACCTCAATACATTCCTGAGTATATTTGGATTTTTGTTATGTAGTTGAATCACCAATTATATGGGTTAAGCAGCAGAATTAGGAAATTTTGGTTTTGAATTGCTAGATTCCTCCATCTTGGAAAGTGCTGAGGTATTTCAGATGAAAAAGGAAAATCTCCTCATTCTGCCGATAAACCCATATAATTGAAGATTCAACTACATAAAAAGAATCCAAATATACCCAGGAATATATGCAGGACTATGAGTCCTAGAATTGGATCATAGGTTACCCCGTTTCTCATGTCGACATTTCCCTACGTGTCAACGTTACAACTTACACCCCTTTTCCCTACTCGACTATTGGACAGGCGCACCGTGGGAGTCTATTGGGTTGTGCATCAATCAGATTGCAAAGTGACATGCAGTATTTCCAGGGCAGTATTCAGTGTTGTTCCAATTGTTGCTTTAGTGAAGTGCTTAAATTTTTTATAAGAAAAATTTAATTTTCAGAGGTATGCAGCTCGTAGTGGTTGGATCAGTTGTGGACAAGGGCAGGTTCGCCACCGCTCTGCCAAGATGAACACATGTGTATTATTTGTCCCACAACAGGAAGCTTGGGTCATCGAAAGATTTGGAAAATTCAGCAAGACATTGAAACCAGTGAGTATGGACTGTCTCAAGAGTTCAAACTTCATAATTTTGTCAAAAGGAATCATTGTTATTCCATCATATATCTTTATTGAGTTCTAGTTGTTTGTATCATTGTTTACCTAGTAACATGTTTATCCCAAGTTATCATTATTGATTCAAAATATAAAACAAATAATCTCAATATTGAAAGCATGGTCATCATTGCTGGATGTCATTCAAACAGACATCACTTTCCTTTTTGATTATGAATTAAGTAGCCTACCCAATGGATCTCTAGTGAATTCATTAAATACTGTTTTTTGTTGTTAATTTGATCACTGTTTAGAATGGTTGTGTATTTACAATTGTATAACCATTTGTACTCTTAAATATTTTTAGTTTTTCTAACTACATGTATTTCAACAGCTTTTGGTCTCTCTCCCCAATTGGCAAATGTACTTGTTCAAGTTTTCAAAATTTCATGAGCAAACTCTTGTTGGATATTTTTCTTCAACACATTGGAGTAGGCGACAAAATGTGTGTGGGGTACTATATATTCTATAATTGTTTAGCAATTTTTCAAAAATGATCAATGTGATTTGTAATTGAGATTATTACTTATAAGAGCATTTTATACTTGTAGGGGTTGAATTTCCTTATCCCCATTGTGGACAACATTGCATATGTGCAGAGTTTGAAAGAAATGGCTATTGATGTGCCCCATCAAAGCGCTATCACAGCAGGTACTATACACTATGGTTTATAGGGCTTACTTTGTTGTGCTTCAGTATAATGGGCCTTTTATTCCTTATTCGATCAGTGACCACAAATTCTGTTGCTTTTTTGATCAAATACCGGATTTTCTCGCATATACGCCCCCTAAATTTAGGCCCATGGGCCAAAAATCGAATGTAGTATGCTTATACGCCCATGGGCCTATAAAATGAGGGCTTATATGCGAGAAAATCCGGTAGTGTATAATAAAGAAGCATTATACACACTATTTGAAAGTTTTATCCAGTTTTGAAAATGATGCTGTGTACAGTTTGCAAATGTGAAGGAGTACATGAACCAAATAAGGTAAACTGTATCTAGAAGTAGGTATGATATGCATCTGTGTAACTCTTGCATATCCACTTTTTCAGATAATGTTACTTTGAACATTGATGGTGTTTTGTACCTGAAAGTGGTGGAACCTGAAATGGTAGGTTCTCTCATTTTTTTGATCTTGGAGACCAAATTGTGAACCATATAACTACCTCGGTGCATTCTTTACATATCCCAAATATACCATAACCTTGGTAACATTATGTATGATTATACTTAACATTTTAGTAAACACAAAACTTTAAAGTTATATATTTGGATTATATCAGAATTACGGTACAGTAAAACCTGTGTAAATTGAACATTTCTTGCCGAGAACAAGCATTCAGTGTTGGTAGGTGTATACTACAGAGTCAGAAGTCAGAAGAGTATGTGTGGAGGAAAAGTGTCCACTAGAGACAGGTGTTCACTAGAGAGAGGTGTTCACTAACACCTGTTTTACTGTATCTATATAAATGATTCATAATGTCTTATCCAATGGACAGGATATTAAAGACAAATATGTCAGTTCATATAAGTTGTCAAAAGTAGGTCACCACTACCTATTTTCTTTAAAACATTTCAAGTTGAACATTTAATTTACCTTATTCATAATCAATGTAATATTTTTAAAAATCACTTCAAATTACAAAATACAAAATTTAAAAATGTGTAACCAAATGTTGTCATTTAAACTTTATTTTAGGCAAGCTATGGTGTTGAGGATCCAGAGTTTGCTATAACACAACTTGCCCAAACAACTATGAGATCAGAGATTGGAAAAATATCCCTCGATTCAGTTTTCCGTGAAAGGGAATCTCTCAATATAACTATTGTTGGTATGTAGGATATACGTACAGTATATACATGTAAAGTCAATTTCTTCACAGTTTACCCTTTGTCAGTTGAAAAATCCTATCTCAGTTCAAAGGAAAAGTTGTGCATTCTTATTTTATGTGCTTTAACAAGGCAGTTTGAATTTAGATAACTCATATTTCCTACATATACAAGGCATTGAAATGATAAACTATGGTAACATCTGGGGAATTGTAATATGCAGATCTTTCCAATATCATTTATCTCTTTGTAATTTTCAACATTAAATACTATAAAATAGCATTATCATAGATACACTGTACATGATACTTGACAATGTTTCAAATCCATGTGATAGTTGTAGATGACTCTAAAGAGAGATGATTGCTTTAGAAAGGATCACGTAGGTTATCGCAAACAATTTCAGAAGGTTATATCTTGGATAGTGACTATTTTCTGACAGTGAAGATAATGAATGGGTCTAAAAGATACACCCATGTTCATGATCAGAAAATATTCATAATTCAAGGTAGAATTGTTTGAAATTGTTTGCGATAACCTACATGCTCCTTTCTTGTATTTTTATCAATTTATGTTGTGATTTTAGATGCCATTAACATAGCAGCAGAGGCTTGGGGAATAAAATGTCTGAGATATGAAATCCGTAAGTGGCACCACTTACTTTTTGTTTAGTGTTATTGGGTATGAGATCACACACTCAGCTATTATTGTCCATTTACGGACAAATGTAAATTGCCATTTGTATTAACTCATTGTTAAATTGATTTAATAGGGGTCCTTGTTGGTACTTTAAACAACTGATACAAGTTCCTAAATTTGTCTCGTTGCCAAGAAATTGGCTTTTTGGATGTCAAAATATCATATTTTTCACAATATATGATCCCAATGGCATTTGGATTTTACTGTACATCAAAATACATCTCGGAAGCATTAATGATAGTGAACATGCACTAAGTACAAAAAGCAAATTCTTCTGTAGCTATGCATTCTCTTTCAGGTGACATTACTCTACCATCAAGGGTACAAGAAGCCATGCAGATGCAAGTAGAAGCTGAGAGGAAGAAACGTGCAGCTGTTTTAGAATCTGAAGGTATTAATAGTTTTAAATTTTTGATTTCTAATCGGAACATGATAGTTCCTACTACATCAGTTGGTAGATGGGCATGTGATGTAATCTTGAGGCTAAGAAATAAGCAAATACAGTGAAATGACACTGGATGCAAAGCAAATGTAATGTCAAAATAATTAGGAATAACTTTAACTTACCTCATACCCCTCTTGCGTTTTAACTTTTGTTTATGAAAAGCATTCAAAACAACATCTATACGTACTGTAATACACACCTATACAACATGAAAATATATCCAGTTGCGGATTTCGAGAACAGAACAACTGTTTATATGAAACCCCTGATTTAAATGTACCATAGTGAAAAATTATGTCATTTCGGTTTCAGGTATCAGAGAGGCCCAGATCAACCAGGCTGAGGGCACCAAGCGTTCAGTTGTGTTAGAATCTGAGGCTTTCAAGATAGAAAAAATAAACCAAGCTGAAGGTAACCTAATAAATTGATTTATTTAAATTTTTATCAAATTATTTTATAAATTAAAAAAAATATTTTAAGTTGTCAAAAATCTGACAGAATTCACCAATTAGTTGGCCCTTTTCTTTGCAAAGTTAACTGATTTTATTTGATATAATTTGAACTTGCGAAAACTGGGAGGAAATTATAACATTTTTCTTTTCTAATTTAGGAGAAGCCACTGCAATGATAGCTAAGGCTAAAGCCAGGGCAGAAGCCATACAAAGGATTGCCGAAGCAATAGGGGAAAAGGTATGTACATCAATCCACTGTTGAATTTGTTTAGTTGATCTCTAATGCAACTGATAATGCTACTTTCTTTGTGGAAAAGACAACTGCCCAAGTAAGGGGGAAAAGGTATGTCATGGAGTCACCCATTGTTGAATGTGTTCAATCTCATATGTGGTTGACAATCCTAGTTGTATAGTCAACACAATGGCCAAACAATAGCAGAGGATGTTCAAAGGCTACTGTTATTATGCATAAAAAATCACTTAAATTAAGAGTGAAATCTGCTGACAGCTGATGTGTAAATGAACGCGAATCATAACTTTCAATGTAAATGCTCTGATTGTGCCTCTTTAAATATTTTATACATATACTTTTAGGATGGTCCGAATGCAGTGTCACTGAATGTTGCTGAACAGTACATCGGTGCATTTAGTAACCTGGCCAAGGAGGGAAATACAGTACTGCTACCTACAAACACTGGGGACATATCATCCATGGTGTCTCAGGTAATTATTGTACACATATGCAAGGGTTTCCAAAAAGTGTCGCATTATTTGGTATAATCCTTTCTTATGTCTGTTAGTTTTACAACAAAAACTAAAATCTGTTCAAAGTTAGTGAGGAAATCACATGAAGAAGGATTTAAGGAATTCTAATTATTACATGTACAGCAAAATCTGTTGAGTGAAGCATCTCTTTAATTGGATCACCTCCTTAATTGTAACACCTCAAAGTTTTGATGCCTATACTTATTGGAAAAATGAACCTCTGTAGGTGGAACACCAGCGAAATGGCACACTATTCTGAGGTAACAAAGGTGTTCCACTGGCACAGGTTTTACTGTATTATAATACTAAATGTAGTCATAGTGATGATGATAATACAGCAAATAAAGAGTGATCATGCTTTTATAACGTTCAATTTGGTCTTATATTTTTTTCATTGAAATTGTGACAGATTATGAATGAAAATAACATGGAACAAAATCTGACTATTTCAGGCTATGTCTATATATAACAACCTAAGTCAGGCCAACACAACTGGAGGAAAGACGACCATTAATGCCATTGATGCACAGGACACTCGAGCGTCTATTGAATCAGAAGATGACACTAGTATTAAAAGTAACAAAAACAGATTGAAAGATGATTTATAGCACAATTTGTAAATATGCAGAAGCAGGTTAACGTTCTTATGAGAGGCAGAACAGAATACACTTCAGATGAACAAGACAAATTAGTATGTGAAAGTACTGATGTGAAGAATATGTAGCTGCAAAACAAACTATCATTATCAGATACAATAATCTCATTATCAAAAACATCATCCAATGTAGGACCCCGTCCCGGGGAAACATTGCCCATTTTGTAATAAGCGCACATATTAAATCTTGCATAAAAGGAACTTCTTGTGATTATGTATCAGACACTATTGTAAACAATTATTACATGTACAGTTTGAACAGCAGTCACTGATTTTTTTTCACATTGGTCGATGCAGTGTCCATATTTATTACCCAGAAAATGCTGAAAATTAGAATCAAGGACCATTAATATTATCCTGCTTGAAGAATAGAGAGGATTTTGAAGACAGGCAGAGGCTCTTTTGTCCTTCTCTTATTATCATTTCATCCCTTATTACATTCACTGACTTGTAAATGAACCAAAATAAATCAACTAACATCATACAACTATCCTTTTTAAGTTATTTATTGTTCATTGAATGGCATTATTGACAGAGTAATTCAAACGTAGATTCTTGAATATCATTCCTAGTGTGAAACATTTTGATTATTGTCGGTCAGCCATTGAGGTAGTTGTTATATTGATTCTGTGCTGCGTCCGCACTTTATTTCCTGTAATGGAAAAGGGTTTTGAATGAGAAAAATATCCATTATTAAATGTGAAAAAGGGAAAGTGTAGAAATAACTAGTGTTGAATAGATCTTAAAGGAATGATACAGTATGCTACTACGGATCACCAGACTATTTAATTTATGTTTATGTGCTGTCAGGAAAAATTCGTCGTCTTTCAGAAATGGTCTCAACTGAAATATGCTCATGAGAAGTTGGTTTAACAGGGATGGCTTTTGTTGAGTTGATATGCATTTATAACCAGACTTAAGGGGCTGTAGTTTGTCATTTATACTTACTTGGTGCAAATGTTATGCGTGCATTCAATCATGATGATCAGACCCTTTCCAGATCGTTTTACTCTGTACTCAGTTCTGCATACGCAAGTATTGCAGCCATCACCTGCAGGGAATGTGGAACCGACAGCATAGCTGCCACCCTTGTATGTGCATACTAAACATGAAAACAGGTGATAATTACAAATTAACATAGTTAACAGTTAAGTATATTGATTGTGACATGAAGATCTTCTACCCTTTGCATTCGTTCGACTTCACTTCTTAAAACAGAGTTTCGTCTTTCTAGTTTATAACTAGACTCTGCGCGCAGGGTAAAAGTCTTCACATTTTATTAGCGAATTTCGACACATATTGGTTGTTACAACACCATGACGACTTTGAACAGCAATTTATCCACTTATAACACGTTTTCAGCATTTTTATATTAGTTTTGTGAAGAATTTGCAGACGATCACAAGGGAATTATGGGTAATTTTTGAATATATAATATATTTACCTCCGCCACATGTATTTGTTGTACAGACAATCTGGCCATTGTTACAGGTGCAACTGTTGCAGTTGTCACCTTTGGCCCAACTCTGCCCACTACTGTATGCCTGGCCATTTGCAATACAATATCCACCTGGACTCTGAGTAGCTGCAGGATATAGAATAATGGTTATAGCAATTTGCAAAAAATGATGATTTGTCGGAGTTTGTGTTTATATTTGTTTGTTTTACCTGTTTATCTTTATCACATTTCAAAAATATAGCTGTGTACATCGGTAGTTCAATCTCGCGATCAATGAACAGTGTTGTATCCCCAGCCTTTGCTATTTGAAAATGAGTATATTTGTTGCTACAAGTTGGAATCCAAGCTTTAGCTAAAGAGAGACTCTGATAAATCAAAAAGATAGTCAATGTTATTGACGGAGGAGGTGTTCTGTTGAAAGATTTTGTATAATGATTAATATCACTTACTTCCAGGGCATTGTTTTTCCTCACATATAATCTGTCCATTGTCAAAGCACCCACAGATTTTGCATCCAACAAAGAATGCTTTGCCCACTTCGTACTCTTTACCCCCGCTTACACATTTTGGAGAAGGAGTCGGGGCTGTTGCAAAATTAAAAAATAGTGCATTATTCCTATTTGGTTGGTACCCTAAGGCCAACAGGTTACTATATCTCTAGTAATTTTATCGTAAATAAAGTTTTCCTTCAACATCGTGAAAACTAAACTATAAAAAGGAACACTTCAAACAGATTAATGCCTCAGTCGTATTTGATCTACGGTAACGGTACGGCGGCCGTAGCTTCCCAAAATCGAGAGAAATATGCAACATGCGCGTACATAAAATATAGAGATATCAGGCTAGTAAAAAATCTTTCAAAAATCATGCAGTTTTCTCACCATTCTGAGCACCTTTTACGTGGTTTTGGCCTTTTTTGGACCAAAATTGTCACAAGTAATCACCCCTGGAATTTTTCAAAAAGTGACCCCCCTTGGAAAATCCTGGCTATGGGCCTGGATTTGTACATGTAGTGCGATGTAAATTTTTTCTCTATAGATTTTGTGAAGTTACGGTCACCGTTGAGCAAATGTGACTGAGGCTTAAATCTCTTAGATACGTTACCTTTTTGATTAATTTGTTTCTTTTGTCCATATGCGGACTTTAGCCTGGTTTGTACATTTTTTTGTATATTCAATATTATTCTTTACAAAACATCTCTTAATATGGACTTACTGGTAGTTGCAGGACAAACGTTGTCGTCACACATTTTGTTGCCGTTCACGCAGAGACAGAATCGGCAGTTTTCGGTGAAATTTTGGCCATTGTTATATATTTTTCCGTCGACGAGACAATCATTTGGGCCTTTGGTTACTGATGATGTTGTAGTTGCTTGAACACCTGATGATGTTGTAGATCCCTGGGCACCCGCTAAGAGGGAAATTAAAGTGTAAGTACTATAAGTTATTGAATGATTTGAAGTGCAACACAGGATATATTTAACTCTAGAAATTCTGTGTTGGAACGAGACGGATTGCTGAGAAATTCAATTTACTGTTTGAATCAATCAAAACTAGTAATCTGTGTAGGCCTACTGGGATAACCAAAAATTCGCGGACGCAAGATCATCTATTTCCTTTCAGAACTGTAAATATTCAATATAATCGATTATGAATTATACTGTTCTAAAGTGCAACTACACGTAGATCTTCTTGGAACTGAACGCAATTTTAGTTGCTTTCTCTTGAAAGCCGACAATAATTTGGGGATTTTAAATAAAAAAGGATCACTAACATGTAGTTGTAGCCGAGGTTGTAGCTGAGCAAGTTTTTGATTCACACACGGCAGTTCCTTCGTAGCAGAGGCATGTCTTGCAGTCGTCTTTGAAAACTACACCATCTGCGTGAAGCTTTCCTTTGTAGGCACAGAATTTGGTTACAGGTGGGGTTGCAGCTAAACAAGGAAACAGTTACTGTTAGATAAAAGGTAAATACGTTTTCAAATGGTCCGACTTCTTTCAATTTTGCCCAAATTATGCTTAGGCCTATATGTCGAGAGCGTTTCATTGCAACTCCTTTTTATTACCGAATTAGTAGCAGAGGGTTTCGACATTCAGCGAAGTTGCTGGAACAATATCGCTAATAATTTTTTAATGTATGCTTTTTAGATTACGAAAACACAAGCAAGATCAATGCGACAATTTGGGCTGCAGTATATTTGAAGGATACTATCACCAAAATATATGCTCGCTTTACATGTTAAGGGTAACTTACTAGTTGAGCCACCCTCGCATGTTTTTGTCTCACAAACAGCAATACCATTGTAACATAGACAGGCGTTGCAGTCGTCATTGAATAGGACACCATCAGCATGAAACATGCCTTTGTATGTACATCCAGATGAGGGAGGAGCAACTAGTGAAATAATAAAATTTTAACATAGTCATGATCATTATGTATCACCATGGCAATCTTGAGGATGGTCATTTGTAATCAAATCATAACTGCTGTAAGAAAGGCGATGTGATGAGGATCAAAATGACATCAAAAACATCATTATTTAGTTCTATATCTGTATTAAGCAATCTGATAGAGTTTTGGAATTGATTTTTCACAAGAAAATTCCCAAGCGGGTACATGCACATTTAAACCGTACAACATATGTAAATGTAAAGTACACTAAACGGAGAATATCTGGACATACCTGTAGTTGAGGGGCAAATATTTTGTTGACACATTGGGACACCATTGGAGCACACGCATAGATTGCAGTCATCGTTGAAGGGAACTCCCTCTGCGTAAAGCTTGCCCTTGTACACGCATGTCAACACTGGTGGAGCAGGTGCTAAATTACGAAAAATGACTTCATCATCATCGCAATTAGTGTGAGTGGGAAAATGCAAAATCTATGAGACGCGGCTTAGACATACAAATAAATTCGATTTTAGACGCATTTGGAAAGCATAGTAACTATATATAGAAAGTTCATTCTTTGTGCATATCATGGTATGAATGTTACACATATGGTGTTTAAACTGCTTCTTTATTCGGTACATTAAATATTCCATAAATACCAAATGAAACAAACAATTTACCAAACCTTTATCCAATCTATCGAATGTTTTTTATTTTATCGAATGTAATAATCTATACAATTTATATTCGCTAAATCGTTTCACTTGTTCTTTGTGTTGGCATTTACATTTGATATTTATTATGGCATTATTTTTGCTTCTTTATTCATTAAATTCAAATATATTCTGTATAGGAAATATTAATATTCGCTAAATCATTTTTCACTTCGGTATAAACGTTTATATGTTTGTTACGGCAAATTAAGTTTTCTAAATAGCCAATCACTTAATACCATGTGCATTAAATTACATATTTCATTCGCTAAATGATATGTTTTTGCGTAAATTGTTATGGTATTCCTTAAGAGTAACACATTATAGGCACAATATTGAATTTCTATTTGAACCCTACCGAAATAAGTTTGCCTATATTTACCAAATGGTTTATTTTTCTATGACATAGTTGATGCATTTTACCGAAAGCTCATTTGCTATTTACCGAATGCAATAAAGTAATATTCGATAACTTTCGTTGTTGTTCGATATTTTGTCACGTGACCTCGAGATTTGCAAGCCGCGCAGCTATTCTACATCGTTCAAATATATCACGTGACTGAAAGTCTCGTAAAGTATAGAATAATAACGAAATTTATCGAATGTGGCATTCGGTATTTACCGAATATAAATAATGTAAATACCGAATGTACAAATA